GCAGGTGCGCATCGCAGCCATGGAAGCTTTCGCCGCTTTCTTTCGTTCGATCTCCAAAAAGTCCCAGCCCAAGTTCTTTCCCCTCATGCCCGACCTGCTCAACGTTCTCCCCCCTCTGAAGGAGGCACAGGACAGCGACGAGCTGTCTTCGTCCTTTGTGGCTCTCATTGAGCTCGCGGAAATCTGCCCAAAGATGTTCAAGGGCATGTTCAACAACCTGCTCAAGTTCAGCGTTAGTGTTATTGCCGACAAAGAGCTTAGCGACCAAGCCCGCCAGAATGCCTTGGAATTGATGGCTACTTTCGCCGACTACGCACCCAACACATGCAAGAAGGATCCCGAATTCGCACAGGAGATGGTTACGCAGTGTCTCAGCTTGATGACCGACATTGGAATCGACGATGATGATGCCGAGGAGTGGAACACCTCTGAAGATGTAAGCCTCTGCGTTCTGACCTGAAAATGGACATGCGAATAACCGACGCTATATAGCTCGATCTCGAGGAAAGCGACCTCAATCATGTTGCCGGTGAACAGTGCATGGACCGTTTGGCCAACAAGCTCGGTGGTCAGATTATCCTTCCTGCTACTTTCTCATGGATCCCCCGGATGATGTCTTCCTCTGCTTGGCGTGATCGCCACGCGGCTCTAATGGCCATTTCTGCTATCTCCGAAGGATGCCGCGATCTTATGGTTGGCGAGCTCGACCAGGTGTTGACGCTTGTTGTCCCTGCCCTCCAAGACCCTCACCCACGTGTTCGATATGCTGGCTGTAACGCCTTGGGCCAGATGAGTACCGACTTCGCCGGTACAATGCAGGAAAAGTACCACGCAATTGTGCTGAGCAACATCATCCCCGTTCTTAACAGCCCAGAGCCTCGCGTTCAGGCCCACGCTGCCGCTGCTCTGGTCAACTTCTGTGAGGAGGCAGAGAGGAAGATCCTTGAGCCATACCTGGCCGATCTTCTTCAGCATCTGCTGCTGCTCTTGCGTAGCCCAAAGCGGTATGTGCAGGAGCAAGCTCTGTCGACTATTGCCACTATCGCCGACTCCGCCGAGACTGCGTTCGCTCACTACTACGACACTCTGATGCCACTGTTGTTCAATGTCCTGAAGGAGGAGCAGTCCAAGGAGTACCGGTTGCTGCGTGCTAAGGCCATGGAGTGCGCCACGCTCATTGCGCTGGCCGTGGGTAAGGAGAAGATGGGCCAGGATGCCTTGAACTTGGTGCAGCTGCTTGGTCACATCCAGCAAAACATCGTCGATGCGGATGATCCGCAGTCGCAATACCTGCTCCACTGCTGGGGCCGGATGTGCCGTGTTCTGGGCCCTGACTTTGTCCCATACCTCCCTGGCGTTATGCCACCGCTCTTGGCTGTTGCGGCTGCCAAGGCTGACATCCAGTTGTTGGACGATGAAGACCAGATCGACCAGGTCGAGCAAGATGAGGGCTGGGAGTTGGTGCCGCTCAAGGGCAAGGTCATCGGTATCAAGACTAGCGCTTTGGAGGACAAGAACACCGCTATTGAATTGATCACCATTTACGCCCAAATCCTGGAGGCTGCGTTCGAGCCGTACGTGCTGGAGACTATGGAAAAGATTGCTGTCCCAGGACTTGCTTTCTTCTTCCACGACCCTGTGCGAGTGTCGTCGGCTAAGCTCATTCCTCAGCTACTGAACTCGTACAAGAAGGCCCACGGTGACCAGTCGCCTGGGTTCGCAGAGATGTGGAACAAGGTTGGAGAGAAGATTGTTGAGGTACTGAGCGCAGAACCCACGGTGGACACCCTTGCAGAGATGTACCAGTGCTTCTACGAATCGGTCGAAGTGGTAGGCAAGAACTCTTTGACTCAACAGCACATGCAGGCCTTCATCGATTCGGCCAAGTCGACTCTCGAAGATTACCAGCTACGTGTAAAAGCTCGTCTGGAAGACCAGGCCGATGCGGAAGACGGTGAGGAGGACCTTGAATATGAATACGCTGTGGAGGACGATCAGAACCTGCTCAGCGACATGAACAAAGCGTTCCACACCATCTTCAAGAACCAAGGCAACACATTCCTGCCATCATGGCAGCGCCTGCTGCCCTTCTATGATGCATTTATCACCAGTGCCGACCCGACACAGCGACAATGGGCTCTGTGCATTATGGACGATGTGCTGGAGTTCTGTGGTGCCGAGGCTTGGAACTACAAAGACCACATCATGCAGCCTTTGGCCGCAGGTTTGCAGGATGAGAACGCTGCCAACCGGCAAGCGGCCGCCTACGGAGTTGGCGTTGCCGCACAGAAGGGTGGCCCCGCTTGGGGTGACTTTGTTGCAGCCAGTATTCCCAGCTTGTTCCAGGTGACGCAGATCCACCAGTCTCGGACGGAAGAGCACTTGTTTGCGACGGAGAATGCTTCGGCCAGCATTGCCAAGATCTTGCACTTCAACGGTAGCAAGGTGCAGAACCCTCAGGAGATTGTGGCGAACTGGATCAACACCTTGCCCATCACCTTTGACGAGGAGGCAGCACCATATGCCTACTCGTTCCTTGCACAATTGATCGAACAGTAAGTTTCCCGCTCTTTCATGTTACAAATGCAAATGCTAACTGAACAGACAAAACCCTGTTGTGCTCTCAGCTGCCGACAAGGTGTTCGGGTATATTGTGCAGGCCCTGGAAGCCGAGACGCTGCAAGGCCAGACCGCCGCACGCGTGGCCGCCTCTGCAAAGAAACTTGTGGCTACCACGGGGTTGAACGCAGATCACATTCTTTCGGGTGTGAATCCGGATAACCAGGCCACGGTTCGGAGCTACTTTCAGTGAATTGAAATGATGGGAGAACATAATGGGAAATAGGTTTCGGTTTTCGTACACAACCTTCCCTTCTTTTTACAGTATGATATATGTCCAGTATGATAACTTTGATATCTTGATGTGTGATGTTTGATGCATACATCTCTCTTCTTTTTGTTTGATATCAGATCAGCGTTTGCCCTGAAATACACCGATCAGTCGTCTAGAATAGGCATGATGATTCGATCTGTTTAATTGTGTTATCTGGATAAATATGTAATTGTGCTGGATAATGTACGGCATGCCATAGAACATTGAATTTACTGCACTCTGCTGACTGAGCAATGCAAATAGTTGTATAAAACTAGGGCAGTCCAACAAACCTCAGACCCTGTAATTACTCGATCACCCTTGGTGTTTTCTTTAACAAATCCGTTCAAGCAATGACCCGAAATTTCGAATCCTAAATTGTCCAGAAAGAAACCTTCTCGTGTATAACTATACCGATAACATCGTGGGAGGTCAGTAACTGCCCCCGCCTTTACCGTGTACATATTGGGGCTAATATACTGTGGCAGGACTTGAAATCCGGAAATCTTCACCAAATTTCAGCACAAGAATACTATATCGTTACTGTCGAGAGATTATAGGCTTCCCTTTCGACGTATGCTGGGGGAATTTTCCATCCCAACGACGATGACTACGGGAGATTTGCTCCGACAAGTCGATCATGATATGGCTGTGCTGGGGAAGTATATCATACCTGATGAGTCAGTATACGCTGACGCGTAGCTAAGGTGAATGACGATGTTAGCAATAGCAGACTCAGGACCCTCGGTTATCAAAGTTCGGGTCAGAAACCGACCATTCGTTTTGCTCGAGAGCGCCCATATCTATCCCGCTCACGAATAGACGAATGAAATCTGCAGGATCACAGACGCTAGATTATCGATAACAACAGTATTAAAGAGATGGGTAGCCCGGGAATACTTTCGCTGCAAAACGGCTTGCTTTTGAATACGAGTATTCATGTAGTCTGGGATGTGTGGCGGATTGGTATTGATCTAGACATATCTTCCTCCTATTCTTCAACTATATAACAATATATACCAATGATTTATTTACGCACAGGAAGATTCCAAAATCATCTGCTTTGGCGAAGGCACCATGATGCTAGGTGGACGCAGACTCGCACAGTCCGCTATAAACCCACTCAACCCTAACCGCCGCGTCAGTCCCAACCTTCTACGATGGCATCTCCGTTTGCGTATTTTGGAGGCTATGAGGGATGTGATATTGCGAGTCTGTTAGATTTGATCTGGTACTGCAGCGGGATGATATAGGAGCGATTACAGGTATGGATAGAGGGGAGTAAATATGACGTGTGCTATTTTGTTGGTCACTTGTATGGGTGTTATAGGAAACAATCAATAGTTCATAATGTATTGCGCCTTCCGATCTATATCTGCCCGCGTGCTACGCAACTACCCTAGGCAGAAGTATCACCTCTCACTCTCACCCCCAAGCACCAAGCTCAGCACCTCAAAATGTCAACCCTTAGCCTGCCCCCGTAACGCGGGTGCGATGACTGGTAAATACGACACCTCCCCCTTCCCCTCTCGATACCTCTACTCCTAGAAGATGACGGCCACTCTCACCAAATTAAAGACCACCTAGAAGGCCTAGCCTACGACCACACATCCCCCAGCAAAGGCATACAAGGGCTTCAACTCTGTAACCACATCAATAGTGGAACCCAAACACGCTGAATTGGTCAAACTCCCGGAGGAACACAAGTACAATATCACGCCGGACGAACAAGCCAAGGGGTAGAAGGACACCGACATGTGCCATTTTGCGCCGGATCCGAGGAGAGATACCCGTGTTATTTTGGGGTTGCTTGCTTGTTTGTACACGGCATATTCGCAGTATCATGATGGACAGGGTCGGATGGTGGAATTTGTGAAAGTGCCCAAGGACATGCCACAACATAAGGTTTATTCTTTTACTGGTATTTCTTCTGAGGACCTTAATTATCTGTATCCCAAGATGGCGTTGTGGCCGATTGAGGCGAGTTGGGAGACATCTACGCGTACTTTGAGGACGATATTGAGGAGTATGAGTACGAGTAAGTGCTATACAAGGGGTCATTCCTGCACAAGGATAGCTAGCTAGTATCTGCTCTGTACCTAAAATGGCCAAATAAGACTCCCTATAGCTACACAACTTTCTCTAAAATCTCCAACACCTGCCCTTTCTCCTTCAACGGCACCGGGTTCGATACACACCACCGGTCATGTAGACTGTTCTCCGCCAATCCATCCAAATGCTCCCGTCCAACCCCGACATCCTTCAAACTCCGAGGCAGTCCCAGTTCCCGAATGATAATATCCAACACATCGCCCAGATCAACCTTGTCCCCATCAACACCACGACGGCTCAGCACATTTTTGACGATGTCATCGTGGAGAAGAAACTGCCGCACAAGGTCCTGGCGGTCGTTATTGGCGTTATGTGCAGCGTTGAATTTACACACAGCCGGTAAAAGGATGCAGCTCGTTTCACCGTGTCCAACACCCAACGGTCCAAGCTGGTGTCCAATTCCATGACTAGCACCCAACTGAATCCTTCCGCTCGCACAAGCAGCCATGGCATCCACAGATCCAAGCTGACATTGTAGTCTTGCCTCGAGGTCCTTCACATCCCGTTTACAATTCACCAATCCCGGAACCAACAAGCCAAGCGCATGCCTCGCCATCGCATCCAACGTATCCGTCCCATTACCACCACGCAAAGCGCACAGCGTCTCAACACAATGATCCACAGCACGAACACCCGTACTCAACCAGATAGAGTCCGGCGTTGTAGATGTAAGTTCTGGGTCGAGGATAATCAGCTGCGGGCCTTGTGTTGGGTAACTAAAGGAGTGTTTTCTGTTGCTGCCGGGAGTAGTGTCATCGGTGCCGCCGGCGAAGTTGGAATATTCGCCTGCGGAGAGGGAGGTTGGGATTGAGACTATGGGGACTGTGGGTGGGCGGATGGAGCCTTTGTTAGGGCTGGTTGCAGTTAGATTGAGCAGGTCGGAAGCTTGTTGGATGTTGTTTGCGAGGGCCTGCACCTGTTAATACGTTTATCTAGGCTGAACGGGTTGTGGAGTTATACCAATGCGACAATCTTAGCACCGTCCGTCAAACTCCCCGCGCCCAAGGTGAGCAGTAGATCTGCCCCAACTTGTTTCGCATCTTGCACGATCTCGAATACTTCTGACCACAGCGTATGGCTCTTCATTCCAATCCGCACCCCAACAATCTTATCCTCGCCTAGGGAACTCTTCAATTTCTCTAGAGAGTCCGTGTTGCGGGCCAATGACCCTGAGCAGATGACGTAGACGCGCGAGGCATTAAAGAGACCGGGGACATGGCGGGCAGCGGCGGAGGGAAAGGGGATACCGTAGGAGAGGAGGGGACGGGGTTCGTCTGCGAAAGCCGTGCGGACTGTTTCTGGCATTGTGATTGATTTTATACTCATTAAGTATAGGTAGAAGAAATTGCTAGAAGAATTGATTAGAATTGGTTCTGGGGAAACGCGGATGAACCGGTTATCAGATGAACCTGTGGGGTGTGGGGCAATGGCATCATAGGCTTTAAGCCTCATATTTACATTATCTATGCAACCGTAACTACTTAACGCCATATACATGAAGTATGAACATAACAGAAAGAATATACTAGAATCATGCCTTGCCACCAGCCTTCTTGGCCAGCAGGTTCAATGCACTTCCCGCCAAGACGAATCCACATTGGTCCTTACTCAATGTGTGGTTGACGGGGATCAGCACCGTCTCTCCAGACTTCTTGGTCACCTTTATCTGAATCGAGCCCTGGCCACCAGCCTTTAGGACATCGTATAATCCAACAGTGTCCACGATGTCGCATGCATCGATTTTATCGTAGTCCGCCTTATCCGCAAACGTTAAGGGGACCAGGCCCTGTTTCTTCAGGTTGGTCTCATGGATACGGGCAAAGCTTTTGGCCACAATGATCCGGCCACCGAGGTAACGCGGTTGTAGGGCGGCATGTTCACGCGCACTACCCTCACCGTAGTTATCCTCAGCGACAACCAACCAGGGGATGCCCTGGTCCTTCCATTGCTCAGCCAGCTCGGGGATGCCGTGCTGCTTACCGGCGTCATCGTAGGCGACGTTGGTCTCGCCGGTGGCGGCGTTGACAGCGCCGATGAGGGTGTTGGCGGAGATGTTGGGCAGGTGGCCCTTGTATTTCAACCAGGGACCAGCAGCGGAGATGGTGTCGGTCGTGCATTGGCCCTTGACCTTGTACAGGACCTTCAAGCCGGAGAGGTCACCGGCGGGGAAGGGGTCGAAAGGCTCCAGGAGAGCCAGACGGTCAGATGTCGGCGAGACCACAACATCGCACGAGGCGTCAGGGACGGCCGCGGTCGGCTTAAAGGATGGGTTGCCGTCAGCGAAGCCCTCATCGGGGAGTTGCGACCCAGTAGGCGGGTGGAACTGGAACTCCTCTCCGCTAGGGGTCTTGAGGGAGTCCTTCATAGGGTTAAAGGTCGTGCTGCCCGAGTAGGCCAAAGCAGTGACGAGCTCCGGTGAGGCGATGAAGTTCATGGTGCGACGGTTACCATCGTTACGGCCCGGGAAGTTACGGTTGTACGAGGTGAAGATGGCATTGTCTTCACCCTTGCCAACACCGTCTGTCCGCTTCCACTGTCCAATACAGGGTCCACAGGCGTTGGCGAGAACCTTACCGCCAGCCTCCGAGAAGGTGTTAAGGGTCTGGTCCCGGTCCAGAGTGGCACGGATCTGCTCACTACCGGGGGTGATGAAGAAATCGGCCTTGGGCTGGAGACCAGCAGCAGCGGCCTGCTTAACCAGGTCCTCTGCACGGGTCATGTCCTCATACGAACTGTTGGTGCAGCTACCAATCAGACCAGCACCGAAAGTCTGGGGCCACTGCTTCTCGCGCACCTGATCCGCGAACTTGGACACAGGCACTGACAGATCAGGGGTGAAGGGTCCATTGATGTGGGGCTCAAGGGTCGACAAGTCGATGGTGATCAGCTGGTCATACTCAGCCTGGCCATCAGCACGCAACAGGTGACCAGGTCCTGAAGCAGCGATCTTGGAGGCCGCCTCAGCCACATTGCCACGGTGAGTGGCCTGCAGGTATGGCACCATGCTGGGGGAGAAGGGGAAAAGAGAGGTGGTAGCACCCATCTCAGCACCCATGTTACAGATGGTAGCCATACCAGTGCAGCTGAGAGTCTCGACACCAGGACCGTGGTACTCAATGACGAATCCAGTACCACCACGGACGGTGAGCTTACCAGCCAGGTGAAGAATGATATCCTTAGGGCTGGCCCAGCCGTTCAACTTGCCCTCCAGACGTACACCCAGAATCTTGGGTGCCTTCAACTCCCAAGGAGCATCGACCAAGGCGTCGACGGCATCAGCGCCACCAACTCCAATGGCAATAGCACCAAGACCACCAGCGTTAGGAGTGTGACTGTCCGTACCCAACATCATCAATCCAGGCGCAGCATAGTTCTCAAGCACGCTCTGGTGGATAATACCGGCACCAGGCGGCCAGAACTCAATGCCATATCTCTTCGCCGCACTCTCCAAGAAATCAAAAACCTCCGCGTTCCCCTTGATCGACGCAGGCAAGTCCGTATCCGCACCCCGCTCCCCAACAATCATATGGTCACAATGGATACTAGCAGGCACAGCGGTCGAGGGCAAACCACACGACATGAACTGCAGCAACGCCATCTGCGCAGACGCATCCTGCATCGCCACACGGTCCGGTTTGAGCTTCAGGTTCGCATTTCCACGGATATCGCGGCCGTTGTTCGTGCCGGTCATCAAGGAGTCCTCGGGGTTGTCGAGGTGGGCGTAGAGGATCTTCTCGGCGAGGGTGAGGGGGCGCGAGGAGCCCAGCACCCGGCGAACTTCTTCGAGTCTCTGGACGGTCTTCTCGTAGGGGGGCATACGCAACGACGAGGCCTCTGTGGCCAGGCCGCGACGGTTGAACATTCGTTGTGGCGATAGGCATGGTGCCAGCTATATGCCATAAAGGCCCGTTAGTCAATCGGCTCAATGCAAAAGATATGGATTCACTCACCCTCCGAGAGGCGGTGGCCCGCTGCCAGACAAGCTGCCTCACCATATCGAGCTTATTTTCTGGTGGTCCTGAGAAAGATATTGCGTGGAGAAAGAATAAAAAATCGGCCTTTTTTTGCAGGCGGTGGTTTTTGAATTCTTTTTGCCTTTCCTCTGATTGGCTGCTGTGTGCCGATGCCGGTTCCCCGTGAATTACGGTATGTATTGTATTGTATCTACATTTGTCACTTTCATAAATGGCGAAGCACAGCTATGTATTGCATGGCATCATGTATATCAGGGCTAGTATTCACTCTATAGAGGTACCAGGCCATACTAACATCCCAAAAACACATGTCCTAGTAAAACGCCATCATGAATCCCAAGATAAGTTCCATCCGAAGAAACAGTGTACAGCGATAAGAAGCCCTCCCCAGAATTAGATACAATAGATAAAGCAGAGTAAAAAACAAAACAAAGCAAAACTAAAAAAAAAAAAAAAAAAAAAAAACACGTAGTGGTCGGGAAAGATGAAAGGAAAGCAAAAGTACATATTCGAAGGGCAGGCTCTATCAACTCCTTTCATCTTCTTCGTCTACCGATGCGCGGAGCTCCCATGCAATATCGTAACATTCGGCGAGCAATGCATTGATGCTGCCCTGGCCTTCGGGAATGTCACTGCCCACATAGAACTTGCCGTCGACTCGCATGTTATCAATCGAATTGAGCTGCGACAGATTAGCTAGTGTCCCTGATTCCCGGGACTCGAGAAGAATCAAACCTTCATGCTGTATGGGTAAAGTTCACGCGAGTTCGACACGCCTCCAGACTCCTTGACCTCCAACAAACACCGCCGCAACGTTTGAAGCTGATTATATACTGGCAACAATGCCTCTGATACCGGTTCGGACGAGATAAGGAGAGCATAGATGTATGCGTAGCTTCGGCGAATCAGGTACAAGAGTGTCTGGTGAGACTGTCAACACCAATCAGTTTTCAAACCCGATGTAAGGAACGTACCCGCTGTGCATGGAGGTCTGCCTGTTGTCCATCGGGGCTGACAAAATTGCCGTTAACTCGCGCCTCGTCAATACGATCAAGTTTCCGCTGAAACTCGAAAAGGTCTGTCTCACGAAGAGACCACGCTTGCGTCACGGACAGCCGGTCTAATTGATTGCGAATCTCAACCAGACGTTCGTATTGCTCCTGGAATCCTTCGCTGATTTGTCCTTCCCTATACGGTTGGTCAGCCAGATTTCCGTTGGTCTGAAGTTCGAGTCGTGCGCACCGCTCCAGAACAATCTCAGTCCACCGCCAACATCGCTCCAATAATGCTTTCAACGAATCCTGTCCCTGAAGAGGTGCGCCATCAGCACCGATAAATTGACCGTCCTTCAAAGATCCCTGAATTTTCTCCAGTTGCTTTCGCAGGCTAGTCACTTCCGATGGAGAGAACTGTCACTGAAGGTTAGTATGGACGTCCAGGCTCTCGTATGATGAATTGCGCCAACACACCTTCGATCGGGTATTAACCGCAGACGTCGACCGCAAAATAGAAACAAGTGTTTCATGTGTAGGCGCAAGCTCAGGTGCCAAAATGGAAAGCCCCTTCTGCAGGCTTTCCAGGTGCCACTCGCATTGTTGGATCCGACTCTCCAGGAGCTTCAATAGGGCTGGGGAATATGCCTGCCTGCCGCGCTCGAGAGTTTGGCGCATGTCTGCCAAGGTCTTGGTAATTGAAGAAAGGTCTTTGGAGCTATAAAAGCCGGCTTCTTCGAGATGGTCGAGCAAGCGCTAGATCTAGTCAGAAGAAAGTACAATCAGGCGATAAAGCAATAGAAGTACCTTAACCGTAGTCGCAAGCGAATATCTGAATCACTATCAGCCACATACGTCAACGCGCGGAGAGTTTCACCTACACTGCTGGAGCTTCATTGTTTTTGCCAACGGTCAAGAACAATAAGGAAATCAGCTGAAAGCAATCATCCAAAACGTAGTCCACTATAATCCCAGCCCAGTCCAGTTAGTCATATCCTCAAGCCATATGGCTCGTGCGCAAACCGTTGTACTAACATCGGTTGTGAGGTTGCCGAGGATCCTGTCCTTCCCGGACTGCATGCAGTTGTTCCACCTCCTGAATTACAGTTTCGTACAGCGGAATCACATCGCGAGACTTTATGTAGGACGACTTGTCTCGTTTCAGCAATAAAAGAGCATCGCGGGTGCGAAGAAGGCGTTCAAGGATAGGCTGTTCTTGCGGATCACGCGGAACAGGAACGGCGGGGGAATCCATGATGGAGGAAACCAGAGAGTCCGGTGAGGAAGGAGAAAATCGGAAGCGAGAGTGGTGAGAGTAAAGAAAATAATACAATGTCGATCCAGATAACGAACGAGTCGAAGAAACAAAGGTGAAGTTGATAGTACTAAAAGCGGTGCATGAGGTAGTATGATTTCTGCCTCAGGCTCTGAGGCGGAGACGATGATGGCATCGCTACCCACTATTCCTGTTTCGGAAAGAGTATGCTCACCGCCTAAACTAATCTCAAATGGGACAGCCCTCTCGCTTAGGGCTTTGGCAGCCAAACACACAAATTGGACCAACCGCCGCGGTGGGTTTCGTTTCGGGTAAGTCGTTCGCTGAGACCTCCTTCGCGACCTTTTCTCTCTTTCCTTTCTCTCTATCCCATCCCGCCAACTACAGACTCCCCAGTCCCTCGACAATAACCTCGCCGACCACCATGTCTACTGCCGAGCTCGCTTGCTCCTACGCGGCCCTCATCCTCGCCGATGACGGTGTCGAGGTTACCGTACGTTCCTTGCCCTCGATTTGAAATTACGCGCGATTGTTGGGGAATAGATGGGAATACAATAAATGGCATACGCGCCATTGTGAAGAGGAGGGATTATACTGGAGGATTTTTTGAGAAATGGGAAAATGCGCATGTCAAGACGGACTCCGGCTGATGAATTTTCATTATACAGGCCGACAAGCTCCAGACCCTCCTCGGTGCCGCTAAGGTCCAGGAAGTCGAGCCCATCTGGACTTCCATCTTCGCTAAGGCTCTCGAGGGCAAGGATATCAAGGAGCTCCTGACCAACGTTGGCTCTGGTGGCCCCGCCGCTCCCGCCGGCGCTGGTGGTGCCGCCGAGGCCCCCGCCGAGGCTGCTGCTGAGGAGAAGAAGGAGGAGGGTAAGGATCACAATTTGATGGCTCAACGATCATCTGGGAAATGATACGCTAACTTCTTTACAGAGAAGGAGGAGTCCGACGAGGACATGGGCTTCGGTCTTTTCGACTAAGCGTCTCGTTTGCTCTCTTCCGTGTTTCTCGTTTTTTTCTGTCTCCTTTTAACGTCAACCCCCTCGTATCCGATATTACGCCCTGCACGAAGACCGAAATGGGAAAAGAAAAAAGAAGATTATACGGACAAGGACATCCAGTGGGACTGGGCGCTTTGCTTGCATGATGGGTTATGTCGTGACAGAGGTAATGGAACGGATGACGCTAGGATTCCGGCAATAGAAATGATACAAAAAAAAAGCAAAAACGTTTGACTTGCTTTGTTTTACCGGGGACTTCTACAACATCTCCGGGTATATACCATTAATTGCGATATGACTTGTCTAGTCTAGTGCCCAGTTTCAGGCCATGTCTGCCACGTGACCATGAACAAAAGGATTCCGTCTGCATTTCTATTCTCTGTATAAGCACAAACTCCGATTGCAAATAGAAAACACCCAACGCCATCCTATTCCCATAAAACGAGCAAATTGTCTAGCCCCATAGATTCGCCTATAACTTTTGAACTCCGTAAATTTTTTATAGTTCGATGTGTCAGAACATGTACCTCCGAAACACATGCGCGATCAAACCAAACCTAACCCAAAACGGTGGTTTTCTAGAATGTTGCAAGTCAAGCGACGGCGACACTGGGTGGATCCCGGACGGCGTACAAATGGAACTGCACGAAAATCATCACGTCCTCGGCCATTGTGCCCAGCGATCCAATCAGCCACGGGAGATTCGTAAGGATGTAGTTCTTCTCGGTGGAATGGCAGAGGATCTGTGATGTTAGAAAAAGGTACTGGCTTATATGGGAGAAGAACTTACCCCAGCGCCATAGGTCAGGTTGCCTAAGACAGAGAGAACGAAGAACAGCAGGGAAAGACCCTCGCACGATTTTTCGCAGTAGTTCTTCCAGATCTGAGGCAATCGCGCGCTGTTCCCCATTAGTATCCAAGATCGATCGCTCCCCAAACAGATATTCACTCACCCCAGATAACACACAGCACTGATATACCCCAATACCTGCGCCCCCACAGCCATATCAACACCCCCATTCTTAACAGGCAGCGCGGGCTTCCACATTCCCGACTGCCAGGCGACAACCCATCCAACGCAGCCAATCATCACAATAGCCAGAACACTACTAGTGTTCTTCACCCACGCACTCCGTCCACCATCCTCACCCTCATCCAACATCTTTGCTAATGGGTCCTCCATTTCGCTACCACGACGACCATTCAAAAGCGCATCCCTCTGCGCCACCACCGGGCCAGCTTCTAGGTTATCGCTAAAATGTCTACCCAGTAACGGGGTCGTCGGATCGGGTGTTTCGGTTGACGAGCGACGTCTGCGTTCGAAGGCTTCGAGGCGCGAGTTGCAGTTCTTGTAGTAGATGCATTGGCCAATGAGGACGCCGTCTGCGATGCAGAAGTAGAATGCGATGGTGATGATGACGGGGACGAGACCGGCCCAGAGGCCACCAATAAGATTGGTTATGTCGCCAACGAACCAGATGAAGATGAAGAGGAGGGAGATGGCTTCTGCGTTTCCATTGCGGTAGTTTTCGATCAGTTGGGGGACCTGTTATTGGGGAGATTTCGTGAGTACATATCCCTCTTTTCATATACTTCAGGTATGAGGGGGGAAACCTTACCAACAAGAATATCCAGCATGTCAACGAAATGGATCCCAGAAGACCCGACGCAGCTTCACGGACCGTCAAGGGCATGGTTTGCTCCGCAGAGACCCCAGACAGTAACTCCAGGAATGGCATGACGAGAGGGTTTGCGACAAGGTCTATAAGGTTATCTGACAGTGACAGCACAGGTGAGCTATAGGGAAGGAAACATGAGGCGGGGGAAAGGTTTCAGCATCTAGAATATTGTGCCCAAAAGAAGAGATAAGCGCAATTCAGGAGGTAGAGTTCATTCAAGGAGATTTGAGTTGTAAAAAAAAAAAGATCTGAATCACGGAGTATCAGAATGGTGGAGCGGCCGCGATAAGGATTGCTGATTAAGCAGGAGAGGACAGTGTTGCGTCTGCGACTACGTTTCAGGTTTTATAGAAATAGTAAAGATAGTATAATTTGGCATATGAAGGCATGATTGCACTGATGCCGTTGAAACTGCCGAAAGTATTTTAGGCGCAGTGACGCATGCATATCATTGGGCTGAGGAAGGTGTGTTATGCACCCCTGATGTAAAGATATACAAAACAGTAAGTCTCCACGAGATCGGCATGGCGCTGCGTCCTTTATATATATATCCAGACCAATCGGCATTTTTCCAGTGGTATCAATTCTGTATTCTAAAAAGTACCATCACACCCCGCATCACCATTCACATGCTCTGCATAAATCATCAAACTTGATCCTGCAGCATCTCCAACTCGTTTTCCAACATTGCCACCACAATGTCACCCAACGCTTCTCGGATCGGCCCGTACAGGAGCTGCTGTTGAGCTGAATTGGGCTGGATTCCATCCAATGCATCTACATAATCCATAAGTGGGGTGTAATCAATAAGCTCATCCCAATTACCCGGGTCGACACCATGCTCTTGGAGGTATGCCTCCAAAGCCTGCATGCCATCAGCCAAGAGCCACTGCTGGAGCACGGGTTGATCCTCGACTGATGGATGTGGGACGCCTGCTGTATGTCCTTCCTCAGTCTCTTCACCGGGACGAAAATCATCATTATGCACTTCTTCGTCCTCTCCTTGTCGGAACCGAGGGAAGTGAATGGCTCCGTTGTTGATCTGGTCGAGAAGATCACGAAGCCATTGTGGTCGTCCAACCTCCGGAATTCGAGACAAGTATGACGGGGTTGGGTCAGACTGCTGGCGGTGAGCGTCCGATTCAAAAGGAGGGAGAGGATCGGATGCGGAAATACGCCCAGAAACGAAGCGACTAGGAAGATGGGTGGTGACCCGAGGAATGTCGGAAAGAATCACATGACGAGCAATATCCAATGTGATCTCCGGCGGTTCAACAGGTTCCTCCTTCTCTGGTAAAGTATCCGCGACCTCGACAATCAACGAAACGATCTCTGGTGTGTTCCAGAGGTCCTTCGCTCGTGCGATGTACAGTTCGGTGAGTAGTTCATGAACATCAGTTGGTGGCATCTTGCCCCAGACTCGCTTGGGCATAGGCTGGATATCTAGTTCCTGTGCGAGTCTACAGAACACCCATGGGTAGCGGGACATGGCAAGACGTAGTTGTTGCCGGCATTCCTGAGGTTTGTTCAGGCGGAGATAAGCCAGTGCAAGCGAGCACTGGATATTGGGATACTTTTCCCATTCCTCACTCAACCGAGTCTGGGTACACAGCTCAACAAAATGAGCATATTCCCTACCTCGAAGAGCCAGGTGATCGATCATTAGTCTAATGCAATACGGGTCATTTGCATTAAGGCTGAGAAGCAGCTTAGCCCATTCATATGCAGTCCTCCATGTCCCCTTCATCCCCAAATTGGCGATGTATCTCCACCCCACAAGCCAAAGTTCCCGGTTTTCTGAATGCCCGAAGTCAAGCTTTGCCTGCCCCTCTTTGATGCGGTTGTTGAACGTCGAATGGGCGGAACGACCAATATTGAAAAGTGCACGCTCAAGAAGGTCAGCGGATACGGCATGGTCGCCCTGATGCTTGGCTATATCAGACACTTGAAGTATCGTGGAGATATGATACGGGTTGTATTGAAGGAGGGCGATTAATCTTTGCGGGTCCATCGATTCGACGCACAGATCGAACTGCCGCTGTACATCCTGATACGAGAGGTTGTGTACGATCCGATATTTCGTAGAACCATCCGGAAGCCTTTCCTCCAATTCCATTCCCAAACCACCGTTAGGAGCACGGGGCCATTCATCATTTGCCTGCATGAGAGAGTTCCGCCGCAAAGTCACGCCCGCTAAGCTTTGTCCTCGACTTGCTGGACAGTATCTTCCGGTCAAAGCGCGCCCAAGATCCACCGTCTCGGTTCTCCCTCTTCTGCGGCCTGCCCCGGAGTCATCCTGGTCAAAGTTTTCCAACACGACGTTTCCGAACAGCTTCTTCATTTCGTTAATTGCATTAAGGGCTCTCGGGTCGATACCTAATAGTTGTTCGGGGGTCTTTGGGAACGAGCGATCACTCGTAGACAATGTAACATTGCCATCTTGCCCGGGTTTGTTCTCGACGGCCAGATCTTTCAGGGCGTTGTCAATATCATTCAATTTTGCACCCTTTGTCTTGGTAGATGCTGGCCCTTCCGCACCGCTTGTTTTGGGAGGAGTCTTCTTCTTCTTCTTCTTCTTCTTCTTTTTACTGGCTTCGGTGGGTTTCGAGGGTTCAGGTTCAGGTTCAAATTGTGGCAGTTGGGGGGTCACATCTCCGGTATCTTCTTCAGGCTCTTCCTCTTCCTCTTCTTCTTCCGCAGCATTCAGAAGATCGAAAGCGTTGAGCTTCGGTTTAGATGGTCGCAAAACGGTTTCATCTTCGCTCGATTCGTCTTGGTCGGCTTGCTGCAATTCCTGCTCGCGAAGCCTTTGCAGCTTGCGAACCGCGCGGGAGGACATCCAGGAAGACTAGTAAAGAGGGCAGAATAGTTTATAATGTTAGTGCTGTTAACATTAAAAAGCATCAAAATAAATCTTCGAAAGACCGCGGGGAATGACGACACTGCCGAGTCGGGCCTAGCGCAAGATCGGAATCCCAAAGTGGAAGCTCACGTGAGATACTTTACCTTATGCCATTACATCACCTGACCTTCCCCGTTTCTCCGCGGTATCGACTATCGAGCACGGTTTCACGCTCACCTTTGGAGTAGATCCCCTTCTCTATTCTTCCAGCAGGCGCTGGACCTTTCCTGCTTCGCAACGTGTTGTGATCTTATTTTATCCGCAGGCCAAATGCGTCGTGCGGCTATTCAGGCTTACCGCACTGCTCGGCGTGTACCGGGATGGAGAGTCGCACTCAGGAAACCGTGCATTTCGTTCTCCAGTCACCAGGCTCTCACCTCGCCCGTCGGCAGAATTCCAGCCTCTCTACAGTCCTCAATGCAGCTACGAAACTTCTCCCTCGCTGTGATTTCCACTATAATTGCCTCAGGAGCTTGGTATGTCTACCAGGGTGACAACTCCCCGTTAGCATCAGTGGCGGGTTTGAATAGAACTTCGCTGTCGTTGTCGGGTATCGCTACAGCACATGCCGAAGCACCATCGGACTCGACTCGTCGTGCGCTCCTTGTGGAAAACGACCAGTTTTACACCACTGTCCTCTCCGAAGATCAGCCCCTTTCTAAGAAGACTGACGACTCGGACCGCCGCGTTCTCGGAATGTTGACACCGGAGCAAGCAACGCAGAAACTGAGGAAGAACCAAGAGTCCTACTTGGTGAATCGCGGAAAGGGAGTGGTTCGATACGACATTGTTCAAGTTCCCAGCAACTCGCCCATTGAAGATGACCATGCGGAAAAGATTGTCGAGGTGCCATCGTCCGTGGCCGCTTCTAGGGAGGGCAGTGCAAATAGCGACTGGATGTTCTGGGCGGTGTTTGATGGTCACTCGTAAGTATTATTTTGGGAGGATCTCATAACATGTTCTGATTCCGAACTAGAGGATGGACCACATCGGCCAAACTACGCAATGTCCTTATCTCCTACGTCGCCCGAGAGTTGAATTCTACCTACAAGACTGCGGCTATCGACCCTTCGTTGCTCCTCCCATCCTCCGCGGCCGTGGATGCAGCTATTAAGCAAGGATTCGTCCGTTTGGATAACGATATCGTGCACAACAGTGTTGACAAAGTCTTCAAATCTAGTTCCCGGAGTGTTGCTGCTGAACTCCTTGCTCCCGCTCTATCTGGCTCCTGTGCTCTCCTTGCTTTCTATGACTCTCAGTCCAAGGATCTGAAGGTTGCTTGTGCTGGTGATTCTCGTGCGGTCCTGGGCCGTCGAGGGCCTGGTGGGAAATGGACTGCTACGCCACTCTCTGAGGACCAGACTGGTGGAACTCCGTCGGAAATGAAGCGTCTGCGGGAAGAACATCCTGGTGAGCCCAACGTCGTCCGCAACGGGAGAATCCTCGGCCAATTGGAACCCAGCCGTTCATTCGGAGACGCGTTCTACAAGTGGAGCAAAGAAACCCAGGAGAAGATCAAGCGGCAGTTCTTCGGACGAACTCCTTCTCCACTACTCAAGACCCCTCCTTATGTTAACGCAGAGCCCGTCATCACAACGACCAAGATTGATCCTAGTCAAAATGACTTTGTCGTCATCGCGACTGACGGTCTTTGGGAGATGTTGAATAATGAGGAAGTTGTCGGGCTTGTGGGTCAATGGCTCGAACAGCAGCGCGCTGGTGGTGACAAGTCGTGGCTGAAGAGCTGGTTTGGATTTGAGAACAAGCAATTGCCCGTGGAAGCTTCTCAACAGGAAGCTCTAGGAGGTCAGCGTGTCCCCATTCGCCAACAACAGTACGATATCTCGGCTGCCGCTGAGAGATTTGTTACCGAGGATAACAATGCTGCCACTCACCTTGTCCGTAATGCCATGGGCGGCAAGCACAAGGATATGGTCTGCGCATTGCTGACCCTTCCTAGCCCGTATTCACGGAGGTACCGGTAAGATACATGCCCTCTTTTGAAGTAATCGAAGGACCCGTGGACTAAAAATTACCTAGCGACGATGTTACCGTTGAGGTCATCTTCTTTGGCGACAGCGCTGACACCCGTACGGTTGCCATCAACCAGGAAGCCAGCGCTACAGATGAGAAGGAGAAAGCCAAGCTCTAATTACCTCCCCGTTTAGTCTTCGACTCTCGCATTTTGTTTATATTTGTGTTGCATCTCTTTCACTTCACATCTGGGTAGGTCTTGTTTTACGGCACGTTTGGTACGGCGTTGATTTCAATTTAGTAGTCTGTTTAGGCGACTTTGGGATGCATGCTAGATCTTTGTAGAATATTATACATATCGCTTGCCAATAATTCTTCGATTCGGACCATAGTCGCTCATTTCCTTATTCCCCGACTGCCACGTGAACAGTCATGCCCTGAACATAAGATGTGCCTTCGAGTCTTACTCTACGACAAACAAGCGCAATAGGGCGTAGGGATAGAGCCGCTTTCGAGTTTTCCTGACAAAGTTGCTTATCCCTGTACTTTCGAGTCGCTTCGCTTTCTTCCCTTTATGCAGTATAGCAAGCACAACTACTCACTTAACTATAATGCCTCTTTAAAATTTTCAATGAAGCAGGTATTACAAAGAAAAGAGAATCATAAACAGATTAGCTAGATGAAGGAAACATGGCCAATCCTACAAAGAAGATACAGAAGACAACAAGGGGAGTGGCATTTTATACTACAGTTTTTCCCACCTCCAAAGACGATCGTTAAACACCATGAAAATAATTTGGTAGCCTATGAGATGGCATGGCAGTTAATGCAAATAAAAATAAAATAGGAGTCACTGTTTACAGGAGCAGCTTTGTTTTTATTTTCATATATCTATATTCAGACCGGCCCTGCGCCTGAATCCTATTCCCCCAACTATCTTTTTCTTTTGATTTCTCACTCTGCGCTTCGCCGCGTTTCCAGGCGCTTGGTTGCTTGGTGGCATTCCCGTTGCTTGGGAGTGGCCGGTGTCGACTTGTCGGATCTCTGTTTGTCGCACCGACGCTTGTCGTTGCCATTGTTTTTTGGATTGAATTTGGGATTGGGCGACAATTTTGGGGTTTTTTGTTTTTTTGGAGCCGAGAAGAATCTCGAGGGCGTCTCGAGTTAAATGCAAAGGTGAGTGCTGGCGCACTAGTACATATTATAGACGAGCAATTGATTATAACAGTCCAGTCGGCTCGGTGGTATCGTGAAAACGAGACCAAGCAACATGCCAGGGAACCAAAGCCTCCGTTTCCCCCTCCAAGACGACGACCTCAGTGAAGATGACCTTTTCGTCCCTTTCTCATCAATGAGACTCGATCCACCCTTAGAAGACGACCCCAGCATCAGCTTCGCGCTCGCCAATATAGACGTGAGCGATGACGAGGGCGAACCAGTCCCCGTGAGTCCCAATCATCGTTTGGTCCCTAGTATATTCACAGGGATCTTTTCCAGACCCCAATCAGCCCGGGGCACCACTTATCAGCAGACGAGAGACTCCCTCACGGATATAGTTAACAGACTCATGCAACTTGAGCGTCTTGTCGGCCAGCATGTATCTGCCCCGATACCAATCGCGATCCACACCCAACCAGCCTTCGACGAGGCTCCGTACCCTAATCAGCCGGCGAACTGGGAGACGCACCACGAGTACTTTCTTTGGTCGTGTCGAGGTATTGTCTCCACAATCACAGACCATCTTCAGGCGGTTTTCCAATTCTCGCCGCCGTTAGAGAGGTCGTTCGTGAGGGCTAAGTTGAATGATCACAACGCACTGAGGCAGTTTGAATTCTTGCAGGAGTATCTCCCAGGCGAGTCCCATTCGATCCAGCGTGCAGAGGCTCGTATTATCTTGTGGGAGACGGGTTTATCGGACCCAGATGCTCAAGAGGGCAGACAGCACATGGAAATACCCCAATTCAGTCCCACAGACCATCGATACGAGAGACCTAAGATACCGCATGGTCAACCCCCTTTCACCGACTGGGTGCACATTCATGATAGCTATCTCTTGCTGTTTTTGGGCCATCATCCTCACGTTTTTTTGCGGCAGTGTCATTGGATGTTCGATTGCCAGCCGACGGATCATTTTGTTTCTATTAGGATGGCACAGCTTCCGTTTTTGGGTATTTCCGCAGAGGATATTAGCGAAGCATTGGTGACTTTAAAGCGGTTTGGCTCACCAGCAGCGGCCGTTGAAGAAGGTGTTTTGGTTATTTGAATCAACAAACTGATGTTTTTAAAAACATGGAGCACTGGTATTTAATGTGTCGGACTCGCGGTAGAAGCTATCATGAATTTTGCTACGTATAGACCCGGTTATTGGTTGATGATAAATGTATTCATTCTCCCAGATTATGAAAATATAAAATAATAAAACAAAAACAAATCAAAGAATTGCCAATTCGCGGGTCTCCCTATCCCAGAGCAGTATGGACTTTCCTTGGGCGGGGATGCCCTTCAGCTTGATGCCATTGATGGCGGTATATTCCACCAATACATGGCCCTTATGGATAAAATCATCTCTTTCTGGCGTGGGGCCCATGTAAATCGTGATGTGGGAGTCATCTGTGTCGTGCGTGTAGACCCCGTCTCCCACAGGGACTTGGGTGGTGTCATGGTCATGGCTTCTGTGGGTCCGGTTGTCAGTTGCTGTAGCTCTGGGAAGCAGAACTTAAAGCCCGCACGGCGGCTGCGACCTGTAATATGTGTTCCAGCATTGTATGTCTATACCTGTCTCCAACGACAGAGGCAATCCAGATGACCTAGAGATAAGTAGCAGCCATAACGGTCTTGAGGGGAGCAACTCATCATTGGGTCATCAATAGTTTCTATACCGTAGGATATTGGTGCATCCGGCTCTATTATCTTGATTGATGTAATATGGCATGTTTTGATTATTGTCCATATACTATCTGCAATGTTAAACTCTACAAGTTCAAGGTTATCGATGGAAGGGAAATGTCAGACGGGAGATTCTGTTATTTGCACCCTACAGCTCCGATAGGAAAGGCACCGTGTTAATTACTACATTCACTACTCCAAGTGACTGATCTGGACAGTTCCCGAAGACCTAAATTATGTATAGATAGTTGCATACAATTCTGAATTTTCATTGGCTGATCGGCCCGATTTACCAGACTGCCACCGCCTCGGCAGACCTTGCAGACCTTAACCGCATGGCCCTTCTGTCTTTCATACTAAGCAATTGTCATTTCAATAAACATGCCTATCAATTCCCTCCGAGTGCTGCGTACCCCATGCATCCCAACTCGACAAACTCGCCATTTTCACGCGACAAGACCAGTTCTACTCGTCAATGAGGTATTAGACGCCTCTGCCGGCTTCATTCATGGTGTCCATACAGTCTCCTGCCTTCCATGGGTCGCATCCATCCCATTGACGGCCATAATTGTCCGTATGTCAGTCGGACTACCGCTACAGATATACAGCAAGATCCAAGCACGCAAAGAGCAGGATGTCGCTCCAATCATGACCTCTTGGAGACACAACTACCAAGCACAGATCAGGAAAGATGTCAATCGCTCCAGTGGAGACCCGATGATGGCAGGTCAGGCGAACATGCAGTTACTAAAGATGATCAAAACCAAGAAGCGCGCTTTGGATAAAGCCTGGGGCATCCATCGATTCTGGAAACCTGTGCCTTTCTTGCAACTTCCCGTCTGGCTCTCGATTATGGAAAGCCTGAGAGCGATGTCCGGAAACAGTAGCGGGTTGGTACCGTGGCTCTTGTCGCTGACACGGAGCTCGTCAGATATATCCTTGGCAGTTGAGCCGTCGTTGGCTACAGAGGGAGGCTTGTGGTTTCAAGATCTTCTTGCTGGGGATTCAACGGGCATCCTTCCTATCTTTTTGGCAGGATCTATTATTACGAATATCCGTACTGGATGGAAGGCTCCTTCCTTCAAAGAAATTGCCAGCTTGCCGCGGCCAGAAAGGGTCAGACTTGTCTCTTCGCGGCTGCTGAAACTGTTCCTCCAGACTCTCGCCTTGTATGTTGGTGCTGCGTCTTACGTGTATCAAATGCCTTGTGCACTTATGATTTACTGGATCACCAGTACAAATCTGGCTACCACGCAATCGCTCCTTTTGGACAAATTCATGTTCAAGCGGCCGGGTCTCAAGCAGTGGAGAAAATTTGCTATTGGACATCCTCCTTTGAAAAAGGCATAAGTGTGTTAATTTTCTAAATGCTGACACACTGGAAGCGTTTTGCGGCCAGAAACAAAGATAGTTAGACCCCGAAGCACGATTTTGGTTCAGATACCCCAAGATAGGCAAGAAATGAAACAATAATTCTAGACACGTCTATAGTTCGGATATAAAAATGTGATGCACGGTGGTTTGCAAGTGGGGTCGGTTTGGATTACTATAGCCATACGAATGCTATCGATACATAGATGTGAGAGTACTGCACTTTCCTACTCACATCTTAAGCCATTCATGTTCCACAGTCTGGCTCGTAGGTGGACGACTATCGGGTGCATACTGGAATATCTTCGTTAGCATATTCGAAACACTTTAGCATCCTCAACCATCCATAGTGGTGCATTACAGGTACAAAGTGATACGATTCTATCCAGAATCAAAAACTCTTGGAATTTCTCGCGGATATTGGTGTTTCCCTTCGTATAGATCCCCTAGATGAACTGGATAATACCCCCCAGTCTATAGCAGTGTACAAATGCCAGTCCATTTCCAGGAATTCGTAGTTGTAAGCCTCCCATTCTGCTCGGTTTCTTTGGAACGTTGATGAAAAGGTAGCTCTGATAAAGTCATGTGACTTATATAATACACACAATACCATACATACGGTAATACCACTTATCGATAGCGCCGTCAATCATCTGCCAACTCCGACTGACAACGCTCAAACACCCCTCCCTTCGAGAAGCCAGAAAATAGCAATCCTTCTACTATGCCCTAAATCGCCATGGCCCTTTTGATAAATATCTTGATATCCCTCCTCGCCCTCGCTGCGACCTCTGTCCTCCTCCCCACGATCCCCTTGAGCTTTCTCCGCTTGGGCTTGCGCGGAGTGGGATGGGTTATTCGGAGGAGAACCAGATCGCGCAGGGAGTATACCATCTCACGGGTGCGAACTGAGGAGGAAGAGTTTCAAGCTAAACGGGCTGAGAAGTTGTCACCATCTACGACTCAGGCGGAAGATGAGGACTGGGAGAAGGTCGATACGTCTAGTGTAGGGACAGCTGGCAATAATCACAACGGGCAAGAGAAGAGAGATGAGTCTTGGGATGGGATTATTGGGTTCTTTCATCCTTTTTGGTATGTCTTTTTTGCGTTGATATAAGAGGAGGCTACCCTCTGACATCGTCAAGCAACGCAGGTGGCGGAGGAGAACGTGTTCTCTGGGAAGCCCTGAGAGTGACGCAGAAACGATGGCCAAAAGCGATCTGCGTGGTATATACAGGAGATCATGAGGTTACCAAAACGGCGCTATTGGAGAGGGTCGAAGTATGTTGTTACACTACCAAACAAATGGTAGGCTAGGGTATTGATATGATGCAGAACCGGTTCAACATCCAACTACACGCACCAACAGTGGTCCTGCTGTACCTTACAACGCGTAGGTATGTCGTGCCCAGCATGTATCCTTACATGACGCTCCTGGGCCAGTCACTGGGTTCGTTGGTTACTGTGTATGATGCGTTCAATCTCCTCGTTCCGGACATATTCATCGATACCATGGGCTACGCATTCACGCTTGCGTTCAGCAAAATGCTCTTCCCATCCGTACCGACAGGCGCATATGTTCACTATCCCACCATCTCAACCGACATGCTTAGTTCATTGGACGATGAAACCGGTCTAAAGGGCGTCAACACTGGCGCGGGCAAGGGATTGCGGGGCCAGCTCAAGCGGAGGTACTGGCTTGCATTCGCGCGTCTGTACGGCTGGATTGGAGGCCATGTGGACGTGGTCATGTGCAACTCTTCATGGACGGCAGCGCACATCCGTACAATCTGGGGACCATCACGCACCAAACAAATCCACTCCGAGCCAACAGTCATCTTTCCACCAACAGCCGTCTCGGAGTTACAGTCTAGCATCACCGTCAACGCAGATACGGAACCCACCCGTAAACCCATAATCCTTTATATCGCACAATTCCGTCCCGAAAAGAACCACCCCCTCGTCCTGCGCTCCTTCGCCCACTTCCTCAACAACCTTAGAGAAAATAACCCCCACAACATCCAACCCCGCCTCGTCCTAATCGGCTCCGTGCGCCATTCCTCCCCCGACGAAACCCACATCTACAACCTCCGCCTTCTAACTCATGAGCTCCGCATCCGCGAGTCTACCACCTTCCTCTGCGATGCTCCCTGGCCCACCATTCTCTCGCACCTGGGTACCGCTTCTATCGGCGTAAACGCCATGTGGAACGAGCACTTTGGCATCTGCGTCGTCGAGTACCAGGCTGCTGGTCTGATCAGCGTGGTGCATGACTCCGGTGGTCCGAGGGAGGATATCGTGATTGATCTAGGCGACGGAGCGACTGGATTCCGGGCGACCACGGAAGATGAATTCGCGGCGGCATTTGAGGCTGCGCTTGCACTTCCTCAAGAGGAGAAGGTTGCTATGCGGGAGAGAGCACGGAGATCGGCGGTCCGGTTTAGTGAGGAGCAGTTTGGGGGGAGATGGATTGAAGCGGTCGGGAAGTTGATCGCATGTGGTCACTAGTAAATAGTGTTTACTTAAGGAAGATGTTACTTGAATGAAGCTTTGTTTATGTGGATTTTTTGTTTCTCTTTTTTCTTTTTTTATTAGAAGAAAAGAAAAAAGAGAAAAGAGCTCAGTCGTGTTCAATTAAAAGAAAAGAAATTCATGCATTCATGCAACCGAACTAAACAGGCTACTACCTGACAACAGGGTATAAATCGAGTATGGAGGCCATCCATACTTCCAGGGGGTATGTGTATGTAGTAGTGGACATTCATCATAACACGTAACGCAACAAAGGGGATGATAAAATAAAAAAGAGTAACAAAAGAAAAACAGCCACGGCCATCAACCATATTCAACGCCAGATATCCTTCTATCTTGAAACCGAACCAATCAATCAAACGTAAACATCTCATAGAGAACTCAATTATAACTCAGTCGGACGATGTTAGAACATCTGTCCCTGATTATACATATTCCCTTGGTTAGGATACCTCCCACTCATCCCAGACACACTGCTCAGCCCGGACTCATCATCATCGTACCCGAACTCGCCCCCCGAACTAGCGTCGAAGCTGCTCCGGCCTCCGATGTCACCGCCATCCTCTGCCCCAGCCGGGATCTGATCCCACTGCAGTGTCTGCAAGGCGGGATACTGCGCGAGAAGCGCGGCGGGCAGAACAAAGTTACCCGTGTGCGGGCCGTTCATGTCCGGTACCATGAGGGGTGGGGGGATGGGTTGCAGATGGCCGGTTTGCTGGTGTTGTTGGTGGCTTAGGAGGACACGTTCGCGCTCTGAAGATTCTTCGTCGAGTAAGGGTTTGATGCAGAGACGACCGGCTTCGGAGCGGAAGTGGCGGCCTAGGGCGTCAGCGCGGGCGAAACGGCGACCGCAGCCCCAGTGACCGTTTCGGGAGAGGTCGCCGCGACAGACGAATTTCTTTTCGCCGGAGTGGAGGCCCTCGTGCCGTTTGCGGTCGTGTTGACGTGCGAAGGCTTTGCCGCAGACGGTGCAGACAAATGGTCTCTCGTCGGTGTGGGTTCGTAGGTGAGAGCGCAAGTTGTAGGCTCGTGTGAACCGCTTCGGACACAGGTGGCATTGGAAAGTGGCTGGGTGTTTCTGTGTCCGTCCACGATCGTTGGGAGACGCTCCAGGCCGTTGCGGGTCAGCCAGATCCAGAATATAGTTGCGTTCGATGGATGATGTCGACTGCCGGCGGCTGGATCGGGCAGGCGAAGGCTCTCGAGAACTAGGGTTGCTCAGAGACTGGTTGAAGCCGACAGGGTCAAATGGCGATAGAGATCGACCAGGAGTGGAAGGAGCCAAGCTACTCGCGGCCGATGGAGACCGAGGGCGAGGGGCTGTGCGCGTGTACGGGTCGGAAGCACTGCGAATACGACCTGAACGGCATTAGCATGGACCAAGAAAAAAACAAGAATAGTGACTAACGTGCTGGCGGACTCAAAGAGTCGATGTCCGTCGATTTCGAAACTGCAATAGTAGGATCCCTTGAAGGAGGAGCAAACTCGACATTGATCGACGGCGGGGCCATCTGCGATGCTTGACCAATGTCTCCCGGCATTTGCATGCTTGGAAACGCATCCGCGTTTCCGTACATGTCGGTAGGAGGGTTAGGGTATTGTGTGTTGTTGTTATCAACCGGGCCAGAGATGTAAGGGATGTTGGGGACCATCTCCGGTCCTTGTTGGGGCATCAATTGTGGAGATAGATACGGGCTGTGAGCGGGACTGAAGCCTTGAAGCTGTTGCGGGTGCTGGTGCTGGTGCTGGTGCTGATGCTGATTCTGATGGTCGGACAGCGTGAACGACTCGATTCCCAGATTATCGTAGGCAGGATCATTCTGGGGCGCCAGCAGCGGCGAAGGGTTGTTCTCTACGCCGTCAAAAGACTCATGCTGCGACATGTAAGGCGAAGGCGCAACAGACGAGACATCAGACACCTCCGACGGTGCACGACGATGGCCCTGAAATGCCGAGCTGCCCATCATCGACTGCCAGTCGGCATTGGAGTGTCCCGCAGTCAAAAACGCAGCGGTGGACGGATCCAAGGATGTATGGCGCGAATGCTGCGGGGTATAATACGGCCCTGCGGAGCTTGGAGGCGACATGGGACCCGGGGAGTGTTGGTGCGTAGTGTCCTGGGGCGAAGAAATGGGACTGACCAAATCGGCGGGATTGATCGACTGGCTAGATGGTCGGGACTGTTGGTGAAGCTGGGGATCGAGCAACAGGGACGAGTCATATTCGGGAGCGGTAGTACTACTCGGACTGGCGGGGTTCTGGTAGAGGGAAAAGTCGAAATCGGCTTGATTGGAATTGAGGAGACTGGAGAAGTTCTCCTCCGAAGACATGGGCATATTGGGCGACGAGGATTGTTCCAACTGATTGAGGAGGCTGGTTTCGAATGACTGTGGAAGGCCGTGAGGGGCCGCAAGATAACTAGCGGAGTAGTTGTAGGAATTAGTGCCCGATGCGCCAATGTTCTGGATGTTGGAGTTGGTATTATTGGGATCGAAGTATGGATGAGGATTAGGCGAGGGACTGCGGCTTTTAACCCGCGGGTCGTCGTGAGAAGTCATGGTGATGCGACAATCTCAGAATAGTAGCAAGAGTGCAGAATAGAAACAGCGGTAGCGGGGATCCTTGAAAAAGAACAGGCCAACGCGATCCCAAAGCACCAAGGGGGGAAGAGACGAGGAGTTGAGAGGAGGGAATCCCATTCGCAGAGCACAAGTATGTAGGCTGAGGTCAGATAGTGAGAAATGAAGTCGAAGTGAACCTTGGAATCAGCCTCGTGGCGCAAGTCAGCGGCGCTCCACAGATACGCACACAAATGGTGATAATATGCAAAAAATAGAAAAATGCAACTGCTAGACGGACACTTACCTGATGAGGAGTACCGCTGGTTTCAGAATGCTGATTTAATATTCTGGAGTGAGTGCAACAGGGGGGAACAGAGTCACAGGAAGAAGTGAGGTTGAAATGAAGTTATCCAAGTGGGAGTCGACACCGATGCACGTGAGTTGACAGCAGCATACAACTACAGTTCATTACAGCGGAAATTATATGAGTAAGGAGACGGGAAATTATTGTTCTTTGACATTGGACTATTGGAGTTTATCCTGGCCCATCTAATGATACAGGTACTCTCCACGATCCCGGAGTACTATGCACAGCTCATACATGTCAGGCTCTCTACATAGTAGACAGTGTCATACCCCTGGACAAGAATCTGACAGATAAAAATATCCGTCTCACGTTTATTTATATCAAACACGAACATTTTAAACATTTCCGACCCTGAAATCAGCCTGACGAAACTCTCCCCGGACCACAGCCACACTGCCAGGGACAGGGTTCCGTCACTAGTGTGTACATACTCCGTACTTGGCAATCACAGATCTCCAAAAACACTCACACTCCCCCTAACCTCTCCCTCCTGCTCCACCATGAGATTATCCTCGCAACTCGATCCTAATCCCGCGTTCTCAATCCACGCCGGCTCCCAGTAGTACAATCCCACTCCGCCGGCAGTGGATATGGTATTGGCCAATTTCTCCAAAAACGACCGTTGCCCATCAGCAGAGAACGCAATCGACGAAACATCCGATGGAAAATCATACTCCGGGCTCGAGCATGTAACCGGCCAATCCGTCTCAACAACTACCACATCTTTGCTGTAAGATGACTGCAAATTCTTCAAACTGCTTTCCAAAACCGACAACGTCGCGTCCGCGTTGTAAAACGGATAATACGACACCCCGATCAAATCAAAATCACTCGACTCCAGCGCGGTATCGCTGGCAAGGACACTATCGTAGAAATACTTCTGCGATTCCCAATCCCACCCGTTATCCAGGTGGAACATGATCTTCGGCGTTGTGCTGAGATCGGAATCCTTCACGCCCCACGCACCGGAGTGTAGGATTTTCGCGATGTTGTAGTAGCCATCACTACTATCAGTCTTGCCTAGGGGCCAGAGGAGGCCGTTGCGGATTTCATTGCCGATGGAGATTATCTCGACGTCGAGGTTGTTACTGGCAAACGTGTTGCAGACGTCGATGGTGTGGTTGTAGACTTGCCAGGTGAGGGTGTCAATGTCTGTTGTTGACCAGCCGGAGGGGGTTGTCTTTCCACCTCTTGTCAGTTATCAATACATCATTTCTTTAAGAAAGGGGATACACACTTGATCAGAAGGATCGGCCCACGTATCGCTCAAATGCAAGTCCAAATAAACACCCATTCCCGCATCTTTCACTCTTTTGGCCAACTCCACGTTGTAGTCCAGATCGTACGATCCATCGCTCGGATTCACCCATATCCGCTGTCGGACCGAGTTCACTCCATTACCCGCCAATATAGTTTCTAGGGCTTCTGTCTGGCCATTGGCATTTTTGTAACTTTTGCCAGCGTCTTCTTCAATTAGAAGAGAAGAGATATCGGCGCCGCGGTAGGTGAGCGCCGCAGTGGTAAGCGTGGAAAGCGAGAGGAGGGATAGTAAATGCATATTGTCCTATCAGAACGAATGCACCTGTGGAAAAAGAAAGAAAGAAGAGGATGACTTATTATCTGATACCCTTCATTTATACCGAGCGGAGTACTCTACCCTATGTCCCGTTTCATGTCGGGGATTGATTGACGCTCAATATGCACTAAATTAATATCCTCCTCACCCATCATCAAAGTACATTAACACCTTCTATACAATAAAACATCAAAATACCACAAACACACGAAATAAAACCAATCACACAACAGCCAAGACCGCAACTCCCCATGCCGGCATTTCCACCGTATAATTACCCGAGTTCCCTTTGCTCACAATTCTCTCCCTCTTCGGCACGATTTTAATATCCCCCGGCTTGTTCCCCGCAAATTGCGATCCTGCTAACATCTCCAGAGTACCTGATCTTGTATCCGGAATGTTTGCGATGACGGTTTGGTTGTCTGCGCCGTAATTGGCTAGTTTCAGATGGATGGTTGTCTCGTTCCGTGAGGCGACCCAGTACACTGGTCCGAAATCTTTGGTTGAGTTGACGGGAAGGACTGAGGTCCCTTTGTTGCCGGCGAACATCTGCTGGATGAAGTAGGATGTTGACGGAGTCAGGGAGTTGGGGTTTGAGGAGAAGCCGAAGAGAGTTGGCTGCCATCGTTAGCTATCCGATCCCGATATGAGTAGACAGGGCATACCTACCGACCACTGCGTAAACGCGAAGTTCTGCAGCAACGGCGCATAAGCCGTCATCTTAACAACGTCACTATTCCTCTCAAACCCAATCATATGCACGGCTTCAGCGCAACTTCCCTGCACAAAACTCCAGAACTGTCCTCGTTCAGCAGTCGTGTTGCGACATCCCCATTCTCCAATGATGACAGGCCGATCTCGAGGGAAGTTGTCGAACTGGTTAAATAATCCAACTAGCGGATCCGGCGACTGGTAGTAGTGCAGATCGATCATGACACCTGGTGGTAATGGTGATGGTATACAGTTCTGTACTCCAGTGGAGACGATGATGTTGATATCGGGGTATGTGGCGTTGATGGCATTGTAGATCTGGGTGAATCGGTCGGGGTATGTGGGACATCCACCGGTGTAGTCGTCTTCATTGCCAATTTCGACGTAATGTAGGGGCCAGGGGTCCTTACGACCGTTCTTTGCGCGAAGACTGCCCCAGGTTGAGTTGGAGGGACCGAGGAGGTACTATCGATTTAGTATACTAGCTTTGATACGGTGGATGGTAGACATACCTCAAGCTCGTTCATGATATCATCAACATAAGGCTCCAAGTCTGGTCCAGATACAATACCGCCATACGACTTGCCATCCCAAACAGCCAGCACGGCCGTCATGTTCATGTCTTCGCACCACCACATGTATTCATCGAGACCTAGGGCATCCGTATTAGGGTAGAACCAATTACCTGTAGCAGATTTAGCAATAACCTTTAAAAGTCATTAGAAAAAAGACTACCATCTCGTCCAGGCCGGTCAACTGTAGGTCCAATTGTATTATTCCAAATCCATCGTTTCGGGATTGAAAGGCCCTCGCTGATTACATTAGCTTCTGTCGAGGCAGAAACAGGACAAACCTACATGTTGTTGCCTCCTGGGATGCGCAAAAACGTAGGCTTACTCGCCTCCAAGAATTTGGCAACATCATCGCGCAAGCCATTAGCCCTAGACAGTCAGTTAGCTATTCGATCACTCGCTAGATTAGCTTGTAGTGGCGCAACATACCTCCCCTTATAAGTTGGTGGAAACAACTCCACCAACCCGATGTTCAAGAAACTCCCATTAACCAACGCACCATCGAACAACAATCTCCACTCATTATCCCCATCCTCTGCAGCTCTCGTCGAATTGAAGCTCGTCTCAAACCGTCTGAACTCCTTCTCTGTACTCTCAACGCTCAAATTATACGTCACAAACACATCCCCACTGCTCGATCCAACCAACTGGACCGTCACAGTCCCATTATACTCCCCCATCATCCAAAACGAATTCTGGTACGTAGCGTTTGTAACAGGGACACCTGCATATCCCGTGTTTGCGAAACCCACAAATCCAGTCACGTCTTTTGGTACAGTTACTTGGAGTGAAGCGTTGATGGCGTTACTAACGGGGCGGAGGGGGTCAACGGAAATATCCACGTCGCCAATGGGTTTGTAGGCTGTTAGGTCAGGGTCGGAGCCTTGGAAGCCGTTGTTGCGGAGGAGTTGGGCGTGGATTCCGCCATCGCCTGAGTGGTCCATTTCCTGTACTATTAGAAAGACCGATTGAAAGAAATGGTATAGGGATGGGAGATACCTCAAACATCGCCCCATAAAGCAACGGACTCGATACATTCCCCTCCCTAGCATCCGTATTTACACTCAGAAACACCTCATCATTCCCATGACTCTCCTCAGGCGTGCGTCCAGATAAACGAGTAACAAAGGCCCCTAGAAAGACACTTGCTTTCGTCAGACTTCTCATGATCGTGCCTTAAGGTAGAGTATGTCCAGCACTTCGATTGCACCCCTGGGCCTCCCGGAAAGTATATAACGTGACCAGACGGGAAATAAGCCCCCTGGCAGGAGGAAAGGAGTTCATGGTGCACGTCATGACGGATGGATCAGAGAGTCTGGTTTAGTTGGGGCAGGTTACATTCACTGCAAGTGCTTAGTATTAGACCATGATACGCGATGGTTTGAATCGGGCATGTCCGTACCTACATGTGATGATTGTAGCAGGGGTGTCAGATAACCATAAGACGGGGACTTATAGCTATTCCTGGTATATCTTATTATAGAGTAGAGTGATCGTGTTGTATGGATTAAGGTAGGGTAACAAGATTCCGCGATGATATGACGCTCCACAATTGAAAATCGCCCCACACGGCGGCTCAAGGTTTGATGACGACTTTCCAAGAATACTACATTAGAGTTACAGGATTGGATATAATCGAATAACCATCCATAACCAATTGTCTAATTCCATGTCCTATACTGTACTCATTCCAGGGTGCCACTCCCTGCACACCAGTCAACACATATATATGACCCGGTTCCGTAGAACGCCATCCCAGAAAAGCATAGAGACAACCATATCCAACGCCATAACAGGGGGAAAAAAAAATCAAATCAAATCAAAGCCGCCAATATATGTACAATCAATCATGTATAATGTGTGTGTGTGTGTGTGTGTGTGCATGGCAGCAACAATGGTGATGCCCTCAAACCAACTCCGCAACACCTCAGCATCCTGAAATCTCTATAAACACTGCCCGCGCAGTGACCCAGTATCGTAAAAAAGTCCCATATGTCTGACAAACAATTGACAGAAAAAAAACTCGTGATGAAAAGAGTTTTTTTTGTGTGTGTGTGTGTGCGTGTATGCAATGTTAATGACTGCAAACCCATAGGAAAGGAAAGCTTCAAGCCAGATGTTCGCTGAAAATCCCATTAAATAAAAATAAAAAAAAAAAAAAAAAGATGAGTAGAGAGTCCGTCTACAATACAGATGCCCTGCTTGTCCGGGTCATGACACTGAAATATACTGCTTCAAAAAAAAAAAAAAAAAAAAAAAAAAAAAAACACCAAGGTTGAAGCTTTAAAAAAGAGGATGAATGGAAAAAAAAGGCTTTCAGGTACTCTCTTTCAGGAGAGAGTATCTTGCAATGTCGTTCGTCAGACGACATGCAAATTGAAATAAAAAAGAGAATTGTGGCCCGCATCAATAGACTGGGAAAAAGAATTTTTATGACATGTTGCTGCTGCCGGGAATGATCGGCTTATGCGGCGGCGGTTTCTTCTTGCCAATAATGAGTACTTCATCGTCGGAATCGTCGGAATCTTCCTCTTCATTGTCGCAGTAATACCGATCTTCATCATCTTCTGTCGGCAGGTCGGAGATTGATTGCGGCGCTTTGACGGTTTCACCAGTACGAAGGATCGACGGAATCTGAGCGACGGGCTCACAGTCTCCAAAGTCCTTGGTTCCGTCGTACGGCCCGTCGATCGAAAACGAGGATGCTCCTGAGACGACAGACGGAATACTCGGATAAGACTCACTGTGGGACATGCCACTATTGTATTCATCGGCAGAGGACGACGAGATGGTCGCGGCTGACGGTGGCGACGTGGTAAGCCCACTGTTTGGAGCATCCGTAGACTTATTATCTGTCAAAGACTCTGCAGTTTTAGGGGGCGACGGAACTTCTTGTGGGCAACGTAAAAGCTCGTTGGAGTACGATTCATCTTCAACGGTTTTGGAGAGACGTGAGCTTGATGCATTCTCAGGATGTCGCTGGCGCAACAACGCTTCTCGGGTCAGGGTGAATGATTCCGCTGAAGGCCGGGCTGGAAGCTGCTGAGATCGATTGCGCCGATGAACCGTGTGCAAGGAGTGTGGACTTTGAGTTCGCGACGATGGGGAACTTGCTCCCTTCCACAAGCCAGAATTCTGCATTTGGCCGACCGCTGAAGCGATGCTGACGGCAAGGCTAGGTTCCGAGCGCCGGTCCCCTGCTATTCCACCTGCACCTGCTTCCCGGGCTGTCACCATCTTTTCTGGGCGCCAATCGCCTGTTTGAAGGCCCCTGGCGAGTCGGCGGCTTGCACCACCAAATAGACCACCAATACTGCTGGTTCCCAGCGTTTCGACGAGACTGGGAGTCGTGGGGCGAGGAGGCTGTGCTATCCAAAGAGTTGCCTCCGGATCTGACGGTGTAACCGTTTTGACTGAATCAGCGGTGGATGCTGTCGACGTAGCGCGCTCCAAAACATCCGGTCTCGGAGTGGTGGCCTGCATCTGCGGAAGACTGGGATCAGATCGCGAATCCTGCATCACAAAGTACGATGTCTGGTTTTCTCGACCGATAGGGCTGGCGGCGACACTCCGTGAGAGCGGGTGTTCTTCCCTGCCCTGTCGCGAGGACCGGGCGGACCAATCCTCTTCCACGCGCGGACTGGGTTGACGGCTTGTGTTGTTCCAGAGATATTTCCCCAAGGAAGTACTGCTGCTGTTACTTGTGCTGGTGAAGCTGTCCGTGGCCGAGGTGCGCTTTTGACTATCTTTGTCCTTGTCTTTCCTTCCCGTGAGATAGTTACCCCATTTGCTCATCTTCTCTTGCACCCGTTTGATGATGGGAACCTTGCTGACGGCCGACGTCACCTCTTCGCTGGAGACCTCAATCCGCTTGCCTTTGCTCTGATAGTTCGGATCCGTATCCGCCACCCAGCCGCGAGGGTTGGGTAGGCCATGGAGCACCCATGGGTGGTGCTTGATTTCTTTTAAAGTAATCCGCTTGACGGGGTCCTTTGTTAAGAGGCGCTTGAGTAGATCGTACAGTTCATCGTCGATATCCTCGTATTCAATCTCAAATTGCTGTCGTTTCTCGCTGCCGAGCGACTTGGGCCATTGGCTAAATGTACCGGGATCGTCCTCCACCGGCTTCAGACGCTTCCGGGGAATGTAAACTTCTTTCTTCACAATGGTCTGGAACATGCTGTACTCATCGTCCGAGACAAAGGGCAGGCGGCCAAACACCATCCCGTATAGGGTCACACCAAGCGACCATACGTCGATTGCACCAGTGATCTTGGGCACGCTGCCCACTTGGTCCAAGAAATCATCACCAGTGTAGCAGAGTTCGGGCGCGTAAAACGCCGGGGTACCCACGGTCTTGGATAATTCTCGCACGTCATCGACCTCAGTCGTACCGTTCTCCGCCTGCTCATCTTCTTCCTCGTCTCGCATCGGGTGCCCAAGATAGGAAACACCAAAATCAGAAATTTTGACCCGGTGATCCTTGGTGAGAAGCAGATTCGCCGGCTTAATGTCACGGTGGATGATGCCCTGATAATGGAGGTATTCCAAACCGAGAACAGAATCTCGAAAGGCATGGCGGGCTTCGTTGATGGTCAAGCAGGGCACGTAAGATATTTCATCATCTTCTGCGAGCCATTCCGGCTCGGATGGTGCATAGCCGAAACTGCTAGATGCCGTACTGAAACGTCGTTCAAACGGACGGGGCGGAGTGATCTCTGCATAGGGCCCGTACATACTGCCTTCGACAGCATTTAATGCAGGGTCGCATGCCGAAGAGAAAGATGGACTTGGAGAGTCGTCATTATTACTACTCAGAATAGAGCGACTGGACGTACGGGCGATCGCTAAACCGTTGGCAGCTTCCTCATCGTCGCCCTCCTCATCCTCTGACTCCGCACCGTGTTCCAAACTCCAGGCCGGAATGGGGCCCTGCTGAGCGTATTCCGCCAGTGCTTGACGGCGTTCGCGTGCCTTTTCCCGTTGCCGACGAAGATGCTGGGCAGTTCTGATATACTGGCGACTCTCTTCGAGAAACGAGGGTGAATCATCAATGCCGGCCTTCTCCCGTTCCAAACGGATCTTATCGACATGCACGATTTCTCGCAGGCCGCGTCGACGCCATATGATCTCACCATTTTCGACATATTCGAGAACGATATACACCTTTTGGCGATTCGGGTCGTCGATAACTTCGAGCAGACCAACGATATTGGGATGGCGTGCCTTCTTCAGAATGGCGACTTCCTTTTTCACTTTATCCTCAGGGCTCCCGATTTTGCCCAAGCGACGGCGTTTCGTGTACCGTTGGACGATCTTGATGGCCACTTTTTTCCGGGTTGTCACATGTCGGCCTAGTTTAACCTTGCCATGCTCACCACGCCCCAGCTCTGCGAGAATTTCGTACTCGTTGATCACTTTGTTGCCCGTCACGAGATCACGGTCGACTTCAGCCGTGTGGGTCCTGATGATTAAAATAGTCAGCATTAATTTGTATGACGGATTCTATTTACAGAAGGGGAGATCTCACTCTTTGGGTGGTGGTTGGAGCTGGGTTGGATGGAGATATGGACTACTGACGCGGGTGCCACTATCGGCTGCGACAGGAGTTGAGGAGGCAGGACGAGGGCTTTTGAAAGAGAACAGCCCAGGGCTTGACAGAGGAGTATTACCAGCAGTGCGAGCGGCACGAGACTGGGCGGCACGAGACTGGGCTAGGCGAGAACGAATGTCATGATGGGTCTGTTGAGGTCGCGAGCGCAGTAGAGGAGGCTCGTAGGTGGGGTGCACCTGAGTCTGGAGAGAAGCGTATGACTGGTCAGGATAGACGGGGTATTCCGGGGCAGGAGTCTCGGATTGGCTCAAGCCGGACGTTCGTCGGGGCATGGCCGGGCGTCGATTAGAACGAACATCGACGACGGTGTCCTCATTCAAGGCTTGTAAAGAACTGGTGGAAGTACGAGCGGAAGAATTGCGAGAAGTACTGGCGGAGTAGAGGTTGTAGTAAGGATGGCGGAGAGGGGGTTGCGACTCCCCGTTATCGAGCGGGAGTTTTGCAGAGGGCGGTTTGGCGATGACCTGCTTGTTGGGCTCTGCGGAGTCCGACGAGGAAGGAAGCGGCGATGGATCCTCGGTCAATTCCGCGGACTCGAGAGAATCGCGTCGAGAATAATGGTCTGTGGTCGCAGGAGCCGTGGTGTTGTAGCCATTTCGTAGCACCAGATCCGGGCCGACAATTGAAGGCGGCTGGTGCTGGTGATCGGACATTTTCGACCACGGTGTTCCGCAGTTTCCTTCCAATTTCCACCCTTTCCTATTATGTTTTCTAGATTCCTCTTCTTTCCACGCTTTTCCTTGTTCAACCCCCGTCTCTCCACTGAATAAATGGAAGATTTACTGGGTCTAAGGTGAGCCGGTGAAAAGCTCTGATGATCCGCACGAGTGAGTCGGCATTACTTAGGATCCTCAAATAGGCCAGAGAGGATCATGCAACACCTTGCAACTGTGTACGGGTTATATCTGGATATAAAAGGAAGGCAGATAGTAGGACGTGCGGGCGGACGAGAGAAGAATCGATCGGTATCCCGGCGATAGACCTGCTACAGCACCAGGAGCGCCGATGGCGGAGTAAGTGGGGAGGAGTTGTGAAAGAATTATCGGAGCGGATCGAAGAGGAGAAGAAATAAGAAGGATCTATTGGAGCGAAGATCGAAAGGTGAACGTGTCGAAGGTGAAGTGATGAAGTGGTTGTCGAGGTGAGGTGGTGGAAGCAGCCCGAAGAATTGACGGCGGTCAGACAATCGAAAGGAGGGCGAGAGCGGAGATATGTATAGAAACACCGGGAAAATAAGAAAACGAATAGAAGGAAGCACGGACGCTGGGACAAGAAAGCGGAAATAGGGGAGAGTCCAGACGGGACTAGAAGATTATAAAAATTGAGGATATGTGGGGGTGTGGTTCAGGGAGGCGGATTGAGAGGCGGTCAGAGGCAGCTCGGGGGGGGGACGTTGAGAAGTAAGGAAATATGAGTAAAGAGTTATAAAAAGGAATGGAAAGTGAAATAAAGAATGGAAAGAAAAGATGAAGAATATTGGTTAATGGTAAGAGTAAACTGAGAGTGGTCTGAGACTAGGGAAAGCAGCGATCGGACTGGGCACGGCGGAGATCAGGTGAGTGGAGTATCTGTTACTGACGGATACAGATAGGATTACGAACACCATGTACAAGTACTTGTAGAGTGATGATGAATACTCCATTCTATTCTAGCTATATTCATATGTCTTCTCTATTTTACATTCTATATTCTGTTTTCTAGACTGTATCTCGAGAATGTATATGTGCAGTGGCAATTCAATCCATGGGTGCTCCAACCCAATCGAATGCTCTGGATCTCGACAGGGTCTCTGCATAGGCGCCCACTCTATACCAGGAGATTCCTAGAATTTCTTCGAACAGAACAGAATCTTTATATTTGTACAATTTGGCAGCTATACAAGTATTCTACTGCTGCCATTGTCGTTCTATTCTTTATATTCTATGCTAATCAATACCATCTACAGTACTCTCTGTACCCGTGCTGCTATCGACGTCATTCACGCCCAACCGAGTATCCGAAGTATCCCAAACTATACATTCTTGTATGACTTCTGGATTAGTGGCGATTGATCTGGACCAATGTCTTCCATCCACGCTGTCTGATAATCCATTGTCCAACAATCACTACTACCCTCATTGGGCATGCATCCACGGTTCTTAGGCTCCCGAGTAGGTATGGCCATTAGAGTACTCCCGCTCAACAACTGTTCGTCATGGTCTATTTGAACCACGGCTGACATCGAATCTCTTCGGATCCGAGAATAAACGACATCAAACGAGGGGATTACGGTCTTGTCAGACATAACTTTCATGGCATTGCGTCTGATCATGATCAAATGTTCCGCGCAGATTTAGTTGACCTGCGCCAACCGGTTTCTTGGCCTAGTTTGTACCGGTACTTGCTATATTTCCAGTGGGCGAACAAGGATGCTTGCAGGGTCATCATCAAAGCATAACCGAGGAAATGTTCTCTTCAATGCAGGTCGACTGAAAGGGGAACTCAATCTATTCGTTTTGTAACAGTAAATTCCTTCAAACAAACCACAAGGATCATATTTCCTCGTGTAGCCGGTATGCCAAACATTGCCGTCCAACGGTTTCTGAACGTTCCCCGCTCGTTGCAGAGGATATCCGGCTGAGAACTACATAGTAGAATGCATTTGATATTGCCTATTTGGGCTGTCTACATGCTTGGTCAATCATCTTCTGTCCGGAGTTCCGGATTGCTTCTGAAATTATGGGATTCGTAGTTGAGCTATATATGCCACTGTCCATATGCGATTCTGCAAGGCTTACTCGTATATAAAGCATTGGTATCGGTTGTATACCCTAGCTGACATCCGTGCATATGCCATAGTAGCATCATTAATATTGACTCACTTGGCATATCACTGCAAGAGGACATAAATGGTAGTCCTCTTTATCAATCTAATGTGTTTTAGTACTCTGGCCGTATTCTATGCGAGTCGGAAAATGTCTGTGCTGAAACATTCCATCTCCACTTGAATGCTGCTGTCAAGATCTGATAAGTATGCGCATGCATATTTCCGAGTCGAAGTTTCTCGATAATGTCTATTCCATATTCTTTCAGACTATAGTACAATATACAGGATCCATAGTGGTATTGCTATCAATTGTAACCCACTGTGATCACTCAGTACGTTATCACAACCAATATCACAAGTTGCCCGCGCAACCATTGTTTACCACATAGAAGCGCTAGATCATCACCATTCAGTTTGAACATATAGGATGGTTTTCACTCTTACAGTATACAAGTACAAGGATAGAAAACTTGTAGTCTAGCTGTCAATCCCCCAATTTTGGATTGATTACCTATTGGGGGTGATTGACTAGACTTGGTGCGACTGTGACGGACTGCCGCTGCCGCCTTCCTCTTACATCTTCCTCGTTCTCTTGGGGACTTCCTCTGCATCTCTTCTTGTTATACCGCTTTATTCAAAATTCTTGCTGTACAGTCACATACTTATTCTGTATAGCATACTGGTTAGAACTGTTGCTATCTGTCCGTGGACCCCCACGAGGCTATCAACCGCACCTTCCACTTCCATTCTATCGCGACAACATCGCATCACCCCAACCGCTAGATGCATTTCTCTCTGTCTGCGATCCACACTACGACGGTCTCCATGTCCTCGCCAAGATGCAGAATCATCGCCCAAGAATGAAAATCGCCTCCATTTTAGCCCTCCCATTAGCGCTACTCGGGCTTCTCCACCCGATTTCTGCGACAGCGATCCCATACACTCCCTCCCACGTCTTCATTTCACCATCGCATAATGACTCGCTAGCTTATTTAATGTTAACTGGCAATTCCAACGGCCAAGACCAAGCGACAACCGCGTTCCTGTCGATGAATATCTCCCAGGAAGTCGATGCGGGTATTTCCAGTTACACCACGCTTTTGGACCAGGTCCCATTTCGCGGGGGCGATAATACCGCTGCATTTGTCCCGGTGATAGATGACCACGGGATTATCAAGGTGTATACGGGAGATTGCCAGAATGTCGCAGACCCAGGTGTGGTATGGCAGTTCACGCCAGATCCGGATAGTGCGATTGGGAATGGAACTTGGGAAAGACTCTCCGTCGACAAGAAAGACAAAAACACATACGGACCCAATTACCTCGCAGCTGGATTTACCTACGAGATTACCGATACGACAGACAGCGCTGTCTATACCTTTGGTGGTATGTGTCCGTGGAGCAACGAAACTAACACCAATTGGGTTGCCGCAGCAAATTACTCCCATGACATGATGCTTTTGGATCCAACGACTGATAGAAAGACGCCATATCTATTCGAATCTGCTGGTGAACACGCACCACCGATCGCAGAGGCTGGATTTTCCATTACCCCATTGTTGCCCGCATATAGTGCTACCGCCGATGGCAAGATGCTACGGCAACAAGATTTCCTGTTCATTGGAGGCCAGACAGAAAAAGCCTTTCTCAACATGTCTGAGCTTGCCGTATACTCTTTGCCACACGACAGTTGGAGCTTTGTCGCTATTGACTGGAGTCCGCCCAGTGCGAAAACAGAACTCGCCGTCCGAGACACAAAGGGTATCATCGAGCCACGGTCTGGTCATACGGCTGTTCTCTCCCCTGATGGTGACAAAGTAATTGTTGTCGGCGGCTGGGTGGGAAATACGAGCGTCTCTGCGCGTCCTCAATTAGCGATCCTGGAGGTTGGCTCGGCATACGGAGGTTATGGCCCATGGACCTGGCAAGTACCTTCCTTAGAAGACTCTTTCCTGAGTGATGGGTCCGGGATCTACGGGCATGGCGCGGCAATGCTCCCGGGAGGTATAATGATGATTTCTGGTGGCTATCGCGCCTCACAAATGTCCAAACGATCTACGAATTCCCAGGTCTATTTCTACAACGTGACGTCCAATAGCTGGGCCACCTCGTATACAAACCCCAACTGGGAGATTACCAACGGTGCATCGCAGGATTCCAGCTCTCTTTCCAAGGCGGCCAAGATAGGAATCGGAGTGGGAGTTTCCGTCGGGGTTGTCATCCTGTGTGCGATTGGGTGGACGGGTTGGAAGTACTCTCGACGATTCCGATGGCGTCGAAAGAGGAATAGTGAACTTCGAAAGTTAGCTCTGGGCGCGCAAAGATCGCATTTCTGGGGCCGCGATGACCCCGAAATGGCTAGTAGCATCCACAGGCCCTCACTCAACTCCGACCGAAGCTATCCATGGGCTAGCAATACGTGCAATGGGAAATCCAAGCGGCCTGAGGAAGAGGACGTTGCCAGGGCTGAGATGACAGGGCTGTTGTTAGATGGCTTGAGCTCGGCCAAAAACAACCGACAGAAAAATAAGCCCTCCTACCGCTTCTCAGGGAGCAACCCTACTGGGAATATCCATCCAATTGATGAGCGGGAAGAGGATGAGGTTGATGCTTCTGACAACCTTATTGCGCGTGACCCCAATCCGACTAGCCCGCAAAGGGGTCTTCTCGGTGGGATTAACATACCGGATCCCCATATAGAAGCACCATTTTTGACACCGCAGACCACCAATGCCGAGCGGGCACAGGAGAATACTCGTGCAGTATTCGAAGAGCATGCTTTTCTGGCCAGATTTGGAATTGATGACGGCAGCACCGGTACTCCAGCTTCCTCGACCAAGGACCGACCACACTCGAGCCAGTCGAGCTCGCCTGGAATGATGAGGCTGGGTAATGTTCGGAGATCCCGGGCTACCGTTTTCTACAATCCCACGTCTATTCCAAACAACGGACAGTTCCCGAACGCATCAGCCGTTGCATCCACCCACAGCAAGGAAACCGCTTCCGCTCCTTCAGACAAACGATATTCATCCGACTCCTATTCCACGGCGTATACTTCTCAGTCCCAGAAGCAGGCAGAAGGGGAGCACTTACTCCGTGAGCAGGAGATTCTCGGAGACGGCGTGACGGCCCTTGAACGAGAGTCAGAACCAAAGCCGGTCTCTCCACTCGAACACCCCACCAAAGTTGCTGCGACTTTATCCCAACCAAAAGGACCAAAATCTGCCGACTGGATCGGAAATGTGAGACGCGTCCTATCGGGATCCAGAAAATGGACCACGTCGGATAAGCATTCATCAAGTGATGACAAAACCCTTTCTACCCCGTTAACCTCGGGTCTTGATCGCAGAAAGACCGTCCTTGAATCTAAGAGGGTCTCTTTTCAAGAGCCAGACCAGGGAATTGCCACCCCAAGACGAGCAGTCAGTGCATCTGCAGAGCTCTTCCGTCGCAAGCAAGGTGCCGAGGATTGGGGTTCCAGCCCTACTCCTCGGACGTCGCATGAAGCCAGCGAATCAGACGCCATGCTCGATCCTAACAATAAGGAAAATGTTCAAAGTGATGAAGAAGACTGGGATATCGAAGCAGCTGCCGAAGGTCGTCGCGTCCAGGTTACCTTCACCGTTCCCAAGGAGCAATTACGGGTTGTCAATGCGATGCCGGGTGATCTAGAGAGTGTATCTACGACTACTGCGTCTGCGTCTAGGGTCACTAGCGGGGGTACAGGTACCAGTTTTAGGACTGTGAGTACGTAGCCTTCAGTTCCTTTGCCCTGCAGGATTGTGATTGGTTTCTGGTTTTGGTTTTTTGGTCCCAGGACTTGGTTAAAGCCGTGCATTTGGGTCTCTCATTCTTTTTTGGTGTTCGATATCCATTTCGGTTTTGGGTGGTGTTCTGCTTATGTTCATGCTGTATAATTGAATTACTTGACTTGTGTACGTATGAGCTCATGAATAATGATATGGTTGCTTTATTTGTTGGTCTGTGGTGATACTTTATCATCCATTCATATTCACATGACTATTTTTCAATCCAAAATGCATCTATCAATAACCCTAAAGAATCAAACTTGGAAAGACGTGATATCGTCATTCTAATCACCCCAAGTGCAGGCCTAAGAAGGACGAGTAGGAATGTTCTTCGGCAACGGCGGCAGCATACTCCGTGCATTCTCCCTGGCATACTGCGCCATCAAGGCATCAACAACAACCAACGAAGACATAGCCTCAACGATAGGAACAGCTCTCGGCACAACACACGGGTCATGTCTACCCTTGGCCTCCAGAACACCAGTAGTCAAATCGTACTGCGCGGTTTCCTGCGCCTGTCCGATAGTCGCGGGGGGCTTGAATGCGACGCGGAAGTAGATCGATGCGCCGTTCGAAATACCACCCTGGATGCCGCCGGAGTTATTAGTGCGGGTTGTCAGGCGCTGCTTGGTGGCGGTAGCAGTGCCGGTGCGGGACTCGACCTCAGAGGCGATGAAGGGGTCGTTGTGGATCGAGCCAGGCACTTCGCAGCCACCGAAGCCGGAGCCAATTTCGAAGCCCTTGGTCGCGGGGATAGAGAGCATGGCGTGTCCGAGCTTGGCTTCGAGTTTGTCAAAGCAAGGCTCGCCGAGGCCGATGGGGACGTTACGGATGACGCAGGTGACTGTGCCACCGATGCTGTCATGGTTGTCACGGTATTTTTCAATGGCCCTGGTCATGCGTGCAGCTGCTTCTTCACTAGGGCAACGGGTGGGCGCAAAGGAGTCCACAGTCTGGCGGTCGATGGTTTCCAAGAGTTTGAGGTATTCAGGGTTGGTGGATGCGGTGGGGTGCTCGGGTGTCGGGGGGAAGAGGTGCTCGTTACCAACAGAGGAGACGAAAGAAACAATCTCAACGCCGTGCGAAAGACGTAGGTATTTCTCCGCGATAGCACCAGCGGCAACACGACCAATTGTCTCACGGGCGCTGCTACGACCACCACCGCTGCTAGCCTTGACACCGTACTTCTCGAGATAAGTCAGATCCGCATGGCTGGGGCGAGGGTATAAGTCCATCGTGCTGCCGCCGTAGTCCTTGGGTCTCTGGTCCTCGTTGCGGACCATCATGCCAATCGGCGTCCCCAGGGTGACTCCGAATTCGGTTCCCGACTGAATTTCGACGCGATCCTTTTCGTTTCGCGGAGTGGTCAGCGCGCTCTGGCCGGGGCGTCGGCGGGTCATTTGGGGCTGGATGTCGTCTTCTGTGAGTTGCATGCCAGGGGGGCAGCCGTCGACAATGCAGCCAACGGAGCGGCAGTGGGATTCGCCATAACTGAGCAGTCAGTATCCTGCTATCATTTAGATATGTATTAGAGAGTATGGGACGTACGTCGTAACCCGGAAGTACTCTCCCCACGTCGACATGGTGACTGTGACTAGTCTTGGTTACGGTTGGCGGGGTATTTGAAGAAGTTGTCGCAGGGGAGTTTTCAGAACAAAGAAGCCAGAAAGAAATGTGACAATAAAATGCAAAGTTCCGTGACCAGCTGAAAAACAAACTTGCAGCGGTTGTGCAATTGAAAGCGACAGACAAAGGAAAAACGAAGATGGTGAAATGGACTGACTCTGGCAATTTTTCGACTCACCCCCAGCCATATTGCATCGCCTATCTAGGTTTAGCGCCCCGAAGATCGGAGATCTTTCGATGATGCCAAATCCGGTAACATCATTTATCGCCAAACAGACATTGTTTAATTGACTGCTTCCAAATGCTTCCCCTACGACGAGGGCCATGTCTGCTGTCCTCGAGTATCCGGTGCGGTAGCTTGTCAACCACCTTTATCCGGCGTAATTCCTCCTTTCCATCCAACCAATTTGCCCAACTCGCCAGTCACGATGCTTCGAAGCACCAAATCTACCAATCGCTCTCCTCAGATCCCTACGTGAACCTCTCCATTGAACACTTCCTCCTTGAAAATACCCCCCCCGACTCGAGTATCCTTTTCCTCTACATAAATCGTCCCTGCGTTGTCATCGGACGCAACCAGAACCCATGGCTCGAAACCAACCTGCGCGCGATTCAAAATGACCGGGTGAAAGATCCAGAGGGGATCAATCAGGATGGTGAAGATGTGCTATATGTCCGACGAAGATCTGGAGGAGGTGCGGTCTACCATGATGAAGGGAACCTGAACTACAGTGTCATCTCTCCGCGGACGACGTTTACACGGAACAAGCATGCAGAGATGGTGGTGTGCGCATTACATCGTATCGGAGCAACCAATACCAGTGTCAATGATCGCCATGATATAGTTATGTCGCTGTCGCAGGAGCTGCAGCAGTTATTTGGCGGGACTCCCACTGGTTTCAATCTAGATACACCAAGGAAGATCTCTGGTTCAGCATTCAAACTGACGAAGAACAGAGCCCTGCATCACGGAACTTGTCTGTTGGATTCTCCTAATATTGCCGAACTTGGCTCATTCTTACGGTCTCCCGCACGGAATTATATTAAAGCCAAGGGTGTCGAGAGTGTCAGATCGCCGGTTGCGAATGTCTCGACGATGTTTGCCGACGCTCTTATGCCATTTTCGATACAGGGTACTATTGAGAATATCATGAAGGAGTTCGCGCAATTGTATAACGTCAGACCTGAGGCTACTCATCGGGCTACGCGGGCTCATGCGAATGACCTGGAACTGTATGCGGGCGTGGACTGGGTTGCGGGAGCTGTAGGAGAGGCTCAAGCAGAGGAACCTAGTATTAAGGAGGGGGTTGATGAGCTACGGGTAAGTGAAAAATTACCTATAATATCTTGAATGACATTAAAACTGTCTATAGTCACTGGATTGGAAGTACATTCAAACACCGCAGTTCACCTTCTCAACATTTTCCATCGAAGAGGACCCCCGTGAAAGACCACCGCTACCTCCTTCTCTCCCTTCTTCTGTTAGTACTACATCATACGAATATAAAGACAATCGTGCTGACGTCGATAGACCCGTGCATTTCTCCGCTGCAAACACGGTGCCATAATTGAAAGCCACATCTCAGTCTCGCCAGATGAGATTGTCGCATCTAAGCAAGCACGCCAAGTGCATGAATCATTGAATGGTCGTAAACTACATGAACTCCAGTTGGGAGATTTGCATAATACTCTAAGCTGGGTGAATCCGGCTATGGATGCCAATGTCGTACGAGAACTTGCAATGTTTCTTGGAAGGAATTTGGGCTGTTATTGACAAGCCATAGTCTATTATCATTGCGCTGTTAAATGAGAAACTGTCTGAGCCGCTAAACCTGCCCTAGTGGGAGGGAATGGTCAAAAGGACCCCGAGCAAATCCATAGCTTGGACTTAGACTTTGTTGCGAATTCTGAAGAAACTGTATACATAGCTTTCCAAGCCAGTTTGGCCTTGGATGATGTAAGGCTTGATGCAGTCTACGGAGATTCAAGTACTACAGTGGCTATGTTTACGTTACCTCTGGAGTTGTTTGACTGTCTCAGGCATCAGCAGTTCTACCAGGCAAGACTTTTGAGCTCGGAAAATCACCTGATCAATTTTATACGGTGAAAAGGCGTGAACCACGAAGAGTAGCATTGCTAACTCAAAGCCCAGTATAGTATGCTTGTTTTTCATTCAGCCATGAAAGTCGTATATTCTAAGCCCGCTATGTACATACAAAGTGAACCCCAAGAGAGCAAGTACTCTGATAAACAAGAAATGAAACAATAAGCCAAAGAAAGTGATTTCCCATCCGTAAATATGCAAGTTTAGCTAGCAATTTTCCAAGAGAAAGAATAGACAATTTTTACCAGAATGAAACCAGAAAAGACTAGACAACAAAAAAAAAAAAAGCACCTGACACCTTCAGCCAGGAAACCCCCCCCCCCCCCCCTCCTCCCAAAAAAAGGGTTGACAAACGAACATAAACCATGTTGAAATAAAACCAAAGATCTGAAAGTATTATCTTAGCGTCTTGTAGAATACCTTCGAGAATAAGGATCCCCTCCGAGTCCTCCCATCCGCTGCTTAGTCTGGCTCCGAGTGATTCGTCGCACAGGCTTATTATCGTCAAGACTGAGGCCGTCGAGTCCGGAACCGACATCAGCGCGTCTCGGAGAGTAAAAGTCATTGCTACTCGCGCTTCCTCCGTATCGGATGTTGCGGATGGTAGCATTCGTAGCGTTCGTAGTAGCTGTCATGGTGGTTTCGGTGTCTGAGTCGTGCTCGAACGGATCAACTTCTGACTCGTTATCCTTCAGACTGCCCAGGGTGAAACTATGATTGTTGCTGCTGCTGCTGCTGCTACTGCTGTTGTTGTTAAAGAATCCCTGCTGGCCACCAAATGTGGATTGTGGTGGTAATTGGTAGTGTTGTTCGGGTGATTGTGTTGAGAAACTGGAACCGGCGGCGGTTGATGAAAAGGAAAGAGGAGGTACGGACGAAAGAGAATTCTGTGGCTGCGACATTGAACTAGCAGGCAAGTTCTCATACCTTATAGACGGGTTATTGAAGGCGTCTTGGTTAGACGGATTCATCTGCTGGTTGGTTGTTTGTTCCCGGGCATGAGCTGCATGCGCGAAAATTGCGCGATAAAGCGATAGCAAACCGAGTGCTTCCTGTGCAGCCATGAAAACCAAGAGGAGTCTTCCATATCTATCGAAATATTCCCTCTCATACGAAACGCGTGGAAGGTTCCCTCCTAGATGGACAGCTGCCGCCAGTTCTGCGAAATAGACAAGAATTTCCATACCATTCCAGTACACGATGGGCTGCTTGAGCACGTCCAATAAAGCAAATCCAGCGAGTAGACTTGCACTTCCCAAGGAGGCGACTTCGACATAGTTTCCGGGCACCGAGAGAACACCGTTCTGCGAAAGGGTCCAGGCAAGGAGAGACGCTAAAAGCAATCCTAGCCGAAGGCATTGAAAAACAAGAAAACCTTGCACATCGACGGGTTTTCGACCGTTGTTTTGTGGCGCCTGTTGTCGTTGCTGCTGGTGCTGGTGCTGATGTTGCTGCTGATGTTGCTGCCAGTCTTCCTTACCCTCATCTTCCGGTGTTTTGATGGTGAAAGCTTGATTGAAAAGACTTTCAAGTCCTGTTGATGAGGAATGGTCACTCGTTGGAAAAAATTTCGGAGGCGCAAAAACAGGATCAGGGCGACCTGGGTTACGTTCCCACGGGCGAGGAGGCTGTGTCGGGGTGCGGTGGAATGGGTTGCGCTCAACAACTTGTTCGATAGGCTTCACCTTTACAGGTTGGCTGCGAAGATTCCATGCCGGAGGCTTTGGGGCGGCAGGTAGTGATCCATAGAAAGGTAATGGTCCATCAAGAACCGATTTTCTGTCCCTTTCATGTACACTGATTGTTGGTCGGATTTCGTGCTGGACAGTTGGGCCAGAGGGAGTCCAATCCATATCATCCACCTCTGGGGGAGGAGTGGGGATGGCGGATTCCTTCTCCGGAGAGAGACGAGGAATGGCTAGCTTTTCAAGTGGAAAACGCTGGGGAGTCTGTCGGAGGTTCGTATTGGAAAGGTTGGGTGCCAATATATTGCCAGTTGACTGTACGGGGGTTGATTCTGGTTTCCGATCGGGCGTCGCTGTAGGTGTGACTTCATTCCATGTCACCAAGGGACGAGTGTCATATTGAACGACGCGTCGAGAAATCGCAACGGACTGCGCGAGTCCTGTTAGCCTGTGGCATTACCGACAAAAAGATAATTACTTACCAAGACCGTGAAGAAGATCATGAACAAATGAAATGCTGGTGGCAGAGCCGGATCAAGACCACTGGACGTAGGATCCTTGAGGACAGCCCAGAAGGCGCATCTTGCCACCATGACTATGAGCTGGACCTGGTAATATTCCCCTAATCCAACGAACCGACCGCCCCTTCCTTCAATCTTTAATCGCAATTTTGGATTCCACCAGATGGAAAGGATACCCGCGATAAGAGCCAGGCCGGCATATGGTGACAAATCGACTGAACACTGGCTTGGAGGACGCCACTCCTGCATCGTTTGTTGAACGCATGACGCCAGAGACGGCGACAAAGGTTCGTCTGTATCCTGAGACAGTGTACCACCAATCTTCCAAGACTCCAACATATCCCAACCAAGTTGTCCAGCGACGCTGCCCCAGTAACCAATAGCTCCCACAAAAACGAGTACACTCCTCCAATTCCGGTTGCGTGCCTGCCTTGCTGCCCTTCCGGCCTTGCTTCTATCCATCATGCGCCTCAAATGATCCGATTTCGCCTCGTAACCTGCCTGTCTGATGCGATCTCTCACAAGCGGCTCGCACTTCGCGCAAACCTGGGGATATCGCTCCTCCATACTCCGGCGAAACTGTGGGTATTCTCTTTCGTATGCAGTGTAGTTCGGATCATCGGTGGATGGGAAGTAAGAGGCGAGCGCGCTCGTGAATAGGTGCTGGTTGCGAATACATTGTGCGCAGAACAATCCGGATGCTTTAAAGTCGGTCGTCTCGAAGGTCTGATTCGATGCTCCTGGGCCGTATACAGTCGGGTTTGTTTCCGCGGCGGGGGGATCCGTGATTTCACCTTTCTACACCAGCAATACAATCAACGCGCTGTTCAGCTTCTAGATTGAAAAAAGAAGAGACATACCTCGTCCAGATAGTTGATGGCTTCGCAGTGGTTGCAGCGCCATTTGCGGACGGAGTCTCCGTCGGACTGCGCAGAGCGCTTGCCGCAATAGAAGCAACTTAGTCGCTTGGAGAAAAGAGGAGCCATTTCATGCCAATAATGGTCACATTGATCTTGAAGAGGATAGAGGAAGAAAAATGTATGAATAGGGGCTGCAGAGTAGAAGCGCAGAGGTGGTTGTCTAGGGTATTATTATTATTTACTGGGGGAGGGAGTTAAGACAACAACAGAAAATAATCGCCGAAATGCACGGTCCACGTGCTTTGCCGTAACCAGTCCACCAACGCTGCTGGTTGCTTCATTACAATTCATGAGATGAAGCATATGGGAGGGGACTATATACACTTCTGAAGCTCTGTCTGTTAGGAGAGCACAATTGGCTTTCAAATTCACTTTGCTACTTGACGATGCGAGACATTAGATCTTCAACGAAGTAGATCCCTAGCTCACTTCATTTTCGGTCTCAAGAGTTCTATTCTCAGCTCCTAGATTGCCTCAAAAATGATATACCAAACCACCATGGCCCTATGGCCACTATCTCCAACCAACTTGCTCTGTGCGGTGGTCATCCTGGCAATGGTTGCCGTTCTCACTATGATACTGGTGAGCCAAGTCACTTATACTCTGTGTCTCGAGACAATAGCTGACCAATATCTGTCAACAAGTTCTTCCATGGTCTTTCAATCTCTCAGAACACCAAGGTACCCAAATGTCGACCAAAGCACAGTCCCATCCACCTCCTGGTCGTCCTGGGCAGTGGCGGACACACTGCCGAGATGTTCTCTATGCTACGACGGATGCAACTCAATACATCCAGATATAGCTACCGAACCTATGTCGTGAGCTCTGGGGATGACTTCAGTGCTGCAAAGGCGATCGAGTTCGAAAAGAGTCTCCAAGGCGAAGAAGATGTCCCGTTTTCCCTCCAGGGTGTCCCGGGTGCACCTCCCCCGCTACTGGGTGGCCCTCCCCCGTTCATGGATGGCCCTCCTCCGCTGATGAGTGGTCCTCCTCCGTTGATGGGTGGTCCTCCCCCATTACAGAATGCTACGCCCCAGGGCGTCCCGTTGCAGGATACTTCCTACACCATTGTCACCGTCCCGCGGGCACGTCGCATCCATCAGTCTTTTTTTACCGCGCCGCTTTCTACCCTTCAGTGCTTCTGGGCCTGTGTCCGCGTGCTGTGCGGCCGGTATCCGAACCAGAAGCCGCTTCCTTTGTGTTACTCTCCATATCCTGATCTGATCTTGACAAACGGACCCGCGACGGCTGTTTGTGTCATAATGGCTGCCAAGTTTCTACGCTTGTTTAGTCGCTATGCAATAAAAGAAAAGAAACAAGGAGACAAGCCAACTGTTCAGGATATTCGGCTGCGCACTATCTTTGTGGAATCGTGGGCTCGGGTGACTACGTTGAGTCTCTCTGGAAAACTCTTGTTGCCTTTTGTCGACCGGTTCCTCGTTCAGTGGCCCGCATTGGGAGGGAAGGCTGCTTGGTGGAGTACGAGGAAGACGGAGTATGCTGGCGCGCTGGTAGACTGAGTGAGAATTGGGTTGGGGCATGTTGACAAGCTACCTTGCAGGCCTGTATAGTTATTTCTCAAAACTCTTTCGTATGATTTGCATTGTACAATAGAAATATGTTTCACAAGCATTTCATAAACGAACAATGTCGGAAACACCGAGGTCAGCCTGTGATATCGGACGAATCCCGCTTTTCCGAATGATACACAGCGTCTTGCAGGTCTACCCCGCGCTGTAAGCGCTGTAAGATACGGACTCTCTTACTACAATATCAATTGCCATTCACCGTTTATCAACCATATTCACCAACAAGGCAATATGTCGTACCCTTTAAAGGGCCGCAACGTCCTCGTCACAGGCGGATCACGGTACATCTCTCTCTCTTGTAATTTCGAAAACTAAACTAATATTACTGAATAGAGGACTCGGAGCCCTCGTCGCTCAGAAGTTCGCATCCGAAGGCTCGAACATCGCCATTAATTATGCCTCGAGCAAAGATGCTGCCGAGAAGCTCGCATCTGACATCCAGTCTCAGTTTGGTGTGAAGACGATTACCATTCAGGGTGTACGTGTATCTTCTACTTTGATCGAGTGCACAAGTACTGACCTCGTTAAACAAAGGATGCAAGCCTTGCAGACGACTGTATCAAAGCCGTCAAGACAACCATTGAGCAACTGGGTGGGTTGGACATCGTGATATCTAACGCCGTAAGCCCCTTCGAGTTATAACAATTGATTTTGCCAAGCTAACAGCCGCCCAGGGATGGACCAAGATTACACAGTTCAACGATTTGCATGCCATGAATGATGACGATTGGGACAGAGTAAGTGGACTTGGATCTCGCTGACGGTACAATCTCTAACGTCTAAAACAGTGCTGGTCGACCAACGTTAAAGGCAATATGTACCTGTTCCGAGAGGCATTGCCAACCTTCAATGCGAATCCCGACGGCGGTGTCTTCCTTATGACTTCGTCTACTGCGGTTAGTAGATCAAGACACAGATCAAAGAACCCTGGATCAAGCTCACCATTATCTTAGGCCGTTTCGCCAGCTGGAAGCAGTTTGCCTTATTCTGTAACAAAAGCAGCAGGTGAGGTTCCCTCAAATGGAGAAGCATTGTATGTCTCCTAACGATGAGAAAAGGTTTGCATCTCATGAAATGTCTCGCGCAGACTCAGGGAAGTAAGGTCCGGGTTAACTCCGTTCTTCCTGGTCTTTTATTGACGGAATGGGCAAGTTGTCACCATGAGATATACGCACAGTGCGAGTGGAAGCTAAGATGTCTCAATAGGGCAACCGATTCCCTGCCGAGAAGATCCAGGGCTATAAGGATATATCTGTCCTCAAAAAAGTGGTGAGCAATTTCATCACTCGAAAAGCTGATAAGACGAATGATGATGCTAATAAACCCATCAGCCTGAGCTTGAAGACACGGCCAATGCGTACATCATGCTCGCTCAGAACTCATCCATGACGGGACAAGGAATACAGATTGGTGAGTACTGCCAGGATATCATCGCTATAGTTAGCTAACTCTGACAGACGCCGGGTTTACCATCAAATAAACTCTTTATTGATAGAATTTTGCCAATGCGATATCTTTCTCTTCGGAGACTGTATTTGATGTCATCAGTATTCTCTGGTAATACAGTATCTCATAGAAGGGTATCATGGAAGCCCCGGAACTCGAAATTTTCAGTGCGGACTACTTCGCCATCCAACAATCCAGCTTTGCGCGCGGCCCGGGCAGCGTCCGTATTTGGTGCCCCCTCCACAATCATTCGGCGCAGATGGATGAGCTTCCTGTCAGAAGTCCAGACATAGAGCTTCTCTTCCCTTTTGCCTTCAGTTTGTAGGGGGCTAGCCGCAAACGGCCAACCAGGCGACGAGGTGAACTCAGTGCAACCTTCCAATGGCTGGGCTTCCTCCATTTCCGTGAAGATCAATCTTTTCCTTGACCCTGAAGTCGAGCCAGGCTTGCTTTCAGGTAGGTAAGCCTTGGCCCATAATGGGCCTATTACCCGATTCCTCCTGTTAATAACCTGCCATGGCCACTCTGACCAGTTGATATGTCGATCTTCTGGTGTTATTTTAGCCGCATGTGGCACATCATCAAGCGGCAAATCGCTAAATCCTCGGTTTTCCAATGGAGGCACAAAAATGCCCCGCCTGACACCATCAAGCAAGACATCTGCTCCCTTGGGCGTAACGACATTTAGAAGTTGCGAAACTGTACATGAATCTGGGTCCGGTATCTCGAGGCCAGGGGGCGGTGTCTGCTGGAGGACGACGCCATGATCAAAGTGTTGATGATGCATTGTCTGAAGCGTAACGCCGGTCGTGTTTCTACCGTCCATGAGAACATGATGTAACGGTGCTGGCCCATGATAACTAGATTCTTATCAGTCAAAGTCCTTATGCTACGAAGCTTTCAAGCAGATAGAGACGCACAACGGAAGCATCGAAGGATGAACATTTAGTCCTCCATATTTTGCTGAAGTAAGAATCCGTCGAGGCACAAACAGTCCGAACGACACGGCCACTACTAGGTTAATCGGCTCTCCAGAAGGCAGAGGTGGCTAGCACGGTTAGCTAACTGCTAATGGATCGATGAGGCCCTTATATTACCGTCCACCCTTTGAAGGTATCTATCTCATGGATCGGAAGTGACAATTCGGATGCGGCCGCCTTAATAGGGACTATTGAGCGTCTTCAGTCAGAAACCGGTTTTCTCACGGCGATAGGAACATTGGGTAGTTACCCTCTCGCACAATTTTCAATCCTCGTCCAATCTTTTTTCCAGGCCTGCAGACAACATCAATTGAAGCGATGCGATCCGGATTTAGTAGATGCTCTTTATGGAGAGCTTTCAGTGAAGCAATGCTGAACTCATCCGATCCGCAGAAGAGAATCCGGAGTGGATCGTAGGGCTTCGTAGACACGAAACGAATTGTAGATGCTTGATATGGTTGCGCCTGCCTACAAGTCCAAAGAATCTCGGGGCGTTTTAGGTAAAACATGTCGGAAATTGTCAGTCTTAAAACGCTCGTCATGATTGCTTCCTCCGTCGGCGGCGATTTAATCTCCGAGAAGTTAGACACGTGATGTCACTTGCGACATGCCCCCAAATCCAAACGAGAGATGGTGACTAGATGACAGCAGCAACTATCCTCCTACTTATTCTACCTTGGGTCTCAGGCGCAACTCAATAATGCGATGCCTGAAAGCGACTTTGTCTCGGTGATCCCCGCGCAACTCTCCTTCCTTGCGATCTATAACCCCCTCCTCGGACCGACAGACGAGACACTAAACGATCAGATTGTCTTCTATACATCGAGATCGAGCCGTTTGCGACGGACTGAAAGTGCTGCTAGGGAGGATGATAATGAAAATTCCAAGGATGAATCGAACGGCAGGTTGCGCCAGATAGGTCTGGCGCAGGGCATGGTGGGCTTCGCGAAGTGGGTATCGCTGTCTACTCGAGAGTTCCAGTTACGCTGAACTTGCTATTATAGGAGTTTTTCGGATGGAAAAGCACTGGAATACGTCGAGACAGAGAAGTCTCGGGTTGTCCTCCATGAATTGGAGCAAAATTGGTGGATATTGGTTGTATGTTTGTTTTCCGGATTCTTAAGAAAGGAGTTGATCGCTAAGGGAACCGATTGTTGCAGTCCGTCGACCTGACACGAATTCCGTCTGGTTCCCATAGCGGAACACCGTCGCAGCATGATGCCAACGAGTCGCCCTCATTCGTTTATTCTTCTCGAGAGCTATGTCCCCCACATCTTATGATCCAGCAACTCCGTCGCACGCATGCCTTGTTCCTGCTCCACCATGACTTTACGCTCGACACCCTTTACGAACGTGTTGGCAGGTCCACACTATGTGCTCTTCTTGAGCGTTTATGGGGGAAGTTTGCATGGAACTGGGAGGCTCTTCTGAACGGGAATCCTGCCGTGGACATATATGACGGGATAAAACTCTCTGTAGGAGGTGAACTTGGAATCGGTGTCGGAGAAGAGGAATGGGGAAGCGGAGAAAGAGAAGTACTTGAAGACTTTGTCTCTCGGACTGATGGGCTTGTGGATCTGGTCGTCTCGAGATTTGGTGATCCACCCACGCAGGTCGCAGCCGGAGATAATCCTCCATGGCTTGGCTTTGGGGCATATCCTCGGTCATCAGATGGGGTCATCTTCTCGGGTGTGGGAGGTATATCGAGGCTGTCTGTGGCGCGAATATCCCAATGGATGGGATGGATTTACAGATATGGTGATAGCGCATATGGAGTGGGTGAAGACCCAACCTCGCCGCGTCGTCGAAAGCCGCGCAGAAAACGTGGAAGGCTACACTCGAAGGGCGCCAGTATATCCTCCAACGCTAGAAGCCCATCCGAAACTCTGAATCCAGATCGAAGCTTCTCTCCCGGAATACCCCGTCCTCTTGTGGTAGGAACACCTCCTCCAGAAGGGCGCGCCAACCCTCAGATGATCAGGGACAACTCACCTGCGAGAAGCGAGCAACAAGAGGGTGACTGGTCGAGTTTGAAACCTGAGACATTTATGAAATATCTTACTTTGGGGTACGGGACGTCGTGGTTTTCGTCGAACCCACATCCTTCGGTCTCTGCATCGAAACATAATGACGGCCCGTCAAACGCGGGGCGTGAAGAAACTAAACAAGATGCTGAAGAAGAAACCCAAAGGAAACCTAAAGTGCAAGACTTGGGAAGATTCATTGTTGGTTTGCGTGAGGAAGAGGACCCATCTGGTCATTCTCCAGAAAGCCATACGGAAGGCAACTCAAAGGGACGAATAGAACCTCGAATCATTCACGTCCATTTGGCAGGGCCAGAGCAGGAGCAGAAAGGACTTCAAGCAGTGGTTTACTTGGTATGCACATCCTCTTCCTAGCTCAAAGCATTCATAGCTAACGTTGTCAGCACCAACCATTCATCTTCACATTCCTCTTCGATCCCGAAACGCCTTCTCTCTCGAACCATGCCCTCTACGACAGCATCCGTCACCAATTATACCCTCTCCACAAACAACTCTCAAATTCCACCTCCCCCACAACAGCAGAAACCCGGATATCCGTATCCGAAAACGAATCAGCCGCAAACCAACAACAACCAGTCTACGACCTCGTCTACGACCCCTCAAACCTAACCATCCGCTCCTCCATCCCTAACATCCCAGACCTAGCCGCATACGCCGCATCTCACCCGAACAATAGACCCTGGTCCCGCCTAGAATCCATCAATATCCACCACCAGCTACTGAGCACGTACCTCGACACCCGCGCACGACCCCTAGAAATCGAACGAACATGCAAATCTAGTCACGGCTGGTGGATCGTGTGGGTGCGAATGTTCCCCACTGAAACCCCAGAACCTATTAACGACCCTACGACGCCTACTTCCACCACTGCCACCACTCCTACACCACCCAGTGATACAGCTCAAGAGGCATTCCTCGTCCGCAAAGCCAGCGACGCACAAGCAGCAAATCACACCCGCGGCGTGAGTATGAACAGTGGAGGCGGCGGGTCGACGAGTTTCTTCCGCGATCTAGGCGGTGCGCCTTCGTCGTTCTCGTTACCGTCACTGACTGGTAGTGGAATGCAGGCGGATATCATGGGTCCGGCTAAATTGGTGGAGGGGCTGGGAATGGACGCTAGACGGTATATTGAGAAACTGTTGAGTTTGAATCGGTAGATTTATGCGATGTCATATTCCTACTGTTCTGGGATTACAAGAATACGGAGTACATCCGTAGTTTCTACAGAGTATGGAGGTTAGCACACGGAATACACGGCGTACTTTTGTGAATTGCTAAATATATCCATCCCGGCATAAATTTTATTCACTGATAGTAGACAATAATTAACTAAATCTATTGAAGGCCATCCGTTCTCCCGGATGGTCCTCCCCAAGCTATCATTCACTTCGTGCTACTTAGTACTCGGACTACAGAGAACTACCGCTAACTACTACTAGCACTAGTCCTGTCTTGCACTCCGTACTTTACCCCTGATCGTAGTGCACGCGTCCAGTAGGATTCTAATAATATGTGTTGCCTAGACGAATTGACCACTTGTTACTGTGTACTATTTATATTGTCTGCTCTGATAAGCTGCTACTCGGGGGAATGCACGGTATATTCGTACATTGCAGTGTCCTCAGCTCGCAAGACGGGCGTCAAATCACATGATGGTGTAATAATTGAATCAGCCAGTATCATCTTCGGTGTTGGTGAATTTTCGGAAATTAGAATGATGCAGTATTGTAGACCATAGAGAAGTTCCTTCCAGAATCGCAGAGGTTCTGAAGACTAGAATGTCCGGGATGTAGAAACAAAAAGTATTCAGGTGGTAAAAAATAATTCCATGCATTCTCTTAACCGAAAAAACAAACATCAAAAAACAATTAGAAAGGAGACATAGATAGGAGATCATGTTTCCTATCATGAAGCTCCGGCTTGTCTTCTGACCAAACCCTTCAGGCAATTATGTATTGGCCGGACTCACGTGAGAAAACCCCATCCTCAACTGTTGCTCCTGTTCAAATCGCACCATGCGAGGGTTTGATGGCATTATTCTCTTCTTTCTCTTTCCCCTCCTCCCTATGCTCTTTCCTGTTTTGCCGTTCTGCCAGCGATGGGCGTTTCGCCATAGGTGATCGAGTCATCCAGAAGATGCGCGCTATTCGAGCTGAGGAAAAGAAGAAGTAGAAAAAAAAGAAAACCCACAAGGTTATGAAGACAACGCCTCCCTAGACAAATCTGCAAAATAAGAAATTCGACCAACTGCACAACCAGATAATAATCCCATAAAGCTCATGTGCCCGTGACTGAACATTATCCACACTTCAGGCACACATTAAGACACGCCAACGGAGAAACCCCTTCTGAGAAAAAATGAAATAAGAAAGGAAATTAAAAACAGAACAAAAGAAAAGACAACCAAATATTTGAAACGCTCATCCGGTTGATATAATCTCCGCAGCATTAAACGACCTTGTGAAATGAGACAGCACTAGTTTACAGGATAGCGCACTTCTTCTTGCTCTTGCTCGTCTTGGTCAGAAGAGCAGCGCGGGTGGCCGCTTCGAAGACCTCACGGACACCCTCGTTGGTACGAGCAGAGCACTCGAGGTACTTGTAGGCGCCGATCTTCTTGCGAACTTCCTCACCCTGGATGAAGAAAATGGCATCAGCGAAAAGCTCATCCAAAATGAGAGGTGAGTCAACATACCTGTTCGGGAGAGACGGGCTTCTGGGAGGTCTTGGTGAGTTCTTCAATGGTCTTGGGGTCATGACGAAGATCCATCTTGCAGCCAACAAGGATGATGGGAAGGCCCTGGCAGAAGTGAAGAACCTCGGAAATCCACTAGAGATGAAGTCAGCTGTATGTCTTTTAAGACCAAGCCTCTATCGCTTCTTTTGCATCGGCACCAGTGCTCTTAATTTCCATCTGTTCAATAAAACAGGGGCGACAAAAACGCACCTTCTCTTGGACGTTGTCGAGCGAGTCTGGCGAGTCGACGGCGAAACAGATCAAGATGACGTGAGAGTCGGGGTAAGACAGAGGACGGAGACGGTCGTAATCTTCTTGACCAGCCGTATCCCAAAGGGCGAGTTCAACGTGCTTGCCATCAACCTCGACATCGGCGACATAGTTCTCGAAGACGGTGGGGACGTAAACCTGTACAAGTGTATCGGGTCAGTCTGGGGTTGCACGAGGATGGTATGGGCCGAGGATAATGGGTTCAGTCGAATCAAGTTATAGGGAGGCACGATGGGTCGTAATGAAGATCGAGGAAAGAATGTAAAGCGATCACGAAGGGAAACTAACCTCAGGGAAGGTACCCTTGGAGAAGACACTGTTGGCAAACACCGGGTCAGCCTTGTTCAAGCGATGCTGCTAAGCACAGAAAAGGGAGAGCAACTTACATCAACAAACAAGTCTTACCACAGGCACCGTCACCAACGATGACAAGCTTGCGACGGATCTCGGCCATCTTGTAGATAGAAAGAATCTCAGAGTCAGCGAATGACGGATACCAGGAGGTAGCAGAAAGCGAAGACGAATGATATCAGAAGGCAAAAAAAGGAGAGCGACAGAGAACGAAAGAGGACAGAAAAGATAAACAGAGAGATAGCGGTTGCGTGTAGATGTTTGTGGAAGCAGTAATGGTAAAGCTCGAGGATGGATGATGGAAGAGGGAGAGGTTTTGGCTGGAGGAAAAGGGACAAGTCAGGCGCCCGGGCGAAAAAGGGCTATCACTTACGGTGCTGGAGGGAGTAGGCGCAACGGGCGCGGTCTGACAGTGATTGGATTAGAAGAAAAGTGTAAAAGTAAATTCACGAGAGAACCCAAAAGGCGGATTCAAAACAATGGTTATTAGAGAAAGATGGATTTGATGGAAAAGAGATGGAAAAGAAGATGTAAAAAGGGAAAAAAAGGGAAGAAGAAAGACAGGGAGAGATGGTGATGGATATGGTTGGTTGGCAGTTCTCTATCTTTTTCTCCCCCAATTCCAATTCCAATGGCTCAGGTGAGTCGCTGAGGCTCTGGGTAGCCTGTTGCCTTAGTAAGGATCACTATGTATAGCTGGTTACAGTACACCGACTTTAGCTGTTTTTATTCTTGTACTTGTATCCTTTTTCTTAATAACAACTTGTATTCCTTTAACTCAATCACGAATAACACTAGCTCCCCTTCCATTCTACACAAGTACTCGCCCTTCACAGCTTAGCCCTGCTATGTGGCTTGGATAAATTCAATCCGACCCTCTACTGGCATGTGTATGGTAATGGTATGGTCATGATCACCTCACATGCAATGATTTTCGCTCCGACGTATCTTCGTAACGTACATGTAATTTAAGCCACCGTGGCTGGAGAAATTTCCCAATGGGGGTGAGGCGGTGAGACTTCGGTATATTTGAAAGAGGGCAGACACTCCAGAAGAAGACAGAAACCCGGCCAGAACCATTGATCATTTGGTTCTGGATTTCTCTTTCGTTTTTTTTTTTTACTTCTTCGGTGCTGCTTGTTGCTTGGTAAAACTGGGGATTACATAGTACAGTGCCCCTTTAATAAGAATAGACGACGTGCTCCACCCTTCGGTTCTCTCAGTCTCAGGAGAAATTACGAAATTACTAGCCCGTACTAACACTAGTACAGGAACGGAGCACAGCCACCGGCAGAGCCACAGTCCACCCTGCAGAGCAATCCGTTAAGCTAACCTTGCTCCTTCTTTCTGGGTCTCCTACTTCACAATAGGCTCGTATAGAGGAAATCCAAGAATAAAACAATTTAAATGGCCATTATTACCCCATGTGACGGTATCAGTGGTCGAAACATAGCATATCCCGTCATTAACCGTCGTGAATCGCTACGCAAAGCACCGTTATTTGCTTTTCCCGTTTGTCCAGACTCACGGCGTTACTTGCTTAGCACTAACCATCGGATTATCAGCTGGAAGTAGCGGACTACAAGTCATTCGAAGCATATTGTACTGGGGTATAAAGTACTCCGTACTTTAAGTCCTTACACTCCGATTCTCTGGCTGTTTTAAAATTCCTACAGAGCGTCGTTTACCCAAATTCTATGCAGAAAAGAGCAACCTGCCAGCTGTCTGTGCCCACGGCCTTTCCGGGAGCTGCTTAGACGCCATGGGGTGACTGATAAACAGCGCATCAATAGTGTTACATATGCGAGTCGGTTTGCAGTTTCTTGCAGCTTTTACGTGCTGCAACAATCTCCAACTGGACTGTTTGGTCCTTGAACTTTCTTTAGGAGAATACAATAGGATAGGAAAGAAAAGAGCGATGATGCCAGTACACATGATCTGCTGCAAATCCCCGAAAGCGTCACTACACAGCTCGCTGGTCCTTTGTCCCTGTGGGCCGTATCTATGCTATGGACCTGATTACTATTGCGACATTTATTTGAAAGGAACTGATTATGTCTGCTGATGTTTTGCTCCATCGTACCTTCTAGCCAGGATAGTATTGAGGTAGGACGCTCTTACATAGAAATCCATAATAACTAGGATCTTCAAACGATGGGTCCGGCAGCAAATGCCGATTTTTTAAACAACATTCAAGGGGGCCCATAAAATAATCTCGTTAGAAACAAGTTTGTTTAACATTCCAGCTGAAGGTTGAATGTCGTTCCAATTGCTTGCTCCTCCGTATAATCGAGTTTTGGTATTTGGCATTTTGACAGGGACTTATATATTGAATACATCGAACAATGAACATACAGACACTAATACTCAGACAGTTCATTACCCTAATTACTCTTGGGAATAGCGTACAGCTCTAAAAGAGAAGAACCTCATGTAGTTGTAGGACTTGGAATGACCACTGTGATTGGCTGCCCGCAATATAACATCACGTGATCGATTAATTTTCCAGCCGAGACACTTCCGCATAGCCCTCCAGCGGACGACTTGACGGGATCCCTCTCGGTCACACCAGTCAAGATGCAAAGAGTCATTCGAAGGACTGCTCTGGCGCGGAACCAGGCGCAACGAAAAGCAATCCGTGCCGCCAAAGATGCCGAACGCGAAGAATTGAACGATTCCCTGAGACAACGATTCGCCTACCAGCGCATTGAACTCGATGCCGTTCGCGCCGAGAGACAACGTCGTCGGGAAGATTGGATGCGGGGACCACTGGCACCAAAGCGGGATGCTGGACCTGAAGGGAAGAGCTTTGGTGCTTTGAGCCCGCAAGCTATGAACCCGCCTGTGATTCCGAAGCATCTCCGAAGGAAATATATCAATATTGCTCCCGGGGACCGAGTGTGTGTTATGAAAGGGAAAGACAAGGGCAAAATTAATGAGGTCGTTCGTGTTGACCCGGCAAATGAGACGGTCATGGTGAAGGAAACCAATGTGGTATGACTTTCTTCCGGTTGCTGGTTTCCCCGCGTTGCCGTTGAAGATGTTTTTAACAATTGAACTCTCTAATAGGCCGATGTGACTTTCCCACCCTGGTTAAACGAACAGTACGGACATAAGAGCCCCGTACACTCGATTAACCTGCCCGTTGCCCTCGACGATGTCAAACTTGTGGTTGCTCTCGATGATCCGGCCACTGGTAGCACCCGGGATGTCCTTGTCGAACATGTCTATGGAGGAGAACCGTTCCTTGAGCGACCGTACGGCACCGACACACCCCGACACACACGATACATTGCAGGCGAGAACATCGAGATTCCCTGGCCCCGCAGTGATCCCGCGGAACAGAAGGACGAGGAGTGGGACACTTTACGGATGGAAGTTGAGACACCTACTTGGGTGCCGTCGTTACACAACCCGCCATTCCCCTCGAGCGTTCTCGACGAGATCCGGAACAAGTTCTCGAAGTACCGGACACGGCACGACCCCGAGTGGGTTGAGCAGATGAAGCTGGAGGACTACAAGAAGGAATATCTTCAAAGCAGGTCTTTGTTGACACCGAAGGGTGAATTTATTGCCATGCTGCGGGCGAAGAGCGCAGCGAAGACACAAGCGCAGAAGGATGCTGATGGCAACGTGATCATGGATGATCAGACGGCCGGGTTTATCGAAAAGTTTATGAAGGAGAAGGCCAAATCTCCGGCTTAGATATCACGGGATGCTTAATGTGCCGTTAAATGTCTATTTTCTTTTTTTCTTCTCTTGTTATGTATAAAACTCTATTGTAGCATAGGATGTGAATGGATAAAATGATGAATTTACTCTCAACTTCTATGAGGATTATCCATTGAACAGTTTCACTCCGAATTTTGTATATATGGCCCATCTATCCATCCCTGGCATAAGCGAAAACAAACACTCTGTTACTGTGCTTTCCCGGCTGGCGATAGGGCCCGGAGGAAGATCCCAGTCTTCCTCTCCCATCCGCCCCGATTTTCTTAACCTACTTTTCTCCATCCATCTTCCAAACCGCCCAGTTCCCCGTTCCTTTATTTTGATATATATTTATTTATTTATTTAGGGGCCGTGGCTTTCTCAAAATGGCATTCGCAAGCATCAATCGAACGCCTGTGAATAAGAAGCTCAGCATCCCGGCGATTGAAGAAGCATTCGCCGCGGAACCGCTTCTCAAGGAACGAGTCTACGACGCGATCGGTGCGTACAATTATTCCTCTAAAAAAAGAAGAAAAATTCAGGCTAACAACTATCTTTTTTTGTGTAACAGAAACCGTCCCACAACAGAAACCGATTTTCGAAGACATTGCTAGATACACCAGCCTGCTGGCCAGGAATACGAACACCCAATCCCAACATCACACCGTCCCCATCGACACGAAAACAACGAGTAACGACGACGGCCCAGCCGCGAAGAAACGCAAGCTGCAAAATGGAAATGCGCCGGAGACTGCTGCGCAGTCAACCCTCGACTTGAAAACAGAATCGTCACTTCAGTTCTACATGCCGGATATTTCGTTCGCTATTCCGCAGAGGAAGAAGTTAACGCTTGAGTTTACTGGTGGACAGAGGTTTCTTCGCACGAGGAACCAGACGTCGAAGGAGGTGGAGTTTGGGGTGCCTATGGATAAGATTCGTGAGTTTATTTGCTGCCCTTAGTTTAGGGTTCTTGGTGGATATGTTGCTAATATGATCTGAGAACAGAACACGTTCTGTGCCTTCCTGTGCCGGAGAAGAACCAGAAACAGTCAAACTTCTGTATTATTCCCCAATATAGCGATGGGATCAACCCGCCTCCCGAAGGCGAGACTGCCTCTGAAGCCCAGGTGTTCACGGTCAACGACGGGCCTCCCAAAGCTGCATACTCAGGGACAGGACAGCCGGTTACCATTGGTGAGGGTGATACAGCTGAGAAGCTGATCCGACGGATACTAAATGACAATCTGTCGCAAACTAAGGTAATAGGACCGGATGAGAGGGAATTCGTCAGTGCCACGCCCGAGGCACACCGCAAGGGAGAGAAAGCCTATCACGTTAAGGCATTCCGTGGTAGCAAGGAGGGTGAGCTGCTATATCCCAATGCTGAATTGGAAGGGGTGGACTAATTTAAGGTACACGCATAGGCTATCTCTTCTTTCTATCTACTGGCATCCTCTTCGGTTATAAAAAGCCATTGCTTTTCTTCGCCTTTGAGAACATTGACTCGATTTCATACACATCCGTCCTTCAACGAACATTTAACCTTAACATTGTCGCCCGTCCTACCACCAGCGACGAGACCCAAGAACTCGAATTCTCAATGGTCGACCAAGCAAATTTCTCGGGTATCGACACTTATATCAAAACACATGGTCTCCAGGACGCCAGTCTTGCCGAAGACCGCCGCGCAAAACGCTACAACGTCAACAACTTGAAGACGGAGAATGGTGCCGGTGCTGCTGATGCCGCTACTGCCGATGGTGAAGGAGAAGAGAGTGAGCTACAAAAGGCACAGCGAGAGCTTGAAGACGAAGAGGACAAGGACGAAGAGGACTATGATCCCGGCAGTGATGCGGATAGCGGTGGAAGTGGCGCTAGTAGTGAGGAAAGTGAAAGTGAAGGTGACGAAGATGAGGGTGATGATGAAAATCTGGTGGCTGGTGAATTGGGGAGTGAAGCGGAGGATGTTCCAGAGGATGAATTGTAATCCTGATAAGAAATGGCCCAACCACATGTACTCTACTAGAATATCAGAACAATTGGAGATTCACCGCTTAGCAACGTCAGTACTGTTGCTAACAACCAACTGCTGCTATTTCATGCATCTCGTACTTCTCAATACCGTCGTATTTTTTCTATCCTCAATTTCTATCCCAGAGGAAAAGCCAGCCCCCAAAATGAACATCATTTTTTTCAGCTACCGATTCCGCAGCTCCATTCCCAGGCATCCTCAAAGAAAAGCCCACACCCAACGACACCATCTTCTCCTGGAGTGGCGTAAACATAGCCAAAATATCCCCTTCATTCGTGCTACACATACGGTCCGATAGAGAGAGAGACATTTGTGACTATGAGAGTTTGTTTGATACATATATTCATGGGTTTTGTGGAAGGACCAGACTTGGATGGAGCTTAGGAGGGGCTGGACAAGGACACGAAGGGGGATGTTGCTTGGCAGTTGAAAAGGTATATTGCTGAGTTGCATGAGATTAAGAACGGTGATGAAGATTATATTGGGCCGGTTGATATTTGGGGGGGATGTTGCTGATCCGGCTTTGGCTTATCATTCTAATAGAGACGAGTTCATGGCATTTTCTACGTATAAGTTTTCATGAATGCTAACAGTTGACACCAGGGCCATTTGACTCTGAAGAAGCATTCAACAACGCTCTGATATGTGCCTATCAACCAAAGCCACCCAAGATCTCATGTCAGGAGCTTTCTGACTGCCATGCTCTCCCAATGCAAACATCGAAATACACTCACTCATAGAGACCTATGCCTAGCCAATATCAAGGTCGAAGATGGACATGTCGAGACTTATTGTGCTGAGCATTGAGCTTACCCGTTTTTGACTGAGGTGCTATGGTAGCAATTATGGACTTCATAGTACCCCTTCACACATATACGCCATTCTTCTGCATCATCTGATAGACACATTCTGCTCTCCAGTTTGTCCCTAATGTCCACAACAATCAAACCAAGTCCCTCGCCGCAGCCAAAACCTCATCGATCCAACTCGAACAATCCCTCACCGGTGGATCCGGTTTCGCCTTTGTCAACGCCCTCGGATCATGCGGCGGCGGACAACTCCTCGCAATCTCCTCAAACCTCGCAAGCTGCGCCCTTGGTAGTCGGAACAGAAAAGCAGCACCTTTGTATTCCGGGATCTTGTCAAACCGGTGAGCAGGTTTCGATTCGTAGTCCATTCCCAAGCCAACGGTTCCTATAACATGGTAGAACCGGCCGGCACCTTGGTCTTTGTTTTCTTGGGGGACTAGAGCGATGGCTTCATATTCTGTGCCGGAGGATTGGGAGAAGAAGACGCGGTAGACGTTGTAGGTTGTTGTGCCTGCGGACATGGTGGCCATGGTTTTGGATGGGGTCTTGAGGGGGTTAGAGGTTGTTATGTATGGAAGTTTACGAGAAATAAATAATGAGAAAATGAATATTTAGAGTTAGAATGAAAGTAGCAGACGATCGATTTATTATAAGCTACTGAGCAATCAGTGAATAAAGGTCTGCTATGATTCATCTATGCGCCTACCATGCAAGTTTGACCAGGCTTGCTTCGTATTGCGAATATGATGGCCAATGGTATTTGAATATGGCGTCTCACTTGCTCATTGTATGAAACAAGATCATATGCAGCATAGCAAACAGAGCTACATGCCAAGCTATTTTGTTTTAATATCTTCTACAAGTCACAGAAGCTGGTTGTAACAGATAAGCATATAGACTCATGGCCTACCATCTTACCTTCTCAATTATATGCGCTGTATTGATACTATATAGGATGAAGTATATTAGATTTGAGGCAAAATCCTCCTAAGTATCAAGTCACTGTTGTTTTGTATGTTGTATGTTCTCCTATGCCATAATAAACCTTATGGGTTCATTTCCGGAACCTTTCTTTACATCCTTCAAGGTGACAAGTTTTGCGAATGTCCCTAACTGGCATTGAATTAAGTGAAATATACCTTGAGTCTCTTGGGATAGTGAGCTCCTATGTCACTCCGCATATTAGTAGAGCACATCTGGAGCCCCGGGTATAACCAGTTTAGTCGCTTGGTAAAAGTCCTGATGTCCACGCAGTCGTATAGCAAACTGCATCTATTTGTTCTTCTTGCAAGGCCATATTGGTCAGTAATGCTGTATGTCCAGCTTCTGAGTATGGGATTTGCTCTGGCGCAATGCTAATCATGGACTCGACTGTTCTAACCATCGACTGTTCTAACCAATTTCTTCCAATTCAATCGGGCAACGACAAAGAGCCTATAGTCACCCCTAGCTCTCAACTTCTCAAAACTTCAGATATAGTATTCAGAAAATGCAGTTGCATCTTCACATCTATCAAGCCTGGCGATGCAGTCTGCTACTGCCGAACAGAGTAGGCTGTCGAGTTTCGTCTAGCCATGTAATACACAATGTAGCAGTCTTTTATGGCCAACTGTTATATAAAAAAGCTCTTTCAAATGTTGCTTGGGTTAAAAAATCGACGTGTGAGCGTAGTGCCGTGTGCTAGTGATATCTAACATCGGTTGTGTGGACACGGTGGCCCAGGACTGTTCCAAATCTGTGAGATATCACACTTGAGGGAATTGACAAATCAAAAGACAACCCTCTTGTCGATATGTCATCCTCTTGTGCACTGAATTAACCTGGTCAAGAGGTAGTTGGCGCCTAGCGTAGCATTATGAAGAGCGATACACGCTCCTATTACTTTGCATCGTTGTTTCAATTGGCCTAGGAAATTGGAATTATGCTTCCGTAGTATTATAAATTTTTGTTGTTGAGCATTTGCTAACCGAGAAGCTCAGTCAAACAAACGGGATTCAACGAATCTATCCATATTAGCAACTTTTAAATGAGAAGATGCTTACTTTGTACTTGTATTGGAGTCGGAAGGATTAAAGCGATCTCGCTCTTGTCAAGAGGCTTGTTCATAATCCAACCACTTATATCTGTAGCATTGGCATATTCTCGATATGCTCAGGTCTCTTGGTATGCTGTCTTTTGTTGAAGATTCTTGTACTAAGTGGGAGAATGGTGGGATGGGTTCGTGGCGAGAGTCGCTGAATGAAGATAGGATACGGAGTAAAGCACGAAGTATTACTATGCAAGTAAATTACTTGTCTTGTTTAACAGTAAAGAACCAATTCTATACCGTGATCTATCAAGGTATGCGTTTCAATTCATGCATATACCGCTCGAGGAGACGTAGAGAAAAGAGTATAATAATTTCCGACGTAAAAAAGATTCCGAGATGCTCGATAGCTAGGAAGTTGACGCTTGTATCACGGGGCATTCAGAGGGATGGAATATTCGTTGCTGATCCTAGGTTATAGAAATGTATCTTGGAGTTCATCTTCCATGCGCATCCCCGCGTACCGTTGTCTATAGCGAGGTGAATATCGCTGGTCAATCAAGTACTGTCCCATACCTTTCTCAGATTTGTATATAAAATCTCAAATGGGGGCGAAGAGGTTGACGTCATGTTCCGAGTCAAAGTTGAGAATCGAGTAAGCAACCAGAAACATCTGCTCTGTCGTGGTGATCCAAGAGACTTGGCTGTATAAATTTTTAGTGGTGAGGATATAGGAGCGAACCCATCTCTGAAAACATCAACAAGACCTTGGCTTACTTCGCCACGAGACTGTGGTGGCCCAGGCGGGATTAATTGCATAGCTTCTGGGATCGTGGAAGCAAATTTTAAGCCGATGATACATGTAATGTTGCAGTCATCATCGACGTATATGTTGTCAACACTCGATTCAGGATGGCAAAGGGGAATGACTTTGGTGTGGTTTCTAGGTCCAGTCTCTATACGATATCTCGTAGAGAGTTACCTGAAATAACATAACCAGCCGATTATCTGAAGAATGTATCTTGCTCCCAAGAGCCACAAAGTCATTTCAAAAATCACATGCTCGGCGATACTAGACAATAGACTCGTGATCACCACGCTGGAGAACTGGAGCGACAAAGCAATGACATGATAACGGTAACATCTCTGTATGTTGTGTAGATGCAGCGATCAGGCTGTCATAGAACTCAGCTTTGAAGTAAACGGCCCGCGAGGTATGTATTGAAGATCTTGCATTACATGACCGCACGAGAGGCATTACTTGACCCAGAAGCCCCCTTGTTCCTTAAACAGCGAGTCTATCTGGTCAAAACGCAGCTGTGACAGCTCCCATATTATAGCGCCCAGTTAGAGAGCATCTTGGTTTTAATATACAAAGGCAATTCAGGTCCGCCGGAATGAGCAGGTTTCCTTATATCTGAAAGTGGCTGACCAGGTGCTTCGCCTATCAAGATGTATGGGACTCCAATGTCATTGTCTGACATAGCGCTTCGATAGGTTAGCTTGCGACTGAGAAGAGAGAACGAAGACAGATCCTACCTATAGTCGTACACTTCTGGAATTGGAATATCAACATTTGATTTTACGTGCTGTAAAGTGGCAGCTTTGCTCACAAGGAACTTTGCACTCATTTCCATAACTAGGTATGCTAAAGTATCTAATATGTGGAGGTCGTAGGAACCATCGCGTCCCATCTTAAAATGCGATACCTCAGTTGAAACTGCCACTGGCGGGAAGTTGATCCACGTCGCAGGTACACTCCATTCCATCTCGAAGGGCGGTTACTCAGAGACGCAGTGTCTCGACATTGAATATAGCGTATATAGATGGGAGGTTTCGTATTTAGGGCCATTTCACTAGCGGGCTAAAAATATATGTATATTTGTTTTAGTGGCTAGCCAACTGCAGAAAGGTATTTCAGCTCAAGAACACATGGTGCTTAGAAGTACTATGAAAAATTATTGTAATAACGAATCGAATTGATGGTTGTTTTTCCTACTCCTTATATTTCAGGCTTTGGCCATTTTTCCAGAACTCCTCAACGACACTTTGCACTTACATTGTAGCTGTATACTTCATACCTACTTTGCTCTTCCCGGTTTTTACATATCTACCTTCAAAATGCGGACACGCATACGCTTCGACGATGTCGCCTGGGAACGAAGCGAAGCCATCGCAATTTGACGCCATGTAGCTCAGGACAATTATCGCCGGACAGACGTGTCATGAGGATCTTCACAGCCACATGCTATTGGCATTGTTCTTGAAACTGACCGCCCGGGTTGACTGGATGATATCCTCCAGGTCCATAGTAGACAACACGCTCCACCTCTGGGAGTTTGTCAATCTTCAAGAGAAGCCCTGTATGCTTATCTACTATAGTGGATTTACCCATTCTATTTCTGTCTGGGAATGAAGAAGTAGAAAAATCAATTTGTTATAGCGCCATTTGATCGCAAGTGCCTGGGGGTTCGTGGTTGCAGGTGGAAGTTCCTTCCTTCTTCAGTGACCTAGATGGCGTCTCTACGACTCGGTCACTCATCACATTCCACCGAGTCCTTCTTCTTCTCAGTTGATTACTTCCTTTATTAATTCACAGCGACAAACACAATTGCACATTACAAAGAGTGCACTGGTACATTTGATGAAAACATGGAGCGCTGTGGAGAGCATCAAATCAATGGCAATATTTCTATTCAATGCTATCCGGGTGATGCGTAATGCTGTGAGAGAGAAAGAGTGAAATGCTGAGAGCGCCAGAGTATGTATAGAGTAATATGTTAGCTATATGTTTTAGTAGCTTATAGCAGCTTTCAGAACGTGCTCGAGTTTTTCAAGGTTGCGAGATAAGCACTGAATTTCAATATATCCATTATATCCAGCATTAGAAGCCAGCCCTTAATGTTCCATCAATTTTCCATTGCACTCAACCCTCTCATGGTCCAAACGCGTATTTCCATTTTACGTAGTGGCCACGACTACACTTGGATCAGATCCATCCACTGTCATAGCTTCTAGTTGAGGGACCAACTACGTGTAAGCTCTGAGATACGTAGTTCCGTGCGTAAAAAGTAACATGTGGTTTTGTTGAAAGTGCTTGACATGCTCCTCTCATCTCAGTCGAGCAGCATAGCAGCCGTTAGAAATACTAGGTCATGATTCGCTAGATATTTGCGTTAGAAACTCAATAGCTAAACATTTTGAATAATGTGATACCAAGATAAAGGAACGAGAACAATTAAGTTAGAGTATGGCATATGGTATGTACTTATAGGGTTGTATAGCAGGACAGCCAATAAAGAGTGACATGCCCAATCTCTGTATCATGTGACATGGTAGTTCAGGAGACACGCACCGACCATCAGCCATTATTTCATTCTGTTGGCTGAGAGAAGAGTAGAGATTGATTTTTTTTTTTTTTTTTGTCAATTATTCCAAATGAAAATCAAATATACAAAGCACTATGTGGTTTCTAGAAATACTTTATTCGGTGTTGGAGAAAGCACTGACAGTATGGTATTGTGAGACTGTCACATACAAGTAATGACTGGTATTGAAGATGCTCGTCTGGTTGGTCGCCCTGGGACGTCAGCCGCAGCCGCAGAGTCGACCAGAGAAGTTGTTTTAGCTGCAGAAAGAAAGCGATGTCTTTGGGGATTATGCACCTCCAATTGGTTCATTGATGCCAAGTACCTTTTTGGAATTGGATAGATTTAAAGCTCAGGGAAGGAACATGCAGCCGGGTCGCCAACTATTATTATTATTGATTGGCAAATCAATGGACGGAGGCGGCAACTCCCTGGTATATCCGATACGATACATTCCATAGGTCAGACAGATCTAACTCAGTTCTCTCCTCCTTTATGCAGGAGGAATTGGATTATTAGTCACCATAGTAACAGATCATCTACAAAGTATTGCTTGCGGAATATATTCCCGTTCGGACAGGTAGGCATATATATATTCCTCTTCCTCCTTGTATATCAATGCCACGATGTTCTTGCATATATCTAAGAATACGTACGGTACGATACAATAAATACATCGACCGGGCTAGACGCCTCTAGTGCCCGGCGCTGAGCCGTTCGTGGCCCGACAAGCAAGCGCCCAACTGTCCTTGTGTGGCTCCCGCCCAACTATATTAAAAACTATCAAGAAGGGAGGTCTGTCCTCCGCCCGAAAATTGCTAGTAGGCGATAGTGGTAGATACCGTCACGTTTGGTAATGGCTCTGTACCATACATAGTAATATACCGTATGTAAGATTAAGCCTCTCCCTGGAATCGTTCCCCCAATCCCGATCCAGTTCCTCCTGTTCTCCGTATTCTCTCACTTGCTCACTATCCATCTTCTCCATATTCCAATCGCTTTCTCCATCTTTTCTCACCTCTTCTCCTCTTCTCTTCTCTTCCTTTCGCCCTCTCTTCCTTCTTCCGCCCCCTCTTCCTACCTTTTCGCTCTCTCTTTCTTTTAATCCGCGGCACATCAATCAACTGCCCAGTGCGCCTTATCGTACTGCCACGCAGTTGGTTAGTCCCGGAAGAAGAGGCTTGGTCGCTTTTTTTTTTTTTAGCCCTTTTTTTTCTTCCAATTACCTTACCTCTTCCTTCTTTCCCCCTTCTCCTTCAAAAGTCTCCGTACTGGGTGGTGTGTCGGGTTTCTTTGAATCCTTCCATTGTCCCTTCACCAACCAGGCGATTCTTTCGCGTCCGCCTACTCCGTTCTCCGTTCCCGTACCCGTCCCTATCAACTTCCTCTCCCTCCAGAGAACGGATTAAGTCATCTTCCTCACTTCCAACTCGATCGTCCTTTATTCTCCATTATTCTGCATTATTGCCCGGTCGCCGTTTTGTACGATCTCAGCGGCCTTTCAGGCTCGATTCGATTGAAGAAAAGGGGGAAACCGGGTTGGAACAAACCGTGTCGAGAGAGCAACGTTCCGAGATCCATGTGAGTATTCCGGTTATCTTCAGTCCTCACTCCCACTCTTACCCGCGCTCGAACGACCATCGTTCCATCGACGTTTCGTTTTGCTGACACATTTCAATTTCGCAGTCAATCCATTCCGCGCGTGTAATAACCCCGTCGATCAAGTTCGTCGTACCCTGAGTTTGCCTGGAATCGTCCGGTCGCTTCGCTGCTCGCAATGTCGTCTTCGTCATCCAACGTAGTGGGTGTCCACTACAGAGTGGGAAAGAAGATTGGTGAAGGCTCGTTTGGTGTCATCTTCGAGGGAACGAATCTCCTGAATAACCAGCAGGTGGCTATCAAATTTGTACGTAATGGTCTTCACACACACACCGTTCCTGTTAAACCACGATGCTTACCGCATAAACAGGAACCTAGGAAAAGCGATGCACCACAACTCCGGGATGAATATCGGACGTATAAGATCCTGGTCGGATGCCGTAAGTTTGAGGCCCCTTGATTTGAGAACGAGTCTAATCTCTGGCAGCTGGCATCCCCAACGTTTATTACTTCGGCCAGGAAGGTTTACACAACATCCTGGTAATCGACCTCCTGGGTCCCAGTCTCGAGGATCTATTCGACCATTGCAATCGGCGATTTTCTGTGAAGACTGTGGTCATGGTAGCCAAGCAGATGGTGCGTTTCTCTTTGTGAACTCAGTTGACTCGCAAACTAACATTGCCTCTGTAGCTCTCGCGAGTCCAAACGATCCACGAAAAGAACATGATCTACCGTGACATTAAGCCGGATAACTTCCTTATCGGTCGCCCGAACAGCAAGGCTGCAAATGTCATCCATGTCGTCGACTTCGGCATGGCCAAGCAGTATAGAGATCCCAAAACAAAGCAACATATCCCCTATCGCGAACGCAAGTCGCTGTCCGGCACAGCACGTTACATGAGTATCAATACCCATCTGGGCCGTGAGCAATCGCGGCGTGACGACTTGGAGGCTCTGGGCCATGTTTTCCTCTACTTTCTGCGCGGCGGTCTTCCATGGCAGGGTCTGAAGGCCGCGACCAACAAGCAAAAATATGAGAAGATCGGCGAGAAGAAGCAAACCACCGCCATCAAAGATCTCTGTGAAGGATACCCAGGTACTTTTAAACCCCGATTTCTCGATTATAGAAGTTACCTTCGTCCGCAGGCCAGCACTAATCAACTAGGCATAGAAGAATTCACAAAGTACCTGACTTACGTCCGCAACCTTGGTTTCGAAGACACCCCGGATTACGACTACCTGAGGGATCTGTTGTCGCAGGCTCTTAAGAACGCCGGGGAGGTCGAAGATGGCGAATATGATTGGATGAAGCTCAACAACGGCCGTGGGTGGGAATACAAGTCGTATTCGTCCCAACAACACCTGCAGCAGAACCTTCCCAATACGTCTGGTCGAGACCTCCACGCACAACAGTATCGTGCAAGTCAGCGACCTGGCGTGACGGCAGACCGTTTAAACGCCGCGCAGCCCCCGCCCCCATCTCCGGCCAAACCCGGAGCTGGGAAGACGCGCGAGCGACCAAGCGCCTCAAGCGGCATGCCGCCGAAACGCCAAAGCGCGGGGATGGACACTACAGCACCAACAGCGTCGACTCAAGCGCAGTTCCAGAACTCAAACCCCAACATCCCGGGCCGGATGGGCAGCCCGGCTAATCAACCCATGAGCCCTCAACCGGCACAAGGTACTCAGGCAAAGAGTGAGCCGCAGCCCACTTTCGTGCAGAAAGTGATGAAAGCATTATGCTGCGGTAGGTGATACTCGTATTCATGTACAAAGTATCGGTTATCATCAAAGTTATTCTCGACTTATTTTTCTTTCTCTTTTGATCAGGTTGAACGCAAACGCCGATTTTCTGTACTTCTAACGTGATCTCGCGGGCCATGTCGTGTCATTCAACTTGTCGACCTTACCTTCTCGATTCTGTTATTTCACGGGCTTCTCTTTTTCTCCTTCTCATTCCCTCCCTTGGTCCTTTCTACTGAAAGGAGACAATGGTTACCGATCTTTCTCGGCCGCTCCCGTAAAGGGAATCTTGTTGGGTTCGCATATACGGCTTTGCGGAAGTATTTGGTGGATCGAGGCCATCCTACTTTTTTTTGTTTTTTTTTTTTTTTTTTTTTTTTTTTTTTTTTTTTTTTTTCATGACTAGGTCTCGGAGTTTAAAGGACGTCTTTCTGGCCGATTTCATCCGCGAAGCCAAGGAAAGTCGATCTGAGCGGACTCGAATATCAGCAGAGCGGCCATTTCCCTTTTCTTCTATTGTCTCCTATATTTCTTCATATCATCTCACTCGTTTATGGTGCTATGGATACGGAACGGCGAACTTGAGGATTCCTATGCTTTTCTTCTTGTGCATCTCATTATACTTGTTTGGCGTGAACTACATTTAATATTAGACTTCCATCTTGTCGCCGATTACATGATCTCTCCGACTTGGTTTTCGGTTTTTTTTCGAGCCTCTTTACCTTCTACTGCCTTTCTTCGATCGTCGATAATTGGCTGGGGTTGTTTACAGCGAAGCATATACCATTCACTTGTGCGTCTATAAAAAAGAAGAAAAGAGAAAAGAAAAAAGCGGGGTTCCATCGGAGTTGATCATGCAATCATGCAAAGCGGCCAGTGGCTATCTTGTTTCTGTTTTTGTTTGTTGACCGGGATTAAGCGCATTGCATCTGCCATGTGTTTTCTGTTGTCTTTGCCTGTTCCTGTGATGATCCATGTTTAGATAACTGGTCTTTGCAGGGCGTTGTGTTTCTGTTTCATATGTCTTGTTTGTTGGTGCTACGTTTTTGTTCCTTTCTGCTAATCTATAGTTTTTGTTGTTTTGTTTGCACAGAGTTGGGTTCAAAAATCTGCATTCTTCCCTGCTGAATTCGTATACCGACAGGAAGATAACGATTGTGGCGTCGTAGTGTAAGAGACATCGCCTGATAGTACTATGGATACATAATTGGTTACAGGCCTGTGTAGGTTGATAGTGTTGACCTTACGTGTTATTGGTAGTTAAGCTTTCTGTCATACACTCTGTTTTAGCATGGTGACACATGATGGTCATCGGTTATCCCCGGTGATTCTCTGGATATTCACGGGATCCTAGAGCCAGAACCAGGGAGCACCAAAGCTAATTGAAGTGATATTGAATCAAATACAGTACAGAGTACTTGCATCACTGCGGAGAGGTACTTTCTACCATTGATTGGCGTGATCCACGCTGCATAGTCCGAGTACTACTGTATCAAAGTCTAGAGCATTGGTAATCCACGGTACATGGTGGTGTGGTGTGGTGTGGTGCTTTGACAAACAGATAAACAAATGATATGATGATATGCTGCGGAGGATCGACTGATGTGAGACTCGTGGGGAATGCAGCTTTCATCATACATACTCTGACAGTACTCAGTACTCCATAGTGAACAGTGATGCAACAGCTGCAGTCCAACCGTTAAAGCAAGGAAAGGCTGACCTTCTCCGCACTTTACCTTCACGTTTAGCTAGAATCGAAATCGAGACCAAGACCCTGGTCAATATGGGAAGCTCTATTATGCACGAATGCGTAAATTCGGGTATTGCCCCGAATGAGCGCAATGACTCGCATGCCAAGGGTGTATCTTACAGAATACGGTACGTGAAGGCAGCCAGATTCGAGGATCATGTGATACAAGTGAAATTCTAGAAAAAATACCGAAGTTTTTTCCGGTGTAACCATCAGGAACAAAGGTGGAAAGGATGGAACTCGTTGATGCACTGATCAAGCATACATCATGAGAGTCTGAGCCAGTCATGCAAGGGTATTATGACGTTGATGTAAATCCGGGAAATCCTAATTGATCGGACCATGGAACTCGATCAGCTCATATTGGTTGTTAGAGTTAGAGTGCTCCGTACATAGTAGGATTAGAACCTGTATCAGAATAGAAAGCTGACTCGACAGACTGAATCGATCGATCGGAAAATAACCACCGCAGAGCACCTTCCTGAATTGGGAAAAGTCTCTTGGTCGGCCCCGAGGATCACCGACGACCGGGCGGACCCGGGTGGCAAAGCTTCTGGAACAAATCCTCCAACCACAACCCGTCTACCGTTCTCACGTGAGCACGAGGCGGGTTTTTTTACGTTTCAGCGTCGGGAAACTCTCCACTATCAGTACTTTGATTGGCTGCGGTGAGGTATGTCCACGCAAGTTCTTTCCAGAATGTGACGCCAAGGTGTCATTCGCTGCCTCTCTGTAATCACTCCCTTACTCAGAGAACTTGCCGACCAACGGTTCATCCAACGCATTCTTTTTGGAATTGTCTGAGCTGGCGTGCTCTAGAAGGCTTGTGTTTTTTTTTTTTATGATACAGAGTAAAATATACAGAGCATACGCATACAGAGCAGTATTAGTAGTAAAGAGCTAACGCGGCCGATGCAGGTCGCAGCCCTTGCAGAGAACTAGACTCGAATCAGCAGTTGAGACCGGAGACAACTCCATCCTCCGTCGTACAGCTAAAACCAAGGAAATCCGGTTTTCTGCGCACTAGTATGGTGCGCTAAACTTACTCTGTGGTGGTTGTACCAGAGTATCATGACTATCCTCGTACTTTACCTCTACTCCGGAGTACTTTACCTCTGACTGAAAGTTTCTTGTGCAGATCGACCCGGAGACTTTGATCGCTTGACTGATTCAGACCGGGGTCTCCGTCACTACGGAGTATCTGTTCTGGTGCTATGGAAATACACAACAGAAACCCCTTGCAATGCTTTGGTGGCTTGGCGCCACGCAGATCCTATCAGTGAGGAGCCAATCAGGGGGTCGGTTGGCGGTCGGAATATCATGATAGAAGATAACAATTGAATGGGGTGATTGACTGCCACTTTAATGATGCACGAGAACATTCTATACTATATGTAGGGTACTACTGAGCTCTGAGTATTTCTATATTCACGAACATCCTGTTCATTTCTTTCAACTATCTGTATATATGTACAAGTTCACCGGTGTACCCGTATTCATTCTCTGTAAAGTGCTGGTACAGACAGTGCAGTGCTCAGGGGCCTTATCAGCATGACTAAGACCCACTGCGAAGATCTTTCTCCTCTCACTTGATCCAGCCAATCAGTTGTTCCTGCGCCCTCATTTCCCAATCCTGCATGACTCCACACCATCTAGAAGGGGCATTAGTTGCCTGTTCTTATAGCAACTGTATTATCATGCTATAAGCTATATTGTGTACAGAGTACTCTGAAGAATGTTATGTTTCTAATTGTGTATATGAGTGTACAGAGCACAGAGCACAGTGTACAAGTCCTCTGTACTTGGGCAGAACATCCTTGATCTGGCTCGTCGGAAAGTATCGTCATGGTGGGGCAGATACGGTACAGTAATGATTACGGTATCGATGAATCCTGTCGTTTCGGTGGATCCGCAGAGCAAAAGAGAGAGAAAAAAAAAAAGTGGGAATGCAAAAGTCGCTTTTCACAGCGATCGATGCGCTTTTGTACGTTTTTGCTTGTATTTCAACTTCCACTCCCCTCTTCTTATTTTCTTTCTTGACTTTTGGTTTTGGATCTGGATATTGCCGGGCCTATACAATTTTTCTCTTATTCTTCACTCTTTGTACATTAGCCAATCCCTCCTCAGAATCTCCGCCCAACTAACTAATCTCCTTGCCCCGGCGTTTCTCCTCTTTCGTCCCCCCTGGGAGGATTCCTTTCGTTGCCGCCTATAAGTCCTACTACTATTGCGCCCGACCGTGGTGTTTCACTTTAAAGCCTCCCGCCATCGTTTGACTCAGTCAAAGCAAAGTATTCCTACGCATATAATTACAACACCTTAACCCACCCTCCCCCCCGGTCGTCTGGGAAATTCCTTAAACCCTCCCCGGAGAGGATCCCGGAGACCGTCCCCTGCGGAAGTCAAGTCACGGTATACCGGCCGAAATGCTGCTGAAGAAGTCTCAAAATAACCCCCCTCGGTCCTTTTGGAATCATTCTCCCAGCTCGACTCCCGAACTTTCTCCCACGTCGTCCTCTGATAGCGAATTCGACGAAGAGATGGACTCTTCGTCGGGATCCCGACCGATCAGCTTTTCCGTTCCCCGGGGCGCTTACTGTTCGATGCGCCCGTCGCTGGAACAAGTCCTCGCCAACACCGCTCCTCCCCCATACACTCTCAGCGCATTCATGGCCTACCTTTCTCAGAACCACTGTCTCGAAACACTTGAATTCACCCTTGAGGCCAAGCGGTACCGCGAGACCTTTGAAGCAGTCACCCACCAGCTGGGCGAATACCCTTCCGCCAACATCGATTTCCCTGAATGCCAGCATCTGTGCATGCTGTGGCAGCGACTCTTGACGGCATACATCCTCCCCGGCTCTCCCCGCGAGATCAACGTGACCAGTGACGTGCGCGACAACATCCTCCGCCAGGCCGCCGTCAACCCGCCGCCCCATCCGCAGCTTCTCGACGTCGCCGTCAAGTTGACCCACGAATTAATGGAGGAGTCGATCTTCATGCCGTTCGTCAACTCCCATTCGGCATCCGCCTATAGCATGCCCTCGTACTCATCCGAGTTCTCCCCTCCCAGTGATGACGGTGTGATGGTGATGGGCAAGTCGAGCTTCGAAGAGCAGCAACAGCACACGGAGAAGCGGTCGCGCTCGAAATCAAAGCGTCTGACTCCTCCATCATCCGCCAAGGAACTCGGATCTCCCTTTGTGGCGAGCAGCCACTCCAGCAAGTCCAACTTTGGCCTCAGCATGATGACCAGCCTGGGCAAGTCTGGTCACCGGAGTGGTCAGACCCCGAGCCCTGGTGGTAATGACCTTTCTCTCACCGATGACTCGGGATCCAACGCTAGCATGGGGGAACTCATGACTCCACCGACTACTCCGCCATCGACCGATCCATTCCCGTTCCTCAGCCAGAGCCCCAAGAACCGCACCGAGAACCCATGGAAGAAGATGTCTATGATGCTGGGCTTCAAGAAGCGTGGAAATGCGAGTCGCGACATGAAGATCTTTGGCACGGACGATTGACTACTACCTGCCGCGGCGCTCTTGCTGCGGCTTCTATTTACTACACTTCACGCTTCAACGCTTATAGAGGGATGATTTGACTTGCATTTCTACGCCACGACTGGTCTTGTTTAGATATAATGAGCGACGTTCGCCATGCTTGCCTTTCTTTTGGATATGAGTGAACGCATTATGCATTTCCGGCGCTTTCTTTTGCTTCTATTATTTCCTTGGATACTCCTATTTGGCTGGCGTTTGGGTGACCAAGCAAGCGATTTGATTTGCATTTGTTTTTTTTTTTTTTTTTTTTTTTTTTTTGTGGAAAGATTTCTACACTTATAGATAGAGCATGGTCCTACATTGGACTGGTGGCCTTTCATTAGGCATTAGGCTGGCGTTGGTGTTGATTTGTGGCGAGTTTAATATTACCTCGTCTTACCTGTTTTGGGACTGCATGTTGGCATTTCATGTCTTATTAGATAGCATCATGCGAATACCCTTCTACTTCATTACTCTGTACAAACCAAGAAAAGTCCCAATTCCTGGTACATTAAGCAATCGAAACCCTCCGTCCCGGCCTCGTCTCCAACGACGCAACATCCAACTCCCATCCATATTCTTCCATCGCAGATAAATATTTTTCAAATCTCTTGCCGTGATTCAAGAAGGTCAATGTCTGCTCCAACACTCGTAGTACTTTATCACCATAATTTCCATTTTTCTCATCAACTGGAAACGAAGAAGAAATCACTCGCACAGCGAGTAACCCATGCATCCACGCTCTTAGCTGTGAGTGCGGCGTGCATGATTGCTTTAGGAGAATGTTTGCGGTCCATTTCACTTTAGTAGTAGTACCGATGGTGGTGACAGACGATAGATAGAGGATGTATGACTCGTTTGCGAAGATGCTAGTGAGGTTGGGTAAAAGATTGTGGTCGGTGCTGTTGAGGAATTGGTTGATTGGTATGCCGATGTTCGCGTGTCCAAGTGTAATCACCTGTCCTGCTTTAGAGTACCATTTTAGTATCCCATCTCGTTCGAAGATGAGTTCTTGGTTGGAGACCTGTGCTGGTGTTAGAAGGTTCCATTTTCTTTTCTCTTCTTGTAGGTCAGTTTGTGGCTGGGATAGTGATCCCACTGCCCCGCTTAAGGTAAGAAATAAAAGAGCAGGGTCTGAACCCAGAAGCGTCGAGAAGAGGATATTTGCGCGTTGGCGGTTGAGCGTGGTCATCTGTACGGAGCGCACGGCGAGGTAGTTCAGGGATAGATGCAGAGTTAGGAGGAGGAGAAGGGTGAGCCAGGTGGTGATGGGAGTTGTTATGTGGTTGATCATGAGGGAGCCAGTCTGCATATCATTAGTAGTTTAGTCTATCGTTAAGGAGGAAGGGTACTGACTAGCATCCCAATGAGCGAGATGATAGTTTCTTGCGATGAATCTTTCTACACACCGTCAGCTACGCCCAACAACCAATAACCAGGAAAGGGGACATACAGCATTAACATCCCCCAAACTCCCCCTCCCACCCCTCACAAAATGCGCACCCAACGTCGCCTTACTACTCCCCCCCGCAACACCACAAAGCGCCGTCAACACGCCCGCGGCACTCAACACGCCCACTCTCGCAATACCAGCAGGTACCATCGGCGACAGACAATTCAGCACCATGCCTAGATCGTTAAACACGTCGGCTGCGAAGCGGTACCGCTTGCATTCTGGCTCAAGGGCTGTGCCGATGCGGTAGGCGAAGGCGATTGTTGCGAGGCGGGAGGTTGTGTCTTGAATGGTATGTAAGAGGAGTGCTGCTGTTGGGGTTGCGGTTGGATTGCCGACTCCGACGCCTGTTATTTTTTAGTATGCGTGTTTGGTGGCTGACAGAGGGGAGAGTGGATGTGGACCTTGTAGGACGGCTCTGGAGGCTAGGAGGCCGGCGATTGAGCTGCTGAAGGCTTGGAGGGAGTCCTGTATGTGTTAGTCTGTACAATTGGTTTGATAAGGCGCGGGACTCACGAATATTTGATATCTAGATCCATCAGCTCAGTCCAAGAAGTACATGTACATTGACGTACGGGAGATAATCATCAGTAACGCTATGCGGGTATCCAGCCGGGAGAAAGACATCCCCGAGGAAACTCATCAACTTGGCCCGAGACCATGACGAGGGTGCTGTGGTTGGAGGCTGACATTGTTAGTGGTGTCTCAAGAAAACTGGGTACAGGCCACTTACAATGTGGTCAATCCGCCCTGTCTGTGCGCCATTGCGGCTCTGTTTCTGAGACTTTGTGTAGACATACGTCGCAGTGGGGTGGTTGACTTCATCTGTTTCAACCAAAGTGATGGCATTCCGGTTATTAGAGGCCATCTTGATTCAATTACTTGATATGCTGATGATGCCGAGAATGAAGTTAATTGGAGTCAAACGCGGCTGCAGGAGGCACGTGAATGCGCATGTTACGGTTAACGGTTTCGACTGGGATCTGGGATCCTATTTCTGAGACATGTGCAATCAACTGCATTAAGCAAACTTTTCAGTAGATTTTCGCTAAGAATGTAAGTACGCGATTCTGTAAACCCTGGCATTCCTCCCGTTGTACATCACAAATGGAAAAACCATCCGATAGTTGTGCGCCCAAGTAGCATAAAAGACATTCCTGAAACCAAAAAAAAAAAATAAAAATAAAAAATAACCGCTAAGAGAAACACATAACCACCAGCGCCGTGACTTGAACGTAAGAAACACAAAGACAGAAAAAAAAGGTAGCAGGCATGACGTTCTCCTGTTCACGAATATATCATGCCCCATGTATAGATTCAACATCTCCCCCTAGTGTCCGCCGACGTAAAAAACCCATGGTCAGTCAGTAGTGACCATTATTCTCATCATAAGACAACCCTCGCATCATATTCGTGCCCATTCGCACGTCGAAAATCGTTTAGTTGCAGAGGCTGGCACCGCCGGTCTCAATGGCCTCAATTTCAGCCTCGGACCATGGCAGACGGTGGAAGCGGGAAGGCAACTCAGCACGGTCGAAGAATTGACCTTCCTTGGGCTGAATAGGACCCAAAGAAGCACCCGGGACACGGCCGATGGCGCCCTGGCTGAACGAGGCACGTCCAAGAGGACCGTGCTGCTGGGCCTTGATGCGGTAGGCAGCGAACGAGTCGGGCAGAACACCAGTGGGCGAAGCGGGGTGAGCACGAGGGCTATGGTCTACCGATTCTATTGATTCATTCGGAATTAGCTGCGTGTCACTCAATGGCGGCGGGAAGAGGACTTACGAGGCACCGAACGCTTGCCAATGAAGCGAATAAGAGGGGTGTGGGCGGCATTGCGGAGAGCGAAAGTGGCACGCATTGTGATTGTATTAAGGTGATTAAGAGTTCGATTTAATTGAGTATGTTGAACGTAGATGTTCACAGAAGATGGTAAATTGGAAGAGGGAGAAATTTGACAGTCCGATCCCGTCCGATCCGACCGTGGTGGGTGTTGTGTGGTGGGTAGCTATTATTCCGGAGCTAGTGAGGGGTGGAAATTATTGAGTAACAGTTGGAGCAGCGTTGTAGTGGTATACCAACAGAGCGAGAGAATGATATTAGAGAAAGAGAGATGAGGAATGAAGAGAAAAATGAAAAGAAGAGAAGAGGGGGAAAAGTCAGGCCTGATTAGTGATAAGAAGAAGGCCGGGGATTTTTACTTCAGATTCCCCAGATCATCTGATTTTGCATCATGTGCATTTCCAAGTTCTGGTGGTGCAATTGGGTTACGGACTTGTACTACTATCTTGCTACTTTACCTGATGGTTATGAAAACTTTGACACATTTTGAGTCCTGATAAACCTCCAACCTCCGACATTCTCCGGATTTGGCTCGGATCACATGATCGACGCGCTAGCCTTGTTGGGTAACGACCTGGGAAGCTTCACCATATCATAACCATATTCCACTACAAATAAGTCATTTCGGCCCTCCCTCCACCAACGAACGACATCGGCTGCACCATGCACGAGTTGTTGTTGTTTGCCTCCGTTCCACTCCACCAACATCATGAGCTCCGACAACAACTCGCCGGATTGACGGCCATGCAGCCTCGCCACCGTCTCGAACGGCGTCTGATCTTCAAGGCCTATCGCAAACCTGGTGTGATTACGACTCGCGTCGGTGCTAGCCAGGATGTTCAGGGCGTTGACCTGCAGCGATTGAACAAAATGTTAAACGGTGGCATGTATTACACGCAAGTCGTCGGTCCGGTTCTTCACGAAAACTTTGCTGCTGCTGGAGTTACCCGCGGAGAAGGAGATGATCCCGATGCGGCGATGTCGGGCATTCACGAGTCCCAGAAGGATTCCTTGTCTCATTCGACCTATGATTATGAAAGCCAATCCTGGAAACTTGAGTTCAGGGATATTCCCGAAGCGGGCACTCGGTCCGCAGTCACTGCTCGCTTAATGGCCAGTGCCGGTCTACCCAAAGGCGACATCGTCGAGCCCATGAATGCTTGGGGATATGGGTTAGTCTGGCCATAGTCTCTGCATATTATCATTGCTGATACTTTCCAGGTTTGTCACCGAATACGTGGTGGAAGGAGATATTTTTATTCTTAATGACATTGTCATCTTTTTACATCGAGTTCTTCGCTATCCCTCTGAGTCCTCGGATCCTCACGCCCCTCGAGGGCAATTGCCTTCGTTCGAGCAGATGAAACCTCTGGACAAGAGTGGTAGCTACGTGTTGCAAGCCGCCATAACAGTCCAAGATGGTGGAAACCAGGAGACCATGAGGACTGCATCGCAACATTTGTTTGGTCTTCGCGAGCAGCTCCGGTCGGCTGTTCGGCTGGAACAAGCAGATCGACTATCATTGGACACGCGGGCAAAGTGACCTCGCTTTTCTTTCCGATTTCTTTTTTTAGCCTGTTATATACCCCTTCTGTTTGAGTTTAGACAAGCAAATAAGCATGCTTGATCCTTGGTACTGTACGGAATACTGCCCGTAGGTAACCACATCGTACATGTAGTGAATAGAATGATCAGGATGAAGGATTGTCCAGTAGACCTCTCTATTTGTCTTCTTCCTTTATGAATACTGTCATCATATACAATACTACCGTCATCGAACTCATCTAGCTCATCTGCAGTGCAGAGTTGCTGTTTATCAATACCTTGATGGGCAATATGGAAAGCATGTGACCTCGTGAAGCTCAACCACGCGCGGCGCGTCTGATTATTCCGCCTCCACTCCGCAAGCTCCGTCGACCTAGTTCCTTTGCTTCTACAGTTTTTTTTTTTTTTTTTCATTAAGCTAACAATTTACCATAATTTATTTGCCAATGCTAAAAATGGCCGGGACTAGTGCCGCGAAGAGAGCAGCGTCCCCCAGCCGCGCCATCTCCCCACCCCCGCTGAAGAGAACCGCGGCGGCGACGACAAAGACGAAAACGACAGTCACAAGTAAGACTCAATCTAAGCACGCAGGGTCGCAAATTGAAGACTAATAAAGTAAACTATCATCTCAAGAAAAATCAGCCGCCAACTTCTTCACACCAGTCTCTCAAAAGAAGCCGGACTCCCTCGCCTGGCGGATAGTCAACAATACTTTGATCATTGGAAAGTACTCGGGGCAACAGCAGGAACCGTCGGCCGAGAAGAAGCAAAAAATCGCTGCATTTGATCTTGTCAGTTTATTTGCTTAGGGTTAGCAGATATGATTGGACACTGTGCTGATAGACGCAGGACTCTACTCTGATCACGTCGGCGTCTGGGGCAACCTTTGCGAGGAGCCCAAAGGATTGGAAATGGTGGGATGCCTCTGTACCATCTCGCGTAAGGGAGCTAAACTCGGAAGGGTACGTTTGCTTACGTGAATCTCTTTGGAGTGTTACTAAACGAAGCAGATACCAAGTCGTCGTTGTCTCGAACCAGAAACAGATCAGCTTGAAAAAAGGGGCTGCAGAGTCGAAGAGCTACAGCAATTTCAAAGAGAAAGTTACCGCTGTTTTGAATGACCTGGACGTGCCTTTGAGTGTCTACGCGGCGACGGAGACTGATGAGTACCGCAAGCCTCGGCTGGGGATGTGGAGGGAGTTCCTCGAGGACTACGATTTGGATGTGGAGGGAGTAGATTTGAAGAGCTCATTCTTCGTCGGAGATGCTGCTGGTCGGCGGGGGGACCATTCGCTGGTGGACAGGTTGGTCTTCGTTTTTTCCAAGCTCAAACAATCAGTTCACTGACTATCACAGAGGATTTGCTGTAAACATCGGGGTAGATTTTAAGACACCAGAGGAATTCTTTCTCAATCAGGCCCCGGAAGCGTTCGAGAAGCCCTTTGACCCTGCTTCATACCTACACACCGGCGAACAAGATCTTCCGCTCTTTACTCGTCTACATCCCCTCGAACTCGTCATATTCTGCGGCAGCCCTGGGGCCGGGAAGTCAACGTTTTACTGGAATAACCTCGAATCGCTGGGATACGAACGTGTAAACCAAGACATCCTGAAATCTGTATTTCTTTCTCCCCCTCCGGTCAGCAAAAATACAAGAGACACAAGCTAACCCGCACAGCGCCCTAAATGCCTCAAAGTCGCGCGAGAACATCTGATTGATGGAAAGTCTGTCGCTGTTGGTAAGTCCTATGTCCTTGTTCTCTTTGCTTTGTTCGTGCAACATGGTACAGTATACGGAGGACACTGTGTATCTGCCAGAACCCTAATTGCACACCAACATGCTTTACCATTCTTCGTTCAACTACACATTGAAATGAAACGAGAACGTACTAACGCCAACGAAAAAGACAATACCAATGCCGACCCAGAAACACGAGCGCATTGGACCGCACTCGCAAAAGACCTTAAGATCCCCATCCGCTGCGTTTTGTTCCTCACCTCCCCTGAGTTGTGCAAGCACAACAACGCCGCGCGTGCTGTTAATCGCACATTGGTACACCTCACCTAATCCCTATGCGCACAGGAAGATACAGGAAGATACACTAACACGTATAATAATAGAACCCCGAATCCCGGACCTCCCTCCCCGGCATCGCATTCGGAGATTTCGGCCGACGCTTCAAGGAGCCCTCGCTTGACGAGGGGTTTAGTGATATCATCCGAGTTAAATTCCGGTTTCACGGTAGGGATGAGGAGAAGAGATTGTGGAGTCAGTATTATTATTGATTCTTGGTTTCAATTTTACTATGCTTGGTGCATGGGAAAAGAGTTGTGATTTACGTATTTGATACCAATATGGGCGCCCTTTGGATGGATGGAATGGAATGTATTTGTATTTCGACATAAGACTATTTACTTGAATGGCAGCAAAATCGAATCAAGTCTATTATACAGGATATGGGTGTATATGCAGATGATAAATGCTGAAAAAGAATGCCTTTTGTTTCTTAAATTCAACCCGCTATCATTCTTGTAATAAAATAATGAAACATGATAATCATTAGCGATAGATAAACAATTATCTCGTAGTAAATGCGATGTAAATAATGCAGTCAGTACAGGAGAATCAGGCCATGCCATATCAGTAAGAAATAAAAAAATATGTGAATAAAGACAAGATGGAAAAGAAAGAAAAGGATCCATCAAGGAATGCAGGATGGAGGCGAGTAAGTAGTCGCCAGTCCATCGATGGTCGAGGTTCGGAGGCATCAATCATCAGTCATAAGTAAACCATGCAAATGGAGACAAGATATCACAAATAAATAGAACGAAAACATTAGTCGTCACACGCTTCAATCAAGAATCCCGAAGAGAAACGCTCATTGATATGGCATAAAAGTTGCACCAACGCCGGCCAGCTCGTAATGAAATGTCGTTAATGAGTGAGATGGTAGAAGAAAATAAAAAAGATATTAGGATCGTCCGATCAGATCCTGGAAGAATTTGAAGAAATTGCGCTTCAGAGAAGGTCGCGGCTGACAAGGGAGAGTCTTCATAGGACCAACAATTTCGCCATCACCCAGTTCTGGGAACTTGTCGTCGTGAAGACGGGGGATCTTGACCTGGTCGCATGGACCGAAGTGAGATTCGGTCAAGCTCAAAGTAGGCCCGTGGATCTCCTCGAGTTGTGAGTGCATAGCTTCGTGGTGGCGCTTCCATTCACGGTTGGTGGCGTCCCACTTGGCCTCAGTCAGCTTGTAGATATTTGACGTGACACCGTAGTGTTCTCCAGTACGCACAAGGTGTTTGGTGAAATTGCATTGCGCAAGGTCCCAGTCTTCCCGCAACTGGCAGAAAGAATCCATGGTGCAGGAATCAGGCATGTAAGGTGCGGGATAAATAGTGAAATTCGCATGTCCCAGCTTGTTGGCCCACTCATCGTTGGGGTCCGAAATGTACAAGGGAGATGGTCCGTCTGAAACGGAGCGCATCGTACTGGCGCTCGGACGATTGTGGAATGAGGTCATGGACGGCTGGGACGATAAAGGCGGCGAGGGAATTGTGATCGATGGTTTCCATGAAGCTGGAATAGTGGCGGAGGCACAATTGTCGAGATTTAATACGTCATCCGAAATGTCCGCCACGGTTGGCGATTCCAACGGCGAGGTCACTCCCGCAACAGCAGCAGCCATTGGATCGTCGCCCATAAACGGCGGAAGCAATGGAGTGCTAGCCTGGTGGGTGGAATCGCCCTCTTCCTCGAGGAAATGGCGGTTGGCACTATCAGTATCGATTGGGCGGATACCCGATTCACTGATGCGTTCCTCGAAGATGGTCCGGGCAGGCGAGGGAGGGATGATGGTAGAGTCAATGCGCGCAACTGGGCACCCAGTCGGATTGACTAGGGCAGATGAAGCAGCGGAGCTAGTGCGAGAGCGCCAGTCATCCGGATATGGGGCATCGCGGTCTACATCCTCCGACTGTCGGGGCCTCCAACGACCGGATATGGTTGAGACGCGCGAGCTAATGCGAGAAAGACCCTTGGTGGACGTAGTACTATCGGGACGTCGCTTCTTGGGGGAATGGGGGATATCCATCCCGGCATCGGTCAGATCGTAGCAACCGAAATAATCGACGGCGGAGAAGTATGGGTTTTCGACGGATAAGCCTTGATCAAAGTGCTCTACCACAAGTTAGTGTTTTCTTCTTCTCAAAGTCGCGGAAAGGCGCGAGGATAAACATACGGAAATATTCCTGTTCAAGATCCCTTGCTTCACCTGTGCATGGTTCCTCTTTAACGCCAGTCAGACCATAGTCTCGGGTCGCACTCTCTATCGAGTTGCCATGACCGGGAGAGGGGACGAGAGACGAAGCGGAGCTAGAGACTCGCGCATGGCCTTTAGACGAGAAAAGCGAAACAGCAGGCGACACGGGAGTCGAGGAGTCTGTAATTCCAGGCGACTGAATCGAGCGACGAGAGGAAATCGCCGACGGATCAGCAGCAGCAGCCGCCGCCGCCTCGGAACTATCGCGACGTTTTGCGTCGAGTAATTGAGAAAGTTTCAACATAATATGATAGCTGTGACTGACTCTCTCTCAACGTTCAAGGGAATAACGTGAGAAATAAGACAGTCAGAGAGATTGTATTGGATATTAATAAAAATTGACCGTCACAAGAGACATTGTCTATGCTTTTTTTTCTTTCTTTTTCTGCCAAAGCGCAATGAAAAGACGTGGCGGTGAACGAGTCGTACAGAGAGTAGAGTACAGGAGCCAACAGCAACGTGGACAATCTGGATTGACAGCAGAGTAAGTAAAAGTAGAGGTGTGGATGAGGGATAAAGAGAACAGGGAAAGAAGACGATAGATGAAAAAAGACAGTCACCGACGCTGCGGTTGGGTACCGAGCGGTGTCAGCCACCACAAACAACGTTACTTTTTCTAAGCTTGTTCTTTTTTTCTTCGCCAACCAAATCGCGATATCCACTGGACGTTGACACGCGAGTATCCAGTCCCGGCCGTTCCGTGGATGCAGTTGGTGCAGCGGAGAGACCCCGGTGGTTGGTTGTGATGTATCTGTCTATTGTATCTATTTAGTATTTTACTTGTACTTTAACTACTCTATATATTGTACTTATACAAGTACTTTCTACTTGTAGTATCTGCTCTACTCTGTATAATAAGGTATTTGTGCGATGAAGTCATAATACACGATACCGCTAACCCCAAAATAGCAAGAGTTCAGGTATTCTAGACTGGCCCAGTGGACCGGATCATGACAGCCCGTGGCCAGAGACCAATCAGAGTATTGTTTACATACCGGTACATTCATTCTTACACAGGGCTTGATACAGCTACGGTGTACATAGTACCGTGATGCTTCGTAGGATGTGTGTATATATTACTACTATGACCTGTACATAGTAGTACAGAGCTGCTAGAGTTTATCTGTTCTCCAAATGGTTTGTACTTCAAACTCCAAACTTGAGCTCGACCCCAACTGCCGTGACAGCAGATCAGTGCTCGGTTCCATGGCTCTGACCAAGAAAAATCCTTCAAGAAGAAAAGAATCCATGGTTACATAGCTCCGTAGTCGGCAATGCGGGATTCTCTCGGTTAATTCACCGTGCTCTATACCCGATTAGAACTTAGAACATCCATGTTGTACTCTGTAAGTACTCTGTACAGACCCGCCCGCATACTTGTACTTGTACATACCTGTACTATGTACTCCGTACGTTCTCCATACTCCTCGGGAATGCAAGATAGAGTTAGTCACGTGACATTACTTCACGCCAACCTCATCCCATCCCAAAACGGTAACGTCACGGCTCCAACCACAGCGAACAATTACCCAAGATGAGATCCCACGTGCCAATTCTGCCGATTCTTTGCTTGGCCAGCCTTACTGCGGCCTCTCCTCATCTTCAGCTTCAATCACCGCTCAGTTCAAGCAGTAACAGCGAAAACAGCGATAACAGCGGCGTCATGGACTTCCTTGACGATATTATCAATGCTTCTCCGTTTCTTTCTTTCCATCGTGATCTCGTCCAGATAGAATCTATCTCTGGTAACGAATCGCATGTGGGAGATTTCATTGTGAACTTCCTTGAGGAACGGGACTTTACTGTTACCAAGCAACCCGTTGACGGCGAGAGTAGCAAGCGCTTCAACATCCTGGCCTACCCAGCTTCTGGCTCCCACCCGGAGATCCTCCTCACGTCACACATCGACACAGTTCCACCATTTATCCCGTACTCTCTCTCTCTCGTCGACAACACCAGTAGCAATGACAAAAAGAACATCCGCATCGCCGGCCGCGGCTCCGTAGACGCCAAAGGCAGCGTCGCCGCCCAGATCTTCGCCGCCCTCGACATCCTCAAACATAACCCTTCGGCTCCCATAGGTCTCCTCTTTGTCGTTGGCGAAGAAGTCGGCGGAAACGGCATGCAAGCCTTCTCCAAATCACCTTCTTTTAACCCCTCCCCATCTCCCTACCACACCTATATCTTTGGGGAACCCACCGAGCTGTCCCTTGTTGCGGGACACAAGGGCATGCTGGGCTTCCAGATCGTTGCAGAGGGTCAGGCTGCGCACTCGGGGTATCCTTGGCTCGGGCAGAGTGCCGTGTCTGCCATCCTTCCTGCGCTCCTGCGCGTCGATCAATTGGGCGAGTCTATCCCTGTTGAGAAAGGTGGGCTTCCATCTAGTGAGAAGTACGGCAAGACTACTGTCAACATCGGTCGTGTTGAAGGTGGTGTTGCTACGAACGTTGTTCCCGCCGCTGCCCGCGCGGATGTCGCCGTTCGTTTGGCGGCGGGGACCCCCGATGAGGCACGAGAGATCATCCGTCGCGCGATTAGCAATGCCACCGGTGACAATGAAAATGTTTACCCGGACTTTGCGGCCCGTCTTGAAGCTTACTCTCCTCAAGATATGGATACTGATGTTGAGGGATTCAAGGTCATTACCGTGAACTATGGTACCGATGTACCGAATCTGGTTGTCCATCCTAACCGTGATGGCAAGCAGGTTAAGCGGTACCTGTATGGACCGGGAACTATCTCCGTTGCTCACGGTGACCATGAAGCTCTCACTATTGCCGATCTCGAGGAGGCTGTTAGTGGGTATCGGAAGTTGGTTGAGGCTTCGTTGGGTAGATGAATCACGAGAGTATATAGATGACTGTATATATCTGAGCATCGCTCTATCGCTTCTTTATTCAGCGGCTTTTTACTTCATTGGCCAATAAAAATAAAAATAAAAATAAAAATGGAGAATATGGAAAGCGCAAAAATAGTTTATTGAAGCGTAGTTTTTCATTTCAAATATCTTATAAATACACCCGGCCATTCAAGGCTGAGTGTGAGAATTAATCCATGCGGCAACATCATCCTCCGTCGTGGGCATGAAAAGCCACTTCATCGCGTCCGCCGGGAGTAGTTGATCATGACCCCCATTTGCTTCCTCATAGACAAATCGCTGACCAGCGGGTAGTCTTTTTTTATTAATATCATCGGCTATTTTCATGATCCCATCGATGCGGGCCTGGCGCAAGCCATGCCAGAAGTCCAGCGCCTCGTTCAAGTCCATCTCTGGCGACAACGAACTCAATAACACAGCGAGCGTATGAGAGTCTTCAAATGCCTGGTTAACGCCCTGGCCTGAAGAAGGCGGGATAACATGTGCTGCATCACCAATGATAATGATGCGTCCAATGGGGGAGCACCGGCGTGCTAGCTTTGGCATGCAATGGTAAGACCAGAGCAACAGTCCATTTCTTTCTATCTCTACCTGGTCTAGAATGGACTGGGACAGGGGGTGCCATTTGTCATAGTCCTTGCAGATCAGAGCGCAGAGTTTGTCCTTGTCATTTGCTAAAGCTTCCCAGTTTGCACGGTCGAGTGGAGGGTGGGCGAATTGTCTGCCGACCATCAGCTCAGAGCCGTCGGGTACCTCTGGAGCCATGAACAACGCTCCAGGGTTGTCCTGGATTGTAGAGTTTTTGTTGAAAGTTTTGCTGGGCCATTGGACTGTGTCCGTTAGCACATGGCCGTAGACGGATGCCAGGCCCATGTACTCAGGTAGTTCCGAAGTAACATATTTGCGGACAGTCGAGTTGATACCATCAGATCCAATAAGCAGGGTAGCTCGTTCCAGCCTACCATTGATCAGGAATGTAACACTGCCATCCGTCTCATCAACGACCTTTTCAAATTTGGCATTGTACTCAACAGGAATCCCGCACTCCTTGAGCTTCACTTTCATCTCATCGATCAAAGCCTGGCGGTAAAGACGATGGTTCTTATATCCGTAGAGCTGCTCCGTGACAGGGTTAGAATTGCCGGTAGTATTGCCTTCGGCATCCTTGAGCTCATGCACTTCTGATCGGAAACACCGCAAAGCGACTTGCTTTAAGAGACCGAGCTTGTCGAGTACCCGACATCCATTGGGGCCCAGAGTCACACCGCTACCAATTGCCCGAGCATCTTCGCTTCTGGCCTCGTAGATTCGACATGAGATGGATCTTTGGTGTAAGGCAATAGCCATAGCAGCGCCCTTTTATAGAAAGGTAAGATACCGAGTACTAGAAGAAACAAAGCATGAAGCACTTACACCAACTCCCGCACCAATTATTGCGATGTCTTCTAGTACACCTGCCATTTCAACCTCGATCCCGCAATTAAAGAAATGCTAAGGTCAAGAGCTAGGAGTCAAACTGTTTACAGCGTCGCATTCTTCAGGTGTGGATTAGTCATCGGTACTTTTTCTTGTTCATTTTCCTTCCTAGAGTCCAGACAATCATCAGACATTATTACGAAAGTGCACTATATCAACCATATCTACGATCCGCACGCTGGGCCCAGATCTCCAGGCAAAATTTCCTAGAGGCCTGCAAACAATGTATCGCTGATTTCTCAGGCACTGTTACAAACCCTGGTTACAGCTGCACTTGTCGGCGTTGTTGGGGATACAAGATCATTGTTCAGATGGAGATTCGTCTGATTACGGAAAAATGCAAGTGCCGCATGTGAGGTATACTGTCAAATGTTTGTCTGTTCGGGGAAAGAGTTCCTTTTCAGTTTTGCCTTTTAATTTTATTTTCATCACTATTTATGCTTTTGGATCCTTTGCCTGGCAATTCTACATTTCCTCTTCGACAAACATGCCACAACCTGGTTCTGAGGCTGAAGTCCCCAAGCCGCTCTTATGTATGTAGGGGACACTTCTCATTACACTGTATCAATTGTATTTGGCGAGGATTTCGGATGGATCTCGAGTGAGTTTCTACAGGAATCTGTGCGCCGAAGCAATGCCGCAATTACATCAGAGGCAACTTGGCGCTGCTGGCAGCTTTGCAAAAATTCTTATGCAACCTAGATAGTTTCTACTGCAGCTTGTCAGCGATACGTCAGCAACAGAGTCGCAAGTAGAGTCTGTAAAGAGGAACAGAGTCTTTGTTTGTGTATCGTAGTGAGGCGTATATAGACACAGAATGAGATTCTCTGCAATTTTATCTGTTCTCGCAGGTAGCAGGCTGCTTGCCTTTTCCGTGTGACACAATAGCGTCTAAAATCGATGAACCTTTGTGGAGACCTGCTCGTGTTCAGCGCACCGGAACTTAACCCTATATTTTGAGGCTTTCTAATTGGGCTGCCGAGCTAGTTTACATGTGACAAGTATGTCAGATGCATATCCGCAGCCTCTGTTACCAGCAGAGCCCAACTAACACCAACAAACACTGAAGCAGGAAGCGCCTTTGCTTACCGATCTGCAAGCTTCGGAAGAGCGTAAGGGAAGTCATCCTTGTATCTGTCAGTCATTTTGGAAGAAAGCCGGCTTCCATGACAAATCCACCAACGGCGACGTCTTCACTGAGTGGGTATTGACTATCTGCTGGGCCATATCTCTGCAGGTTTTTGAAACATCGAATCCACCAAACACTCGTATCGGCCATCTCAGGATGTGGAAGACAGCACAGTAGACTCGACTCAGACTCAACTCTGAAATTCAGCGGCATTGGATCAGCCATGCTATCCAACCAGCATGATAGGGAGAGCCATGTCTGGATTTGCCGCTGCTCAATCCACTTGATCTACCATCTTGCCCAGCTTACAAGGATAAAATTGTCGCCCGTCATTCAGGCACCGCGACAGGCCTGTTCCAGCATTTGCTGAACAAGTGCATCATATCTGAAAGGGTGCTGAGCATGTTGGATAGATATAGGAACCGAAAGTTAAATGGGATATCTTCATGCGTACTTGGGCCTAGGATCCACGGAAAGGACAACTCAGATACGGACTCTATGGAGGACTCAGGGTCGGAGTCAGACGGGGCTGATGGCCCCGCGTCCAGCCCAGACCTTGAACTGATGGACATGCTTGAAAATTAAAAGAAGGCCCTTGTGGCTCTGTGAGTGTGATGGACTAGGCCTTCCTATACAACGCTATCCCAGGAAGGGTAGAGGATGACGCCTCGATCCAATAGCCTAAGGGGGAGCACTGGTCTGAGTCCTGTTCTCCGTGAGTCTAGGAATGGATGCTGAACGAAGAAAATAAAAAGAACAAAAGAAAAGAAAATGGTTCAATGAGATTGTCGCTGTCACAATCGCAATAATAGATCAGAGCATCACGCCCGTCAACAGAAGGCTACGAGGTAGAAAGGAATCCGATTCCTTAGACCAAGCCCCTTGTGCTGCAGATCGACAACCCAAAACCGATGCTCTGGATGCAGTAGGTCGGTTACGAAGAACTCGTAAAGTCCGTCACTTACTTCATCGGCAATATATGACCCATGACCGCGAAGCGGCCCTTGGCCGGTTTTGAGCCGTAGTTCCAGATATCTATAACATAATTGACTACACGCCTGTTTGTCGCGCCTCGCCATTTTTAGGGTCGTCCATCGAGGCCTCCAGGCTTGGGGTTTGAACTAGCTTCAGCGGGGGCATTAAGTTTAGGGCGTAGGTATGCACTGCCAAAGGTAGCTTGATTGGACTGGTAGAATCACATTAGTTGATTGACTAGCGACTAAATGTCTCCTAATTCCAGATCCACGGGACTGTCTAATTGACATATCCCCGACAAAGAGATGACTGGGAAAGGACAGATTATCATCATTTGTCACATGACATGTGTAACCTATCATGTCAGCTGGGATCCTTAGACGCTCAGCGCTTGACAAGTATTTAGAATGTGGACAATAAGGTTGTTAAAGTGTCAGCAAGACAAACAATAGCTTGCTATTAATGACCCAACCATGTGCTGACCTTGTCCTGCATGCATTGATACCACTCCAATATTATGATTTCTTTTTGCCTCCAGTTGTCGCAAGTTGTTTGCTAAAGAGCAATTCGATGGAGACAAATTAACATAAATACTGCCATTTAATTCCATCTATTCCTATTTCATCAAGTTACTATCTTCCCGGTCATCTTCAGGGACTCCCCCAGTTTCACAACCAAGAAACTAGACTTCTTCCTATCCAAATTGCAGTCTTGGGGATTATATGTAAGACTACTCTGTGATATGATTCAAAAAAGACATCACACTGATACTGAAATAGAAAGAGATAAAATGTCCGCGAGTGCCTCTGACAGTTCCAATGGCTCAGGTAGAGCTCCTGATCCGAAGTGTGAAGTTTGCCATGGAATTGGCCACTATGAGGACTATGACTCGGAAATTATACGCACAGAATGCGAAGTTTGCGAAGGAACAGGACTTTTTTCCGAATACTTGGATTGTGGGCGCTGTCGTGGAAGGGGAATCCGCGAGCGCGAATCGGAATACCTGGTTGAAAAGGAATGCAACTGCCGCAAACCTTCACGCAAGTGAGGTTTAATGTCAAATAGAAAAGTGTTCACTCGGACTTCGCGCGAGCTAGTGGGGATCAGAAAGCAAGGCAACAAGCGCCATAAAGAGAGATCAAGTCATGGCTTGCATATTGTAGTGAGGCATACTTAGGAACGGTATGGAAGTTCCTGCAACCATATCTATTCCCTCCTGTAGTAGGCACTTTGTTTGCCCCAGGAGCCTAATTATGCCTAGGATCGATAAGCATTCGTGGATACACCGAACCTGAAAAGACAAATCTATCTATAGCAACATGCTGATTAGGCTGTGTATGCATGACGAGTGTTTCAAACGCATGCCGGCAGTCCTATTACCAACAGCGCCCTTTGCTGCATGATTCAAGTCATTCCTCTCGGACGTGGTCATTACCAGGAACTGGAAGCTCTGACTCTCCAAATATCGATGTCATTATGAAGGAGCTATGTCTTTGGTCAATGAGTCGCTTCCTTTCTTGCTCACCACTAGCGCCTCTGCCTCGAGTATAAATACCTCCTCTTCTTGCACGACTTGGATCTCTTTTCTCAAACACTTTCTTTGCCCTTGTGACTCAGATAAAATGTAGTATCTGCTCTTTTTACTCAAATTTCTGAAAACTTTTCTAAGAAACGAGATATTAATCTAGTATTTGGGCTCTGTGGAACGGCCTCGGTGCTTATACATGTCCTACCATATAGTGTCATCGGGCTTACACAACCCCAAGAGATGCGAAGACCCTTTTCATCAATACGGTCGGCTTGCCTAACTGGTTGGAGAAGAGAGACCTTTTTTTTTGTAGGAGGTTGATCGTCGTTAAGGTGGCTTCGGTGACGTCCAGTAGGCAGTAAGCACTAATTTATGGCATTCAAATCAATGAATTCAACAGTCAACTGAGCAGGCCCTATGCCAGCGCATATGCACCGAACAGGATCACCACGAGCAGCCCCTGAGCTCTTCCATTCCTATTCTCAGATGCAAAATGCTCACCCATGAATCCGTTTCCCCAAGAACGACCCCTCGAGTTGAGTTACTTGATACCATGCTGGATATCTATAAGGACTGCATGCCTTGCCCAACTGGAATTGAAGGGCCACTCTCTCATTTAATCTCGGGGTATCCTGCTGACCCGTCAACCCATATTTTCGCACCGGCTTCTCCACACTGACCCCTACGGGCACAGTTGTCGTCAAGCCCCTGTACGTTATCGCAATTCGCCACCAGATCTTACGGCAACCTCAGGCCGTGACTGATCGCTGGCTAAATGAGGGTGAATAACCACGTGACAAGAGAGGGTATGTCGGAATTACGGTTTAGTCAGGGTCGAAAGTACGTATCAAGCAAAAATGGTCGAGGTCCCTGATTCTTGCAAAAGGGAGCTATCTAGGATCGTATGTAAGACCGTTGACTACTTTACAGAGTATACTAAAGCGATTGTGCTGTTTTAAAAGTAATAATGGCAAAGGGGTAAATAAGCTGCTTGCGCCATATGATATCAGCGAGGCATCAATCAGGCACCAGTTAGTATTGTTCGGTAAGGAACCTCTATATATTCCGACAGGGTATTTTAGTCACGTGATATAGTAACGCGCTAGTAGTATTAGTGTCCGAGTCTGTTGGTGGTCAAATAGGACAACGACAACAACGGCATTTCAATAAAAGCGGCGCTACAGACTACATTGAGACCTGATGGTTCATTAACATTCCAATATGGATCCTACTACTTTTATAGATCCTCAGTTGACTCTCCCAGACCATCTTGTGATCGACAATATCCTTGAAGATGCCAACCTTCAAGGTAGGCATGTTCCCCTGCTAAAGTCCTTGGTGCAGTAAGCAACTAACAGGCATCCCTGGTGCAGTGTCTGGACGAGACAAGCTCACCACCGAGGAGACAATCCAAAAGTTGGGAGATCTTAATGATCCCTCACATCCTAGCTTCGATCCCACCATATTCCAATCCTGGGATATGCCTGTGCTTCAAGCAAGACTGCCTTTTGTTGTGCAAAAATATGTGCTCCAGCCATATATTAGCTGGGCTCAAGGCGTGGTACGCTTCAAGACTGATGTGGTCATGTTGACACATCTCATTCTGTATTTCACGACCTTGGTACCCAGCGCTTTTCTGCTGCACTACCACTTCTCGTGGACTCATGGCATCTTGCACTGGATCCTCCAGCTCTTCTATTGTGGAGCCTTTACCTTGATGAAGCATCAACACATCCATATGAATGGAGTCTTGTCCCCTAAATATTACCTGTTCGACGTGCTCTTTCCCTACTTATTGGACCCTCTTCACGGGCACACATGGAACTCTTACTACTACCACCACATCAAACACCATCATGTCGAGGGCAACGGTCCCAACGATCTGAGCACGACTATGTGGTATGATCGTGACAGTGTCTTTGACTTCTCGTGTTATGTCGGCCGGTTCTTCTTCCTGATATGGTTCGATCTTCCGCTGTATTTTGCAAGAAAAGGACAAACCAAGCATGCTACCAGAGCCGCCTTCTGGGAGCTAAGCAACTATGCAATGATTTATCTACTCTACAACTATGGCAACTCTCGTGCAACGCTCTTCACGTTAATTCTCCCACTGATGGTCATGCGAGTAGGTCTCATGGTGGGGAACTGGGGTCAGCATGCCTTCATCGATCCCAAGGATCCTTACTCGGATTTCCTCTCCAGTATTACACTAATCGACGTTCCAGTAAGTTGCCTTAATCAATCAGACCTGAACATTTACGCTGATTCCAGGTAGAGCAATCGTTTCTCTTTCAATGATGGCTACCATACTTCGCACCACTTGAATCCTCATCGGCACTGGAGAGGTCACCCGGTGGCATTTACCAAGCAAAAGGAACGCTATGCGGAAGAAGGGGCCTTGGTGTTTCGCAACGTTGACTATATATTCATCACCGTTAAGCTGTTGCAGAAGGACTACATGCATCTGGCCAAATGCCTCATTCCAATGGGCAGTCAAGTCAACATGACCCTTGAGGAACGAGCTCAGATGCTGCGAACTCGGACACGTCGCTTCCAGTCTGATAAGAAAGAAGAGTAAATCTTGGTGCGGTTTTCGATTGTTATCGTCCACGGTTAACGGATGGCACCGCGCAGCTGTCCATCAAGAGAGCTCGATGATATTCTCGATCTGATCCATTCTTTTCAAAGAATATCCGCAATGGATCTATTCACAGGGTATATATATTAAATAGATGGCCGCATATAGAACGCATACTCAAGAAAATGACTGAATGCTACGAAACGTCATAGCTAGAAACATTCAAGTCATAGGGGTATATATAGGGAATAGTTTGGAAATTTTTGCTACACAGAAATGTTTAATATATATCGCATTATATTATCTTCCATCCTTGTACGCATTCATCTGACAATAAGCCAGTCTGGCCAAATCCTGATACTTTCTGTAAACTACCTCTTCCACTCCAGTGCTCCATGCTCCACTGTACACGCCACTCCCTCGTAACCTTCCCTCCCTGGCATCGCTAGTAGACATAGCGACACTCATCAAACCGTGTAACCCACTGCGCAGCCCCGAATATGTAGTTCCCGAGCTTGTTCGGTCTGTCGATGGGACATTTCTCCAAATCGGGATATTCACGAATTGATGGGAGGACATCAAAGAGGGAACTGAGCCAGCTGCTGTTGAATAGGCCTGAGGTGGTCAGGCATGCCATGGCGGAGTTGATGTTGCGCCAGCGGTAGGGTGGGTAGCATGCTAGAAGATTCAATGTCAGTTTTATTTTGGGAAAAAGAAAAGAAAAAGAGTGTGGATACACCTGGTAATTCGCGTTCGAATGGCCCAGCTCAACACTCCCGAATCGGCTACAAAATGATCGTGGAAAACGGCGTTCGGGATCGCGGCTTGAGAATGAGTAAATCTCATGCCGGGGGAGATACCTCAATGTCTCCAGAAACTCAACCATCAGTCTTCGTCCAGCATTGGTACGGTTAGAATGCCGCGCAGAGACGGGCAGTTGCTTCATATATCGTGTCGATTTCTGGCTCAGGATTCGGCGCAAGACTGTAGATGCTGACTCCTCATGTTTCCTCTGTCATGAGGGTGCATCTCCACGGCTTGGGGCATTTCATCATCTATGCATGCTGGCGGATGCTGTTGGATGAGACATGGTTTTCGAGGTCGAGAGCCAAGTCAGTTTGGGCTATTTCATCGTTAACTAGAGCTTCTGGTTTTTGTTTCATTAGGAGTTCTTTGCAATAGGAGAGGCTTGTTTTCGTCTTCTTCGAAGTAATCGGGGTTCAGGTTGAGGGTTGGCATCTTGAGTTTTGCTCTGCACCTGGTAAGATATTAGGGATAGTTGAAAATGAGAGTAGTGGTTCGGCTTATATAATTGTGAGACTGAGCAAAACCCTTCTATGTGTTACGGTGTAATGATTCATCCAGTGAGGTTGAGTGTTCAACAATCATCGCCAAATTTTCAGCACTACTCATGCTAATGCAACAACCCAGAATTCTTTGCGACATTTCCCGAGGGCGACAACTCCAGTGACGCTGTAAGGCAAGATTGATAATCAGTTCGTGGGATTATAGCATGAGTCCTGTTAGTCACGAGATTGAAAACCATCTGAATTTGAATGTAGTATGCGCCTTTTTTTTTTTTTGTTTTTGGTACACTCTAGCCTATAAGCCATCCCACGATTCAAGCAGAGGATCGAATAATCGACTTGGAGCACCATACGGAACTTATCATCTTAGTGTGATTTGCCCATTTATCATTCGATCATATAGCCATGGGTACTATGATTCCTCTTGTCTGCCAGGCATGCACGAGAGCCATTTTTGAGTGCTTCTGTCTCCATGTGTTGACATCCTCTAGCGTTTAATTCTGAATATCAGGTTGTTCTTCATGTAATTATGCCAGGATACAAGCGTGCTTTTTGCACATCATTCGACACTTAGTGCAAAAGGTGATGTAATTTTCAAAGGAATCCTTGCAACGTATCCATCGTTTGACTGCGCATGTCAGATCTGGAGACTCAACTCAATATCAATTAGCAATACAGATTCCTCATTCTGACTGGACTCATTGTATACGCACGGGATAGGACTGCACACGGGTATCTGATAGATGTTGCGATAAAAAAAAGGTGAGAGCCTAACCTACCTTAGGAAGCAGACCGAGAAGTTAGCTTCCTCTCAATACAAACAGATTTTTGCACGTCACTGCCATTTCTTCTTCAGGAATCTTATTCAAAGCTTTGTGTGTGGATAACAAACAGACTTACCAAGAAATGTAGTCTCTCTTTAGTTACGTGTTATTCGTAGAAATAAATCCTCCCTTGTATGCTGTTGGTTGGTTGAACAAGATATAGTCCTGAATCAGAGCAGACATAATTCATAGTGTGCCATAGAAACAACATTTTTTAGCGGAATTTTCCGATTTCATAATCGTCGAAGATGAATCTTGTTCCGATGAGCTATACAGAATAAAGGAAGAAGAGATGGAGAATGGAGAGCCGAAGCCCCGAAGGTCGCTTGGCTAACTTCACAGAATTCACTTAACTCAGTCGCCACTGAAGGAACTGGTACACTGCAGAAGTTATGTATTGGTATATGATAAACATTATTTTACACAAATAGCCAGTCTTATATACATTCCATGAAAAGTCCTTTTCAAACATACCACATGAAGAGATTCACCGCTCCTGTCGTTTCCAACCAGTCCTCAACTCCCCACTAGGCTGGAACCGTGGGAACAGATGTGCTTCTGTATTAAACACATGGTCTTCGAGGGGAATAAAATCCCTCTCCGAGAATAACAGATAGAAGTACTTGAGCGTCACCGACAACCAGTGTCCTTCCATATTATCTTGCCGCAGGGGAGGGACGATGTTCGCGTTGTCTAGGGATGTGAATCCCACGATCCGTCCCGACAATGGTGATGACGATGACGATGATGAGCTGTCACTGCGTTTGCGTTGAGGAGAGAAACGGTAGTGGTTGTCGTATTCGACAACTGGAGTGTGCTTCATGAAAGACTTGAATATCTCCCATCCCCATTCTCGGTAGGTCCCATTTCCGGTAATTCGGTAGAGGTAGAAGAGTGATTCAATCGTCTCTGGTCGTTGTAGGTTGTGCAGGTCCATACTTTGGAGCTGGATGTCAGATCGCCAACCCGATTGCGACTTATCTTCTGTGTCGAGCGATTGGGATACCGGTTTCAAAGGCGAAGATGGAGAGTACATATCGGTCATTGTCTTTGGGGGCTGGTCCGTCTCGAAAAATGCAATCTCCGGTGCCAGTCCAGTCTTTGTTGTCAAGTACGTTGCCCAGCATGTTTTCATTAGTTCATTAGATAAGAGCATCTCCTCGTCCTGTCGTCCTGACCACTCTGGTGACTTCTTCGCGTCAGACAGCGGTAGGCCTCCCGTAGCACCTAGAGATATTGTCCCCGGTAAGAAGCATGCCGTGTGGTCCATCTTGGGTATCAAAGAACCACGGATTCCGTCCGGTCGTTCACCCAATATTGTCAGTTGTGCCGATTTACTGTAAGTGATGAGATGTTCGCGAATGCCCATCAGAGATTGGTCCCACATGTCCTTGTAGATGGGCTCGGATGTTTGTAGATACTGCTTGATAAGATACTCTGTACACAGTGTTAGCGAAGGTAACAGATATAACAGAGTGAAAAAAAAAAAAAAAAAAAAACGAACCATAATATGAACCCCCCCAGCTGCCGACAGTGAGACTTTCGCCTCGGAACTTGCCATCTGGGTGAATAGAGATAGGTACCAGACCATCTTCTGCCTTCTGGTCGTCAACAACCTGCATGACCTTCTCCGCCAACTGCCAGTATTCCGACTCGCCTGTCAACTTGGCAAGGTACTTGAATTCAAGCTGCAACGCCGTGGACTCTGCTGTCGACGACGCCCCGCCGTTTAGCTGTGACGTGACACCCTCCGATGTGTTGAGGTTCACACCCGCAAATGGCACTCCGGACTGAGAGTCAAACGCTCCAAGCAATCGATCCGCAAGATCCGTGGCCTTCTCAATATACAAGTCCTCCCCGGGCGAGCCAGTATCGTCATCAGAGATTGGGGCTAGATTCGGATATCTCGTTGATAAATAATGCGCTGACAAGAGACCGCCCAGTATACGAATCGTCGCCTCGTACGTGTTCACTTGGCTGTCCTGGTTATACTGCAGCGAGTTCTGAATCCAATCGCGTGCGTGTTGGACTCGCGAGGTGAGGTTCATTATCATCATTGTATCCAATGCATCAACGATGATATAACCCATTCCACCTGGGATCATGTGTGTCCCCTTTTTGGCAATCGGCGAGAACTCATCGAATCCTAACTGATGTCAGCAACCTTCCAGTCTAGAGACCACTACCTAAAGAAGACTCACCCCATCCATACTTCTCATACCCATCCCAGCTCACAATAAATGCATCCTTAACCTTCTCCCTCCGCGCATCCCAATCAACATTCTTCTGCTTCCCACTCTTCTCCAAACCCTCCTTCTCCAAACTCTGCACCCACTCCCAAAGCTCCGCTCCCTTGGCAGAGCCAGGCGTCTTGACTTCGCTATTCCACGTCAACCCAGATAAACAATACCACAGCACTGTCAAGATAAAGATAGTTAACCCGCAGTATAGAGTCTGGCGCCGCTTACTCCTCGGACCCGTACGCTTGGGAGCAAAATATGGCTTGTCTTTATATAATGGCAGGGTTGCACGGTTGTTATTGAGGAATGGGCTTAAGCGGTTCGGGGTTGGTAGACCGGTGGGCTGTCCTGAGAGCCCGTATCCTGGTAATCTGCCATTGGGGCTGCGGCTCGCTGCGCGCCAGTAGTTATCACCGTAGGGGTGTTGAGAGGGGAAGGAGGGGTTCGTCTGAGGGAATGAATAGGACATGGTTGCTATTGTATCTTTTGTTGATTCGTGCTGCCGGGATCCTTTCTATAGAGAACGAGTCGCGATAGGTCCTCGGGGTATTTCGTTAATGCCACCGGTCGTAAACCATGAGTTTCGTATTCGATTCTTCGGATGATTGCAGGCAGGTTCGATTGATTTATTTCTAGATTCCACGAAATCAAAGTTAGCGACATCCTAGAACACTGGAACCAGTCTCGGAATGGGCACTCGATCAACCAATGCGACATTTGAAATAACCACTCGACAGCCGTCCAGTACCTGAAGCGACCAATTCTTCTCCTTCTAGATGATAATATGAAGAAAGAAAAAAGAATATTAACGAGACCTGGATTGCAGTGGCCAACTGTCTGGAAGCTCCGCGGAGAGAGATCGGAGATTCTTGGCACTGGTTGTAGATCTATAATAGACGGCAGGTAGCGCCAGAACTATAGCCATAATACTTTGAAGATACACAGTTCATACGGCTTGTGAAGATTCCCATATGCGAAATATACTACCAACCGGCAGATCTGCTATGCAGCACTACGATGGCTTGAATACCAATGCTGGTTATATTCGGGTTGACATTAACACTTTTCAGTGATAGATGGTAGGGATACTAGGACATGATCATTCGTAAGAAGAACGAAAACATGCAATAATGATAAGGCCGATCTACAGCTTCTGATACTCCAGTTTTCCTTCCAACTTCTTCGCCTCGGCGACCTTACGGACGGCTCTGTTAAAGTCGTCCTGGCTGATCGCCTCCCGGTAGTCTTTGATCGCAAACAAACCACTATATCCAATGTTAGTTTACAATGAATTTTTTTGATAATGGAACGGCGAGCATACGCTTCTGTAACAACATTGCGAAGATCGGCTCCGTTGAGTCCGTCACTCATCTTCACAACGCTCTCAAAGTCAATATCGCCTTCCAACTTGGTCGAGCTGGCATGAATCTTCAAAATCTCCATACGGCCAACCTCGTTGGGCAGCGGAATCTCGATCTTCCGGTCCAGACGACCCGCACGTAGCAGGGCAGGGTCAAGGGTATCGGGTCGGTTGGTGGCCATGATGATCTTGGTCTTTCCAAGGTAGTCAAAACCATCCAGCTGATTCAGAAGTTCCATCAGTGTCCGCTGAATTTCACGGTCTGCAGAGGTACCCTCCGAAAATCGTCTACCGCCGATAGCGTCGATTTCGTCCATAAAAATAATACAAGGCTCATGTTCCTTGGCATAACCGAACATTTCTCTTATTAACCGTGCGGATTCACCGATGTACTTGTCGACGATAGCGGAAGACACGACTATTTTAAGAGATAATAGGTTAGTAACCAGTATAGACTTTCTGTGACAGATAGAGTGCAGCATACCCTTCAGGAAGTTGGTCTCCAACGAACTTGCCACTGCCCGCGCCAACAATGTCTTTCCGGTTCCTGGAGGTCCATAGAGTAGTACACCCTTAGGTGATTTGATACCTACTCTCTGGAAAAGTTCGGGGTTCTTCAAGGGCAACTCAATCACTTCTCGCAACTCTCTGATCTGGTCGTTCAAACCACCGATTCCTGCAAAGTTGATTTGGCCGGGGTCCTCCAGAGACATGTTGTAAACCATCGGGTCAACCTCACGCGGTAGCATGCGCATAATTGTAAGTGTTGTCATATCGAGAGCGACACGGGTTCCTTGTCTGAGCTTGGCCTTGTCGACCTTGGAACGGCAACCAACAACATATCGGGGTCCGGATGATGCCTTGACGATGACTAAATCAAATGTTAGCTATGCACTATAACTTGTAGAGAAAACAACCGCCTGGAAAGAATGTCCAAGAGTGATATCGCAAATGTGTTAAACATACATCGTTCCTCGTCCAGTTGCTTCAACACTTCTCCGATGATCTGGCCAACACTTTGCAGGGCCTTGATGTTCTCTTCAGAAATGTCAAACTCTCTTTGCAAATCCTTGATACCTAAACGGAGAGTCCTAAGCTTCGCCTCCCATTCGCGGAGCTCCAGTAAGCTCTTCTTGTAATCTTCGAGCGCTTGGTCTCTCTCCGGATCAGCCATGGTGGAGATAGGTAGGGACGGCGTAAGCGAAAGATAGATGGAAGATATAGTTGAATTGCAGCCCAAGCTAGTTAAACGTGTTGGTTGAGTCGATAAAAGGGTAGGAATCCGGGGTACCGTTTGGGCGTATCTGTGACTATTAACTGCGACAAGCTGGATAGCTGTCGAGGAGCTCACGGCCGCGCCCAATGAAGTCACCTGATCCACGGATGAGGCATCACGTGTTATTGCCTTGATAATAAGGCATAAACTACATGACCGATGGAAGGTTCGAGCAGTATGATTTCTGCTGGTTCGTACCGCTTGCTGCATTTGTATCAGAGTACCCTATGCCTCTTATGCCAGTCTGAATTCATCGCACCAAGTCTCGACACAAGAGGGAACGTCCCGATTGGCCATGGGATTTACTGGACTACTGAAGGCCTAGTAGATCATTTTACGTGTGTGCTGTCCAGTGCGGAGTCGTGTAATCTATCCTCAAGGTATATGCGGACAGTCGACCAGCAAGTGAGAGCAAAGCTTGAACAAACATTCTGTCTTCATTTCTAGTATATAAATGGTGCTTTGGAAACAGCAGCAACATAGAGACGCTGTTAGCTTCGTAACATGCGGAGATAACGAGGGCAATTTGGCTATGACCTCTAGGATGTCCGTCATTGATGCGCAGAACTGCCAATTGCTGCGTGAAACAACAATGAGCAGAGTCTAAAACTACTTGTAGGAAGTACATTTCTTAATGCTCCGTGTATACTGGAATAATGGTCATAGACGGAGCAAGTAACCGCACTATCGTACTCAGTGTCTCAAACATTGAGCCGAATACTCACGTGATTGACCGGAGCATATCCTCCATCCGGGCCATTACACAATAGCATCTTCGAGTTTAAAGAGTAAGGTACTCTGGTAACATAAACAACTCTTCCGCCTCAGCCCGAGGGACCCCGGAAGATCTCGCTGGAGAGAATGACGGCAGACGGTCTAAAGGACAAGAGCCCCACCACCGCCTTGGAAAGATTCGGAGACATGCTGGACGAGTTGAAGTGTTTTGCCGACGGAGATAATTATATATTATTAGCTTCTCCTCGTCTTATTCCTTTTTTATTCCCCAGTTTCCTCACTACAACTGAAACTATCCCAAGTCAGGTGAGTTTTTCTCATGTTGCTGATCCCGTGACTACCCCACCATCCCACCCTTCCTTATCACTATCGCGATGATGACAACGATAATGATGATGGGATGGCAATGACAATGATGGTGATTTGACGAGTTATTATGCTTATTTTAAAGGGATTCACTGTGTGATCTCTCCACTATCATAATTGTCCACTCTCATCAACTAATCCCGTCATCTTTCTAATCCTTCCCAATCCACGCTTCCCTTGATTTCTACACCAATTCACTTTTGGGTCATCGGTGAACACGAACATCGCCCGCCTTGGTTGGTCCACACCGAAACAACAAACACCTATATTATATTATATCACCGTTCTCCGTTCTCTTCTCTTTTTTCTCTTCTTCTTTTCTCCTCCAACTGACTGAATATCTTTTCAACCTCAGTACATTCATCATGCCTATCTCCAAGGTTCACGCTCGTTCCATCTACGACTCGCGTGGTAACCCCACCGTCGAGGTCGACATTGTCACCGAGACCGGCCTCCACCGCGCCATTGTTCCCTCCGGTGCCTCTACTGGTTAGTACTTGATTGAATGAGCCTGAAAAAAAGGAAGAGGACGTTTATACTGACGGTTTATAGGCCAGCACGAGGCCCATGAGCTCCGTGACGGTGACAAGGCCAAGTGGCTCGGAAAGGGTGAGTGTCAAAATTTCTGGCTTGAGAACCGTATGGAATTGACAGATTCCATTGAATAGGTGTCACCAAGGCTGTCGCCAACGTCAACGAGAAGATCGGACCTGCTATCATCAAGGAGAACCTTGATGTTAAGGACCAGTCCAAGGTTGACGAGTTCCTGAACAAACTCGACGGCTCGACCAACAAGCAGAACCTTGGTGCCAACGCTGTCCTCGGTGTCAGCTTGGCCGTTGCCAAGGCTGGTGCTGCTGAGAAGGGTGTCCCTCTCTACGCTCACATCTCCGACCTTGCCGGTACCAAGAAGCCCTATGTTCTCCCCGTCCCCTTCCAGAACGTCCTGAACGGTGGTTCCCACGCTGGTGGCCGTCTCGCCTTCCAGGAGTTCATGATTGTCCCTGCGTATGTGGCCCCTGAAGCAAATATCAAGATACGAAAAAGTTTCGTGCGGCTGACTGTAAACTAGTGCTGCTCCCTCGTTCTCTGAGGCCCTCCGCCAGGGTGCTGAGGTCTACCACAAACTCAAGTCTCTCGCCAAGAAGAAGTACGGCCAGTCTGCTGGTAACGTTGGTGACGAGGGTGGTGTTGCCCCCGACATTCAGACTGCCGAGGAGGCTCTCGACCTGATCACCGACGCCATTGAGCAGGCCGGCTACACCGGTCAGGTCAAGATTGCTCTTGATGTCGCCTCCAGCGAGTTCTACAAGACCGACGCCAAGAAGTACGACTTGGATTTCAAGAACCCTGAGAGCGACCCCACCAAGTGGCTCACCTACGAGCAACTTGCCGACCTCTACAAGTCGCTTGCTAGCAAATACCCAATTGTCAGCATTGAGGACCCCTTCGCTGAGGATGACTGGGAGGCCTGGAGCTACTTCTACAAGACCTCCGACTTCCAGATTGTTGGGTACGTTTCCAGGTTCTGAATCCAATTATTCGAGACTAACGTATTCCTAGTGACGACCTGACTGTCACCAATCCCCTCCGTATCAAGAAGGCCATTGAACTCAAGTCTTGCAACGCCCTTCTCCTCAAGGTCAACCAGATCGGTTCTCTCACCGAGTCGATCCAGGCCGCCAAGGACTCCTACACCGACGGCTGGGGTGTCATGGTTTCCCACCGTTCCGGTGAGACTGAAGATGTTACCATCGCCGACATTTCTGTCGGTCTCCGCTCTGGCCAGATCAAGACCGGTGCTCCCTGCCGCTCTGAGCGTCTTGCCAAGCTCAACCAGATCCTCCGTATCGAGGAGGAGCTTGGTTCCAACGCCGTCTACGCCGGCGAGAAGTTCCGCACCGCCGTTAACCTATAAATATTTGTTTCAGGGAGACTCAAGTAAGATGAACGCCGTCCGAGCTGGTGCATGAATCGAAACACTATTGGACACCACGGCCATGGAGGCTAGTCCCTGTGGCTATAAAACAGTTATGATGACGAATTAAGCCAATTTACGCAAGATAGCAAATAATGAATGCCATCTATTCTGGTACCATTCTCTGCCCTGTAGGAGTTCATAGTACTCGTAGTCTTTGTAAGGTCCTCCGTAATCGGAATAGACGGCGAATGAGTCACGTGTGCGACAGTCCCACCACATCCTTATTCCTGAGCGCGATATCAACTTTGCCCACATAAAAATTCCACGGTTTTGTCCTTGTCAACGCCAGGTCCCTGGACGAATACTGTCTTTGCTGTTGGACTCTTGAGCCCACTCATTATTTAGCGCCCAAGAAATTTCTCTTATTTTCATTGCTCAAAATGCCGCCATCGAAGTGGGGTATGTATAGGTCGAGAAGAATCTACAGATTCTCTCTTGGACTTGACCGGATTAACAGGAACAATGACTAACAGTTCTACAGATGACGAGGAGGAGAGCACATCCCCCCCTCCCCCCGTGCTCCCCCGCCGCAACAAGTTTGACGACGAGGAGGAAGAAGAGGTACCCTGATCAAAGACGCCTTCCATTCTCTAGCAGAAGATTAACAATAGAGCAAATAGGTCCTCGACTCCTGGGATGCGGCCGAAGACAGCGATGTAGAGCGCGAAAAAGAAGCCAAAGCCGCCGAAGCCAAAGCCAAAGCCGAAGCCGAAGCCGCCGCAAACAAGAAATCCAAGAACCAACGGATAGAGGAGCACAAGCAGATTCGGCGGAAACAGGCCGAAGAGGAACAGGCCAACGCCGAGAGCGATGAGGATGAGTCCTCACGCCGGGAGCGCTTGCGCCGTACAGAGAAGGACTCTGATCTTGCGCACGCGGAGGATTTGTTCGGTGGAGGTGGGGGTGCGATTGATATTGGGGACGTGGATATGCAGCGGATGAAGAATCGGAGTGCGGCACCCAAGCCGGTTATGGTTTCGGATTCGGCGGATCCGACTAATGCGATTGATCTTTCGGCGATGCCGTTGTTCAAGCCTACGTCCAAGGAGCAGTTTTCTAAAGTTACTTCTACCCTTGGGCCGATGTTGACGGCGCACTCGAAAAAGCCGCACTATGCTCTGTGGGCACAGGATTTCGCCAAGCAGCTGGTCAAGGATCTGCCCTCTGGCGAGATCAAGAAGATCGCCAGTGCCCTGACGACTGCTAGCAACGAGAAGATGCGTGAGGAGCGTGCGGCCGATAAGGGCAACAAGAAGTCGAAGGCTGCGAAGACGAAGGTGTCTTTGGCGGCCTCCAGGGAGGACAAGATTGATTCCAACTACGATAACTACGATGACGGGTTGGGTGATGATGATTTCATGTGATTTGATTGTCATCCTTTCTTCTATGATGCTATGTCTATCTCCTGTCTACTGGAATGGATAGTTTTTGCTCTCTTTGCTTGATATCCATAGCCAGATCCATCCATACATACACGCATATACACATATGATTTTTTTTTCAACCCTATGTTCTACCGTAGACGAGAATAAAGCATTACTTTCAATTCACGAGGGTCAGGGAGAGTATGGAATGTAACAGATTAAAATACGGGAAGATGAAGCACATTGGTACCCTGCTGAGCCGGGAAAGAGAGTGAACGAAAGAAATAAACTCCATTCAGCCCCCTTTCCTCGCCCTCCAAATATCAAACTCCTTCGGCCGACCGAACAAAGTGGAAAAGATAGTGTATGTATGCGCCAGTTTCGAATTTGCCATGCAGCTACCAGCAAGTCCTTCACCCACAAAAAAATTCACTTCGAAGGATCTCGAAAGTCCAAATAGACGAACGCTTGAGGACACAACACGGGCTTTTTGCTATAATAAAGAAAAACGAACCTCCAACTTGCCTCGCCTGTCAAGCTTAGGATTCGGGAGCAGCAGGCTTGGGCTCCTCGCCCTTGTCCTCAGGAGCCGGGGCGGACTCCTCCTCGGGCTTGTCCTCCTTGGCGCCACCCTCGGCCTCGTTGCCGTCAGACGAAGTCCACAAGGTCAGGTTGTCACGCAGAAGCTGCATGATCAGAGTGCTGTCACGGTAGCTCTCTTCGGAGAGAGAGTCGAGCTCAGCAATGGCGTCGTCAAACGCCTGCTTGGCAAGGTGGCAGGCACGGTCGGGCGAGTTCAGAATCTCGTAGTAGAAAACGGAGAAGTTGAGGGCGAGTCCGAGGCGGATGGGATGGGTAGGGGTGAGTTCAGTCTGAGCGACATCGGTGGCGTTCTGATCAATCTGGTCAGTATTGCCCTTTTTGAAGTTCATTATCAAGGAACACATACCTTGTAAGCCTCGTGGGCGGCGGTGGCAGCTTCCTTGCGCTGGCCGCCAGAAGCGAACTCAGCAAGATAACGGTGGTAGTCACCCTTCCTGTTAATCAAGGTTAAATTGGGACCCGATCATATATTGTCCTGTGGACGACTCGACCCTGCTTACATCTTGTGGTAGAAGACCTTGGACTCGCCAGTCTCGGCCTTGGGAATGAGGGCCTCGTCCAAAACGTCGAGGACATCCCCGCAGACGCGCTCGAGTTCCTTCTCGATCTTCAGGCGGTAATCACGGATGATGGTAACGTGCTGCTCAGAGCCCTTGGACTCCTCCTTCTGCTCGATGGAGGAGATGATACGCCAAGAGGCACGGCGGGTGCCGACAACGTTCTTGTACGCAACGGACAGAAGGTTACGTTCATCGACGGTAAGTTCGCCTCCAATCTGATGCAGGAGGTTAGTCAGGGGATGGGACGCGATCCGGTTAAATAGGAGAAACAAGGATAGGGGGAGTAGATTAGACGAAGCAATGTATTGATGCAAAGTTCAAGAGAGACATACGTTGGCGACTTCCTGTGTCACGGTTAGCAATCGTGTTAAACTAGATAGAAAAGGAGTGGACAACTAACCTTCATGTAGGTGACCATTTCTGTCAATCGACACGAGCGATTAGCATATATGAACCCATAAAATCATCCATATTGTAGTTGTTCTCGCATCTTACCATCGTAACGCTCGGCCTGCTCGCAGAGCCTTGCGAGGAAAGTCTTGCTGGAAGACGAAGTTGTTGTCAGTATGATTGTGTCATCTGCGGCTGACGCTCGAATGTTTACCTATCACGCTGCACAGAAAACAAAAGTCAGTTCACGATTCTTTTATAATCAAAACAAAGTAAATGAAGAAGGAGAAAGGGATGTCGCTATAGACATACACCCCTCCCCCTTCTCCATTGACGTCGCGACAGCGGTAACCACGACCACTGTCGAGGGGCTGTTGGGCCAGAACATACCTCAGAAACCATGGTGACTGATTAAAACGGAGGGAAGAAATTAAAGGGGGAGAAAGACACGGATATTGAGACGAGAGGTAGGGAAAAGAACAGAAATGGAGATGAAGAGAGAAGAGACAGTGGGAGAGAGGAAGAGAGAGGATGAAGATCAACTCACTTGGGGGGGAAATCGAGAGTGAGAGCGATGAGGCTAGTTTGTCATGTTTGCACTGTGTTGGTTCCTCAGGCATTAAATTTGTTCTCTTCACTCACACCTCTCCTATCTCTGCTCTCTGCCACACTTGGTTACCCCTAGAGCTTTGCTTCTCTCTCGCTCAATCAAGCATCAACTATTAGTTGCTTTTTTAACGCATCAGAAACGTTGTGTGACTCCATTGTCACGGTCCGGGATTTGGCTCGTATGCTACGACATTCAGGAAGGATCGATCTTAAGATTTCCCGGACCTCTTTAAAGCTACAAGATTCTTAAGATGTTTCATGCCAGTGATAAGTGTACGATATACATGTTCTGACTGGTAGTGACAAGGACATTCACCTACATTTTGCGTTGGGCCGAACACTTCACTTCAGGGCCAGTACAGCTTGGTTTTCCTCTTTGATCTTTCTACACTTTGCATCGTCCAGGAATAACGAAGTGTCACTATGCATCATGCAGCTCTATTTTTCTCACGTTAGTTGCTGGGTTTGAGCGATAGTGTCCGTAGTGTTTGCAGATGAGCTCCAAATCCTGGAATCTGGACTCCCCCAGAAATGGCTAGACTCACATTGGCTTAATCACAGCTTTTGATAAGGATACTGGGAACACAGAATTCATTATGGGAAGCAGCATCTTCTACCAGAGACGTCGATACTACAACCCCTTTCTCAAACAACTGCATATCAAATTACATCTTCAACCCTCTTACAGATGAGGTCGACGAGTAGATCTGAACAGGATGAATTCTCGGTGGGAACACATGCGACATTCCCAATACAGCAATGGATGGATACAGTTGACAACTACGTCCCATGACATGGGGCAGTGTATTTTGCTTGAAAAGCCATTATTGGATAATATTTAGAATGCACATTGAGGCTGAAGAGCTCAAATATATTGTCCAGTATACTACTGCGTATGCAAAGCATCACCGGAGAGCCAGTTCATCTTGCTTTACTATCCCAAGGGTCCAAGGTTAGAGGGAAAACAGCATGATAAGGGTGAAGACATTCGCATATCCGCATGTCCGTGCTTGAAGTTGCTTTTTTTTTTTTTTTTCCACCTACACTAGTCCGTATACTTCGTACAGAAGAATGCTGTGAGAAGTTACCTTGCGGGTGCAAGTTCCAGCTGGTCTTTCCTGTTAATAAGAATGTCGTTTTGAATCTGAAAAAAAAAAAAAAAAAAAAAAAAAAAAAAAAAAAAAAAAAAAAAAAAAAAAAAAGTGAAAAGAAAAAAGTCTAACTCTACGGAATACGCCGCATGGAGCATGTCTATCAAGCACCGGACATAAGGCTGATTTCGGGTGAAACAAAACGAGAAACTGGCGAATGAAGCCTCGTTTTGTCCCTGTTTAGTTAGACCGAATGGGTCTCCGAGCAAGGCACCATTATTTCCAGAGTTGAGTGAAGAGAAGAGCATGAACATCATCATCATCATCATCATCAGTGGTCTCGTGGAAGATGCTAAAATTCTCCTCTTTTGCTCCTCGTCAGCGCTGAAGAGAACCGGAGACAAAGGAAGTCGTCTGTATACTACGTTGTATACAGATCATATATGTACATGGTTCCGAAATGGGGAGTAGACAACATCAGTCGGTGTGACTATGCACGCGCCGCGATAGAAAGCGTAACCAGTATCAGAGCGTTCCTCGACAGCCGGTACTAACCATGCAGACCATAATCCTTGTAGAAACACGCTATTCTGTACCAAACCCAGCCCTGCAGGGCTGTTTCTGACCATAAAGATTCATGGTTGGCTCCAATTAACTTGCATCATTGTGTCTGAATGAACCAAACAACCCCCGAATCATGACTTCGTTATTAATTATCCAATTTCCCGGTCCGGAATCGAGTGGTATTATTTTACAGGTCTTCTTGTATAATTCACTGGTGCTGTGCGGTTTTTCTATTCTGGATCCTTCCGGTGCTGTACCGACATACTGTACCTACTAACTTTCCCCTTCGGCCACTTGGCCGTTCATCGCCCTGTTGTCCTCTCTTTCTCTCTTCCCTTCCTCTTCCTCTCACACCCATCTTCTGAATTCACATTTTCTTTCCCCTTTTTTCTTTCCTTATTTTTTTCCGGCTCGTGTAGCCGCTATGGAGAATTCCTTTCTTTATTCTCCAGCCGAAGTGCTGAAGCACTTTGGTGCTTCGGAGAGCTCCGGTTTATCGCAAAACCAAGTCATTGAGGCTAAAAAGAAATACGGTCCCAATGGTGAGTTTTTGACATTCCTGTTTGAAAAAAATTAATAGATAAGAATGAAGCCAGGGGGGAAATGGTTCAAACTTCGAATGCTGACCAGCTGTTTCCCACTGTTAGCTCTGACCGAAGATCCCCCGACTCCTCTATGGGAGCTTGTTTTGGAACAATTCAAAGACCAGTTGGTCTTGATTCTTTTAGGCTCCGCGGCTATATCTTTTGTTCTGGCTTTGTTTGAAGAAGGCGACGATTGGACAGCGTTTGTTGATCCTGTTGTGGTACGTCTCTTATCGCACATCTGTACTGTTTTTCCGCGGGGAACATTTTGCTAACTCTCCGTGTATCTCTACAGATCCTTACGATCCTTATCCTCAATGCAGTAGTCGGCGTGACCCAGGAAAGCAGCGCGGAGAAGGCCATTGCGGCTCTCCAGGAATACTCAGCAAACGAGGCTAAAGTGATTCGGGACGGTACCGTTCAGCGCATCAAGGCAGAAGATCTGGTTCCCGGAGATATTGTCCAAGTGGCCGTTGGTGACCGTGTACCCGCAGACTGCCGGTTGCTCACAATCCATAGCAACGGATTCCGCGTCGACCAGGCCATTCTGACGGGTGAAAGCGAGAGTGTGTCCAAGGACATTCGTGCGGTCACGGACAAGCAAGCGGTCAAGCAGGATCAGACAAATTTGATTTTCTCAGGAACGACTATCGTCAACGGTCATGCCAATGCTGTCGTTGTCCTTACTGGTGGCTCGACCGCCATTGGTGATATCCATGAGAGCATTACCTCCCAGATCTCGGAGCCTACCCCGCTGAAGCAGAAGCTCAACGATTTCGGTGACATGCTGGCCAAGGTCATTACTGTGATCTGTGTGCTTGTCTGGGTGATTAACGTCGAGCACTTTAACGACCCGGCCTTTGGTGGCTGGACGAAGGGTGCCATCTACTACCTCAAGATTGCTGTCTCGTTGGGTGTGGCTGCCATTCCCGAAGGTCTGGCTGTGGTCATCACTACCTGCTTGGCTTTGGGTACCCGGAAAATGGCCCAGAAAAACGCTGTGGTCCGGTCTCTCCCATCTGTAGAAACTCTGGGTAGCTGTAGCGTTATCTGTTCGGACAAGACGGGAACTCTGACCACCAACCAAATGAGTGTCGAGAAGATGGTATATTTGAACTCGCTTGGCGTCGTGGAGGAAATCGACGTGGAAGGCACGACGTTTGCGCCATTGGGTCAACTCTCACGCAATGGCCAGGCCTTGGACCAGCTTGCTGTCTCCTCATCTACTGTTCGCCAGATGACCCAAGTTATGGCTCTTTGCAACGGATCGACTTTGGCGTACGACACGAAGAGCGGTGCATTCTCCTGCATTGGTGAGCCCACTGAAGGAGCTCTGCGCGCCTTGGTCGAAAAGATCGGCACGGATGACCAGACTACCAACGAAACACTTCTCCGCATGCCAGGCTCTCAGCGACTGCACACCGCGAGCTCGTATTATGGACAGCGTCTTCCCCTCAAAGCCACCTATGAATTCTCTCGGGATCGCAAGAGCATGTCAGTTTTGGTTGGCGATGGCTCGCAGCAGAAGCTTCTTGTCAAGGGTGCCTCGGAATCAATTTTGGAACGCTGCTCGCACATTGTTCTAGGCGAGAACGCATCTCGTTTGAGTCTTACAAAAGAGCACGCGAACACATTGTCGCAACAAGTGGTGGAATATGGCAACCAGGGTCTCCGTGTGATGGCGTTGGCCAGCGTAGATGTGGGCACAAACCCTCTCCTGCATAAGGCCCAGAGCTCAGAAGACTACGTGCAATTGGAGCAGAACATGACTTTGCTTGGTCTCGTCTGCATGCTTGACCCTCCGCGCGTGGAAGTTTCGGATTCCATTAAGAAATGCCGTGAAGCTGGCATTCGGGTCATCGTCATCACTGGAGACAGCCCCAACACTGCTGAGTCCATTTGCCGCCAAATTGGTATTTTTGAAGCGGATGAAGACTTGACTGGCAAGAGCTTCACGGGTCGCCAGTTCGACAGCCTTTCGGAAAGTGAGCAGCTTGAGGCCGTTAAGACGGCGTCTCTGTTCTCGCGCACTGAGCCCAGCCACAAGTCCAAACTGGTCGACCTCCTACAGTCTCTGAACCATGTGGTTGCGATGACTGGTGATGGTGTCAATGATGCTCCCGCCCTGAAGAAATCGGACATTGGTGTGGCTATGGGCACTGGAACTGACGTGGCCAAGTTGGCCGCCGATATGGTTCTGGCTGATGACAACTTTGCAACTATCACCGTCGCAGTCGAGGAGGGCCGGTCCATCTACAGCAACACGCAGCAGTTTATCCGCTACTTGATCTCGTCGAACATTGGTGAAGTCGTGTCTATTTTTTTAACCGCTGCTCTGGGCATGCCGGAAGCCTTGATACCTGTGCAGCTCCTGTGGGTGAACCTGGTTACCGATGGTCTGCCGGCTACTGCTCTGTCGTTCAACCCGCCTGACCACGATGTGATGCGCCGCGCTCCCCGCAAGCGTGACGAGCGTTTGGTTGGCGGCTGGCTTTTGTTCCGGTATATGGTGATTGGCACTTATGTCGGTGCTGCTACTGTGTTCGGCTACGCTTGGTGGTTCCTCTACAACCCGGAGGGTCCGCAGATCTCGTTCTGGCAGTTGGCGCATTTCCACAAGTGCTCCTCCGAGTTCCCGGAGATCGGATGCGCAATGTTCTCGAACGACATGTCCAAGTCTGCGTCGACGGTGTCATTGTCCATCCTGGTGGTTATTGAGATGCTGAATGCCATGAACGGCCTGTCATCGAGTGAATCGCTGCTTACTTTCCCTCTCTGGAAGAACATGATGCTTGTGTATGCGGTCATCATGTCCATGGCCCTGCACTTTGCCATCCTCTATATTCCTTTCTTGCAGGGACTGTTCTCGATTCTGCCGCTGAATGTGATCGAGTGGAAGGCTGTGTTGGCTATCAGTGCGCCTGTCGTTGTCATTGACGAAGTTCTCAAGTTTGTTGAGCGTCGTCTCTACACCCTGCCTGCCAAGGCTTCATCGAAGCCCAAGAAGGCATGAATTATGATTCGATGATGGGAATAGGGGTTGGATGTTTATTTCTTTGTTCTTTGCTTTTTACTTCTCCAATCTTGGATGGGACTTGGGTCCGCCCAATGATGGAAAGATGGACAGGATAGGTGTGATGAACTTGTGGGGTCATATACTATCTGGTTTTGTGTTTTTGCTATCTTAAAAATAGAAACTAACAATGAGAAACGATTTCAATGCAGCAGTCTACAGTGTATTTACTGTCTCATCTGATAAGACCAGTTGCACATCGCCGTGAACATATTTCTGTGCTCTGCTAATAACTCATCTGTGCATTTATTTCCTTACTAGCCTGAGAAACTTTGACACTCTTCCTTGCTGCTACATCATGTCAACCCAATCCTATTACCCCCGAGGCGTCTTCGCCATCGCTTGTACTGCCATCCGCAGCCCGGTCAGCCAGCTCACAATCAAACAAATCCAACATCCTCAGCGTTCCGATAATCTCATAATTGGCGAGATGTCGCCCAGGGCACATCCGCTGCCCGCCCCCATACGGTATCCAGCATTCCGCCAGACCCTCCACACTGAACTTGAACTTGCTATCATCCCACCCCCGCACGAGGAACCGTTAGGGCCAGAACTCGTCCAGCGGGCGCGAGACTGTCCGCGGCCGCACGGATTCCCAGGCAGGCTGGCTGGTTGCGCGCAGTGATGGACGAGATTATGCTCATGGTCGCATTGCGGGGTACGGTGTAGTCGGAATTGGAATCCGGGTTTAGGCGGGAGGGGACGTCTTATGCGTCCGCATCAAATCCTGGTGCGCCCTAATATACCTAGTTCCAGAGAACTCATCCCAATCCGCATCATCTATGCCATGCTTGGAGCAATCCGAGTGCTGCTGCGCCATCCGATTCCATGCCTTGGGATTAGCAAGCAGCCGATCCCTCATCTCATACGCAGACGAGATCATCCACCGAGGCAGCCCGCGAGAGTAATTCGCAAGCTGTTGATGGAATTCCCAGAAGTCCTCGACCAGAGTCGGGTACATTTCCAGGATGTGCGAGCCTATCATCATCTCGATCACCGAGGGGATTACCTGGATTTGAAGCCAGGTGTAAAAATCGGGGATCTCTAGCCCTTTTTCTCTCGTGGGGACATCGAGGGCGGCGAGTTGCCGCTTGATAATGGCGGGTTATCTTCCTGACATGGTCATCAGTGATTTCCCCGAGAGATACCTGATGTGGATGCCAGATTGTAGGTCATTTAAATGTGGATGCGGGCCATGGTGGGAATCGTAGTAGTGCAATGAGTCGACGGGCGTGTAGAACCATTTCCGCATGACGAAACACAACTATCGGCCGGTTGATGAGGATTTGCGATGAGCGTATGATGCTCAGGATGTGATTGGTGTTTGTAACCATGATGAACTGCAATGTTCCCACGCGAACCTCGAGCGGGGAGTGGTGTCTCCAGCGTCTCATATGTCAATTAAAAGTCCAGAATCAGTGTTTGCTCTTTTTCGTTGGAATTACTACTAACACGGTGGCAGCCACAAAGTTGTCTATGCCCCATTCCAGATGAAACGCATGGCACAGGCTTGAGAGATAATACGGGATGGTTGGTGGCTTTTTAGGTTCTAGCTTTATCTAGTCCAGAGAAACCAGAATAGTGAAGCAATGTAGGTAAGGACAAGAAGAATAAATGTTCCTAGTGCAGCCAGCTGAGCAGAAGGTAGGGCAAGCTGCCATTCTACATTCAGTGGCATAATACCAAAAAAAATATCATACCCCATTGTCATGCTTCAAGAGGGTAAGAACTGTGGTGTGTACTACATCCTCGACAGACATGCAAATGATCACCAGCGACGATGATGATCCAGTAAAGTATCATCCGGGCTATACCGTTCCTGTACAACCTTGCGTGATATCAGATGAGTCTACTATTACTTATTCGGTGTACCCAACCAATAAGGCGGTTAACTCCGAGTCGGGGAAGTCGGGGAGTCGATTATCCGGACTGCACGAGGCTATATATGAAGAAGAAATTTAGATTACACGGAGGGTGACAATGATATCTATAGACACCGTAGATGGTAGAATGAGTGCTTGGCTATCTAAACGAGTGTGTGTGTCCGTATATGAGGGATCTGTCGGCCTCGGTAATCGGACAAACTATTGATCCACCTCGACTTTCATCATAGATCGCAGGCTGGCGCCGTGAGTCAATCCGATACTACCAACTACAATTACGTAGCTAGATGGAGTATCACGTTGACTTACAATCCTGACCCCTGTTATATTGGGCTGGGGTATCCCTCCTGCTCTCCCTATGGACCAGATTGGTTCAATCCGTGGAAAGCATCTTGTCAACAAATCTCACCGTCTGCGCTATTTATTCTCACCTTACTTGCCACCTGCATGGTCAATTACCTTGTGATCCGGCATAGATATAGCTCTACACTCCCCGTTCGTACAATCAATCTGTAGAGACATCATGCCTCCGCGTACACGTCTTCATTGTCCGCACTCCCAAGCGCTATGGTATGAAGACCAGGGATTGGCTTGTTTCCTCTGGGTAGACCTACACCGGCTCATATGGACGCTCGAGTGTGGCATACAAATGTGTATAACGATGAACAATGTCGATGGCTTCTGGGCTGAGTGGTTCTCTAAGATTCCCGGTGTTGCAGGGAGCGGGCCTAGGAACGGCCGGACAGTCACTGGGAAAGAAAGACATTTTGAACCTGAACCTGGACCTGGTTTTGGACATGGACATGGACATGGGACTGGGACTGGACCAAGATTCGTACTAGATGATTTCGAAGGTCTCTAGATCCCGTACGGCGGGATCCCGCGAATGTGCCCGGGGCGGTATTTTGCGAAACGGGAGATGGTTTATACAGCGGTGGTGATGATGAGGCCCTTGCAGATGTTTGCGCGCTGGGGATGGATATTAAGGGGTTTGAGTTTGGGACTTTGGGGATGAATAGGCCTGTTCCGGTGAGGATGAGGCGACAGTTTTGAATGTTTGAAGCTGAGGTTGTCCGAGTATCTGTATAAGGACGGTTATGATAACCAAGGATCGAATAAGTAGCAAGCGACTTTTCATTTCTGTAACCAAGTCTATGTGCACCGGTAACAAGACAAACCCGAAACATGTAGATACATAAGAGTGCACTCAAACAAAAAGAGAAAACCCAACGAATGTAGACCAGCCCAGCCCGAATATACCCCATACCTTTCCTAATATGTGCTGCCAGCCCAATCCAATCCAATCCTTTTTAACCAAAGAAAACACCAAGTCAAACCGACCGTTTTTGCAAAACCGCCAATCGCTGAGAAATGCATGACACAATGCAAGGAATGTAGAGAAGCACAATAAATAAAAACAAAGTAAACAGACGCAAAAAAGCTCAAAGTCAAGATATGAAAATAAATGAGACAACGATTGACAGATTATAAGCAATGAAAAGTGAAGGAATGGCCAAGATCATAAAGTCGTCCAAGTCTATAAAACACAAAAACAAAGAGGCAAAATGTTCAGAATACAAGTTAGCTGGTGGGAAAGAGCGAGTACGACGAAGTTCGACTCTTCTTCCGACCCGCATTCTTGACAGCTCCCGTTTGGGGAAGAGAAGGCACCACATCACCCTTGGCCGCCTCGGTGAGATCAGAGGTTGACTTGGTCCGGTCGTGCGACACAGTGCCAGGTGAGATGTCTGCAGAATCCAGGCTGGCAGTGCTGCCAAACAGAGCCTGGCTTGTCTCGAGGCTCTTCGTCTGGCGGTGGTGAGTCTCCGGCAGGATAGGTACCGAGGGCGACTCGGTGGGCATGGTCTCACGGCTGCTCGCCAGGCTGTGGATCAGCTCCGGGACGCTGGTGGTCGAGATGGAGGAGCGGTGCTTGCGGGCAATGGACGCCGCTCGCGAGAGAATCAGGCTCTCCTGGGAGTTACAGTTGCTAATGGGAGAGAAGCTGCTGCGAGGGGAGATCTGGTGGTCCATGGGTGCTTTGATCACCCCCTGAGAGCAAAAGGAAAAATGGCGGTCCGATGCGGCGTCCGCATTGTACTCGTCATACAGTGTGTCCTGGGTCATGTTCTTTCCCTCGGTTGAAGCGAAGAAAGAGGCAGGAACTTGTTGGAAATAGTCGCCCTCGTACGTGGTGGTCGATGGAGTCACAGCAAACTGAGTGCTGGGCACCGATCGAGACGGACTTGGGTCCAAATCCGGGCAGGTCAGAGATGAAGTGCTCAGATGTGTCGACTGTGGCTTGGAAGACTGCTCCTCCTCCTCCTCCTCCTCCTCCTCCTCCTCCTCCTCCTCCTCTTCCTCCTCGTTGGGTTCTTCCTCAATCACTGGGTGTTGAGGCTCGTCGAACGAACGGCGAGTCCAGTCGAAGTCGGATGTTGATTCAGCAGCATGTTCATAGCAGTAGTCAATGTCAGCATCCCAGGAGTCGATGTTGATATCAATGACCGATTCACGTTTCGAACCACTGCCACGGGAAGCTTGTTGCGACTTCCGCTGTGCTTTCTCCTGAGGTTGCTGCTGCTGGTAAAGACGGTACTGAGGAATAGTGGGCGATGCGAGCACTTCAGAGAACTTTTTGGAGAGCTCCTCAGCCACGCAGATGGACAGATGCGATTTGGGAACCGAGAGGTTGGAAGACGAAGGTCCCATGTCAGCTGGGGCAGGGCTCAAACGACGAGAATCGGACGTTTCTGCCTGCTCAGGGCTGTCATGCCAGTGAGTAATCGCCTCTTCCTCCTCGGGAACATCCTCCAGATCCAACGCGAGGTTTGTTGACGAGACTCTCGCATCAGTACCGACAGAGCCCGCGCGAGGACGGCTCTCATCATCCGATTCAAAAAGACCAGCCAAGTTCATCTGCGACAAGGAAGGTTTTCGGGGATACACCAGCTCATGATAATCTTGCTGGGTTGCGTTCATACCCAAGACATCGTCAATTACCCGAGTTTCCGACTCAACCAAATCTGGGGAGGCAGATGACTGACGGGAAGGTCGCCGGGGAGGGCTGGTGATGCTGGAGGTGGAGCCCGTTCTGGGGTAGCGGGAGACGGGACGAGAGAAATTCTCATAGACGCGCGATTCCCGTTGCGCCGGCTTGGCCTTGGGACTGACAGAAGAGGCAGCACCAGGAGAAGCCGGAGGGCTTGCGGGGGCATCGGGAATAGCGAAGGCATGTTCATCATCGCCCGAGGTAGCCACACCGGGAGCTAGATCTTCAGACGAAAAGTTGCGGAAATGAAGGTCCTCTGCACGAATGCCCTTGAGACTGTTGATGGGCTTTTGCGATGCACGAATGGCTGAAAATTCAGTGACAAGCTCATTCTCGCGAGCTCGTTGGAGAGCCTGGACATGCGAGGGACTGGTGTGCGTCAAGTGGTGGAAGTCAAAGGGATCCGAAATCAGACGCTTCAGGCTATCATCTGACCTGGCATCACTCTGACGAGACCGGTGACGGCCAAAGATATCAGTGACGTCGAACCGGGGTTTCTCACGTTCACCCTCATCAACCTCGTCCAAAGTGGCAGAGATATTGAACTTGCTGCCTTGACGGCGGAGAATGCGACTACCCCGGGAAAAGAGCGACTTGGTGATGCTATCCTGTCTCTCAGTCCGGAGGGGAGGGAACTGTCCCGCGGGGTAGGAGGATTCGTGGGAAGGGAAAGACGGGGCTTGATCGGTGGAAGTCATAGAGGAAGCGGGAGAACGGCGGGAGGAAGAAGAGGTGGTCGTAGAGGAAGTAGTGGTAGTGTTGCTGCGAGATCGACCACTGAAGACGGAGCGACGCCTAGGACTGTTGGGAAAGATGTGCGCAGAGGAACGGGAACGAGCATGAATGGGATCAGAGTCGTGGTGGTGGTGGTAGTTGTTATTGTTGTGAGTGTCTTCCCGTGGAGGGAACGAGATAGACGGATGAGCAGAATGCATCTGTATTTGAAATATATGTATATATATACTGGGATGTATGTATCCTGAATATTCGGTGACAGAAAAAGAAAAAAAGGGAAAAAGAAAACAAAAAGAGTGAGAAAAAGGATAGTGAGCTTTTTAGACCATTCTGCTCAGACCCAAATTATGGACGATGGTTTCAGGAGGAGAACTGCTGTTTGGGGTTGGAGCAGCCACCGACTATCAACCAATACAGTCCCAAAGAAGGATAAAGAGGGGAAATATGGTAAAAGAGAGAAAAAGCTTAAGAGACAAAAAAAGAGAGAATAAAGAGAAATGGGAATAAATGAAAGTCGAGGAGTAATGATAGTTATAATAAGAGGCTGATCGGGGCCCAGAATAAGGAACGTGGGAGAGAGATTAAATGCGAGAATAAAAAGAAACGAGCGAGGGCCACCGATCCTTCTGCACGTCGTGGAGAGGTATTTATTAGTTCTTCTTTCTGGTGCTCTGTAATTCTCTTTATATAATTCTCTAGAATCATCATGCTGGCCAGCATAGCTATTTTCTATTGAAGATACCTTCTGATACACAATTCTATCCCCCCTCCCTCACAGAACACTGATGCAGGCTCATGTACCTCAGGTACAGAGGTACAGGTACAGGTGCAGCCGGAGGTTGGCGAATACCGGGAAATACAATAATACCGTACCAAAACCACACGTTCCAACCCGGTGGATTCGCCATTTTGGGAATGGATTGCCGGTATACACAGTAAACTATGAGGCATAGTAGATACTACCAGTTAGACTACCGGAAGCTATGGTGATAGATCGATAAATATACTGGTAGACTAGTGATGGATATCGACCGACGTTATAAACTATATCTGAAGAGCTCGTACTCCGTACTTTGAACGGAGTAGATACGCAGTCAATAGCACGGAGAATACGGGCGAGGAGAGTGTCAAACACAAGGTTCACAACGGCTGTGGGCCAACCGGAGCGGGGTTAGAAACACACACTTGGTTATTGCCTCGAAGGATCTCCATCCATGTACTTACTCCCGGAGTACGCTTATGTTCCTCGGTAAATGCCCCAAGAGAATAGCAATTGTAAATAGTAAATAACCCTGTGGGTATATGTACCCTGTATGTACCAGTCAGCATAGAATCACACCGCTGTACCTGCATCTGCACGTTCTGTATACTGTTTAGGGATAGCTTGTGTGTATGTGTGTGTGCTCCGTAGCAGAGATGCATAGGAACAGAGGCTCGTCGGACACCTTCCGGGAGTCACATGACTGCTCCAGGTCCGCAGATATGGTTCTCTCTGTAACAATAGTACACTAACAGCCTGACAATGGCTAACCTGTAAGGAACCATTTATCCCATTCTCACACTTATTTTAGTGACTCTTGATTGATTTTTAAGGCATGTATCATATTCTTGACTCAAGCCCAAAAGCAATAACTAGATACTATTAACTCGAAGAAGAAATAACGATACCAACTTTGCGTATTCTGACTCTGTATTCAATACCTCCTGACGATCTCCGTGTCTAGAACCACGGGTTCTCGCCTGCCACCTTTCCTTTTGCGGTACGCGCGTCGTGCACCTCGGAAGCGTGTAGTAGTAATAATATGTGTACATCCGAAGAGGAAGCATGGTGCAGGTGTAGGTGCACTGCTATAATCCGGAGTATTTCTAAGAATACGGATACGTACGTGCTAGATTCAATGTTTGCTCGTGTACTCGATATTTGAGGTCATCGTGCTGGACTGGAAAAAGCAAACATGGTGCCGTCTTCTAGAAGCCCCTATTTCCCTCAAGGTTTGTGCCGGTCGCTGGTTAGCTGAACTTTCGCGCACGTGATATCTATACAGGAAATACAGACCATGTGAGGTGTGCTCATAGTATACAATCCATTCAACGCCGTCAATTAAGTAGAGACCATAGTAAACACAGTAGAGAGTTACTCATCCTCCTTCATCTCCGTGTCTTCATCCCCCTTGTCATTGAACAAGTCATCCTCATCCTCGTCATCACCACCACCACCTCCTCCTTTTGCTCCAGTAGCTCCAGTAGCTCCAGTCTCTCCTGCCTCCTCTTCATCCTCATCATCATCAGCAACACGGCGACTAGGCTTGCTCCGTCGTCGCTGTACTGTATCTTCCTCCTCACCCTCTTGTCTTTCTGCAGTTGCGCTATCACGCATCTCCTCATCCTTGTCTTCCGTCACCGCAGGTTCAGCTTCGTCCTCATCGGACGACTCCACGACCTCACTACTCTTAAACTTGCCCTGCTGCACCTTACCGCCAGACCGCCGTTCCAGCCTGCGTCGTTTCTTAGGTGCAGCACCGTCATCCTCGTCTCCGCTCTCTGCATCCTCACTCGGCTTCTTCTTTTTCTTTGCCTTGCGCTGCTTCTTGCGGCTTGCACCACCATCCTCTTCTTCATCGCCGCTTCCTCTTTCACCTTCCCCTTCACCCTCGCTGATGAAATCATCGTCCTTCTTCTTGCGCTTTGACGACTTCTTCTTCCGCTTAACCTTGTCACCTGTGTCCGAGTCCGTCGTCATAACCGCCTCCTCCTTCTCTCGTTCGCGCGCCGTCCGCTCTTCAGCTAGGCGTTGTGCTTCTTCAACCATTGCCTGTCGCTCCTCTGCAACCTTCTTCTTCCGCTCCTGTTCCATCTCGCGCGCCTTGAGCACTTCCTCTTCCCGCTTTTTGATCGCGGCTTCTCGTGCCTCCCGCGCCTGCTGTAGCTTGCTCGCGTTCTTCTCTTCGTACTCCTTCTGCTTCTGCAGCGCACGGTCCAGCTGTTTCATGATGGTCTTGCCCATATTCGCACGCTGTTCTAGGGAATCCGCCGGATACGGTGGGTTCTTAGCCTTGGCCAAGCGCCCGAACGTCTCCACGGCTTCATTGAGACCCGCTGCGGCTTCTTCTACTTCTTTCACCGTCTTCTGAGTCTCGGGTAGGCCGTACGCCAGCTGTGCGATCTGGTTCTGGACGAATGCGACGTTGAACTCCAGATGTACTTGTCCCTGCGTGACGCTGAGAGCTCGCTGCGCGTACTCTAGGGCTGTTTTCATGGCGGATAGGTTTGTCTCCTGCTTGCCTCGGAGCAACCAAACCCTGCCCAAACATGCCAAGATTTGCGCGTCGCGCGCACGGTCCTTAGAGAGGGCCGATTCATAGTGCTCAATCGACCGCGAATACTGGCGTAGTTCGGCATACACGTGCCCAAGGTTCAGGTACACACTGGCGTCTTTCAGTGTATCGCGGATCCGCGAAAAGATGTGTACCGCCGTTGCATGGTCTTTGCGGTCGTCAACCAGGGCAATCGCAATACCCTGAGCCGCGTAGGCATTCCGAGCATCCAATTGGAGCGCCTTGTCGAAGAATTCGACGGCACGTTCGTACATCTTGCGTCGCTTTTCTTTCTCTTGATCTGTGTCGCGGCGCATGTCTCGGGCCGTTACCAAGTGGACGTTACCCATTCCCGTGAGCGAGTACCGGTCATGCTTATCATGATATTGCAGCGTGTGCTTGTAGTGTCGCTGCTCATGGTCTTCCGCCAGATTGGTAGCCCGCTTCTTGGACTTGCTCAGGTACCACCCGAACAGCGCCCGCACTTCAAGGTTCGTCGAGTCGACCTCGTATAACTTGGCCATCCGCTTCGGTCCTTCGTCTGTAGGACTCTGTCGGAGTGCAATGTATGTCAAACGTGCGTTCGCTTCAGTGTAGTCTGCATGTCGCTCCAATAGTCCTTCGTAGACCTTCTTGGCTTCCTCAGGCATATCGGAGGATTCGTATGTCCGACCAAGGTTATAGCTGACCGTAGTCACGAGCGCATCGGTGTCGGCGTCCGACTCCTTTTTCTCCTGGGACTTGACGCACGCGTTCAACGCCGTCTGGAACATCGCGCGTGCCTGGTCAATCTTCTCGTTCTGGTACAAGAAACAGCCCATATTGTTCAGAAGCGGTGGCGGAAGGTTCTCCCGCAGAAGTGCATTCCTCTTGTCCTCATCCTCGACGTCGTCCGGGAGCCCGTCGACGGGGACCTCCGCCAGTTGCATCTGCTCCAGCTGCGTCAGGCATTGCATGCTCTTCTCGGGAGCTATCTGCTCGTACAGCCGAGCCAGGTACACCAGTACTGACTCATCTGGCGAGATCTTCTTCCCACCAGTTTCTTTCCACAGTGCACGGACTGACTCTAGCAGGCTGATCGCCTTCTTAGCCTCTGTGGACTTGTCTTCTTTGCTACCGCTCCGCTGCGCGGCAAAGACTTCCTCCGCGTGCAAAGCGCCGAGCAGAATCATACATTCGGGGTTCTTCGTCTGCTGGATGATCTTCTCCAGTCGGAATTTTGCTCCGTCCTGGTCCTTGTTGCTCACTTGCATCTGTACCGTGCCGAATTTGGCAGGCAGATACCCCTTATCCCCGCCTCCCCGCGCCTGGTCGGAGCGGTTGTAATATTCGGCAGCGCGTGCGAGGTCGCTCTCGTAGTGCGCTTTCCGTCCTAGGAGGTACCACCCATCACTGGCGATCGACATCACGTCCGTGTGTTCAATGGCTTTACGGGCTAGTGTGTCGACCGTGGAGTAGGATTTTCGCAAAAGGAAATAGCTTCCGAACAGGGCGCACGTCATTGGATATTCCTTGTCGAGCTTGAAAGCTTTTTGAGTGTATTGTGTCATCGCAACCTTGTATAGCGAACCAAACGCAGGGTCGGTTGTCGCGTGCCGAGAGCTGTCGTAGAGATAGTAGACTGCGAGTAGGATATTAGCAACCTTGGAGTCGGGGTTCTAACCATGTTAGCATCTTTCACGAAAAACGAATAGAATTAACCACATACCAATGCCAATGCCCGCTCCCAAGCAACTTTTGCCTGATCCTTGAAACCAAGCTGCCACAAACAACAACCAATACCAATTCGCGGATCCGGGTCGGTCAGGTTGGGCATTCTCATCAAAACTTTTTGATACCCGTCCAGCGCATCCGCGTATCTTCCCAGTAGATATTGCGCTCTGGCACGTCCCATGATAGCCATTATGTTCCGGCCGCCAAAGGCCTTAGACGACTCATCAAAGCATTTCAACGCCTGTCGTAGTGATTCCACTCTCTCGGATGTATCTACAGTCCCCGGTCGAACAGGTCGCGGAGGGTACAACGAAGCGCGCAGCAGCGACAAAACACCTCTCGCCAGGAACAAGGGCGGAAACGCAGGATTCAAACGTGATGCCTCGTTCAACGTTGACGTCGCCAGCTGCAGATAGTAATCTTTAGTCTTGGCCTCTGTGTACAGCTCCCCTTCCGACGCAACGCGAGGTGCCTGCCGACTCTTCAGCATCAAGAGCCAGCATACCCAGCCCAGCAGCACGAGCTTCTCCTTGGTCGCTCCGTGAGCCACTGAAGCCAGGCCTTTGTTGAGGATGTCGATGGCATGATCGATCTGTTTCTGCTTCGCGTACGCGAGCGCGATGATCACCCAAAAGTTCTTTGCAGCTTTTTCGTTCTCCAGCAACGTGCACAGTTCAGTTGGATCATCGGGTAGCCCTTCGAGACTGACCTCGACTTCGCTATCGAGGGTCGACGCGGGAATATCGATGGCCGAAGGAATGTCGGAGAAGCGCTGGTTAAAAGAGAAAGGTTGGGATTCGCCGTTCAGGCCATTGGTATGGCCATTCTCTAGAGTCGCCATGGTCGTTTATAGCGCTGATATAAGCGCCTAGGGCTCGTCGGTACGTCCTGAGATGATAGGCGAGTAACGTAGGTAGCTCACTGGAGAGGTTGCGACTGTTTTCGGGGAAGAGATGAAAGGTGTTTGGGAGCCAGTTGTAAAGCTCAGCTCATGATCGTATTAAAGACGCGATCCAGCAGTCCATCAAGCATAAAACTAATCAAAAAGCGTTCTTGATGGACATGCAAACATAGCAGCTCCCGTGTTGCTGTAGGAGCAGACAAGATTGTTTCGATAGACCTGTCGAAGTCCGTGATGCGGATCGCGGCCTGAGGCTGTTGTGGCTAATGTTGTGGCTAGTGGGTACCGCCACAGTTGGTATAACTTTATTGCTCGTTTTGGAAAATCTAACAGTATACAGACGGCATCAAAGAATTGAAGGATGGAGTCGAGCTATTCGGCTCAACAAAGCAAGGTCATTATTAACGCCATCTCGTCTCGTCTCGTGTGCATTTCTCATGCGCTAATAATAACAACAAGAATAATTATAATGATAACAACCAAGGGTATAGCAATAGCATGGCCTCGTCAGACATCACATCAGTCACCAAATCCCCAAAAGGCCCGGCAATGTGCACAAGCAAGCAACGCCAAATAACACTCCAAATATCTGTAGAAGTTCAGTCCAGTGGCCCAATCGGACAGAGGTCTCGGCATATCCGTTGGAAGCAGCAATTTTCTGCTTCTCAGACCCGTACCCGGTTTCAATGGTTCCAGCTAAGTCTGTAGGAAATCGACCGGTTTCATAGCACTCTTCAAGCAGTTGGTCCTTCTCCGTCCACCGTGCCAGAAGCCATTTCTCGAAATCCTTCTGGTCATCTAACGGAATCTCAGAGACTCGATACCGCCTCCAGTGCATGTTGACGCATTTTGGTGGCCGTCCTTGCAAGCATGTTGATCGGAGTGTAAAGTATTTATCGGGGTAGCTTCCTCTTCTGCACCGCAGTGTTAGTGACCACGACTTGAGAACATAATATAGAGTATATCAACTTACGGAGGCCCTTCATAAGCTACCGTGCAGTCGTACACCCAGTCCACAGTTCCCTTCAATTGCTGCAAACAGAAGAGAAGACCGGTCGACCGTGGAAGCAATGCATGTCGCAGAGGCGGAATTCCTACTTTCTCCCCATATGCGTCGCTACGGCGCTTGGTGTTAATGGATAGATTCGTCCCTTCGGGAAAGATCAATAGCCACATGGGATCGTACTCCGGATCTTCGGACTTGGAACCTTCGTGCTTGGTCTTAAGCTTTTCCAATCGATGCTGAAGTCGTGGCTTATCAGAGAGCCACTTTCGAGCCATGAAAATGAAGCCGTAGAACATCATGCCCTGACCAAGGACCGGAATATACTTGAGGGATTCCTTGAGAATGATGAACATTCGGCCGTGCATCACGTTGGTGTAGGCAAGCCACCATATATAGATCCAATCCGTGTAAACCTGGTGGTTGGCGACTAATACCATACGTTCTGAGAATTGTGTCTTCAACCGCCCATCTTCCATTAAGTGAATCTGGCCTCGCACACTCGCATCGCCGCAGACTCGAACCGGAGTTGGACAACCCCACTCAGTAAGAAAGCTAATCACCAAGCCAAAGGCTTGCTTGGTCATCGCCATATACAAATAGTACCAGTCTTTGTTTATCACGTATAACGGCGTTCCAAGCAGTTGAGTCACGACGGTGACCACAGCGCAACAATTGAAAAATGTTGCCAGAAGAAGTGATCGGACGATTTGCATGGGGATTCCATGCTTTAGGCGGGGCTCCGACTCGTTGGGCTGGTACAGTCCTTCCACGCCATTTGTAGACGGTGGTTGTTTCCGTTGTCGCAACTCGGGGTTGTCCATAATGAATGTCAACAAACGGCCGACTGCCGTCTGAGAGTATATCTCAAGGTTATCGCAAGGAGAAGGAAGAATATGGTCGATCTTGCTGAAAATAGGTATTCTGTCAGACCCCGCACAAGCAAACAACGAGGAGGGAAACGGGTGCGAAATACTCTTTAAATGTAGAAAAGCGGTGTTTTTGGTAAAGAATGTGTTCCAGCTCTTGCGGGTATTCCGGAAAGTCAAATCACTCAGGGGTTAAAAAGGGCTAACGCTGGAATCAAGCCATACTCCGGACTAAATCACTAAAAACAAGTACAAAACACGAGGAAGACGCAAAAAGAACGAGACGATGTTTGTTCCGAGGCCAGCAGGACTCTTTCTGGGCACGTGAGGATCTTTTGGGCAGGCAGAAATTACGTCAGGACAGGAAGGCGGTCAGCAGATCATTCTCCGATCGGTTCTTGTCAGTTCAGACGCTTGAGCTCTTTTAGCTTGAGGATCTACTCTTTTCCCTTGTCTTTTAACTAGCCTGGGATTTGATTGCTCAGTGATTAAACAGAAGAAAGCAGAAATGCAGCACCATCACCAGTCCTAGAGCATTGGCTTCAGTCGTCAGATCTTCTCCGCAGCTCAAGATATATATGCACATGCAGTACATACTGGAAGATGGCATGTGAGTGATGTAAGTGGATGCAGTATGCTACCTTCGAAATCTTGAGTAAATCTATGCTGACTGGTGATTGTTTTGTAGTTATCCTAAAACGTTCTGCTAGAATATATCATCGACGATGTTTCGCGCACAAACCATAATATCCAAGTTCCTCAAATGGGGACGATGGACACGAAACTTCTCGGTATCTGTGCACCGCGACGAAATTAGAGATATTGAGACCCTATCACAACGCTTACTGCCCGGATACCAAGGTGCATCTCCAACCGATGACATTCTCATGGCTACTTGGTAGCCGACGGCCGCCCCGAGAGTAGGCGCTGACTTCTGGTGACTTCAGAATCCCATGAGGGCGATCTCCTTTCACTCCAATGGCCGGCACCGCCTCGAAACATATTTATCGTGAAAAAGGATTTTGCACCCTCCGTGACAGAGGCTCTTGTCGAATTTGTCAAGTACGACCATAACTCCTATACTCGCTGTGAAAACCATCTTCTGACAGTTCTTCAATTAAAGTCATGTAACGTCTACATATCCATCAACTGCTATTATCCTCGAGCCGAAAACCGCCGAAGAAGTACATTCGTCCCTCCCATTTCCCGTTTACTCGACACAGTTGGCTGAGAAACCATCGGCATTACATGATAAAGTGGATCTTACTGTTACACTCGGAGGAGACGGGACAATTCTACGAGCCTCATCACTCTTCGCAACATGCAACAATGTGCCACCGGTACTGTCATTTGGCATGGGAACCCTGGGGTTTTTGAGCGAATGGAAATTTGCCGAGTACAAGCGCGCTTTCCGAGAAGTATACATGTCTGGGGCTGGAGTAGGTGATCGTGGCCCCGTTCTTGAGGGTCCTCAAGCAACCCTCGTGGAGGATGAGGCGGAAACTCATATGGGACCAACCGGATGGTCGTCAGTGCGGGGAAAGTCCATGGGAACTACTCGTGGGGCACGCATTTTGATGCGAAACCGCCTGAAAGTGGGCCTTTTCACGACAGACGGAAAGCCAGTGGGACAACGTTTAGAATCTGTACCATCGCAAGGAACTCTTGGGGCCCAGGGGACGTATGTGATGAATGAAGTGCTGATCCACCGAGGTAAAGAGCCGCATTTGGCAGTGGTCGAGGTGTTTGTCGGAGGACGCTTCCTCACGGAGGCGGTAGCAGATGGGATTATCATTTCAACGCCAACTGGGAGTACGGCATATAGTTTGAGTAGTGGCGGGAGCATCGTTCATCCTTTAGTGCCATCGATTCTGTTGACACCGATTTGTGCGCGCAGTCTCAGCTTCCGGCCGTTGGTTCTGCCATCGAGTACACCAATCACACTGCGGCTTAGCGAAAAGAATCGCGGACGGGAGCTTGAGGTCAGCATTGACGGGGTCAATCTGGGCCAAGGAATGGCCGTCGGGATGGAGGCACGAGTATGGAACGAGGTGATGCGGCACGGCAAGAATAATTGGTCCGGTGGCGTACCCAGCGTGATGCGACGGATCATGGGTGAAGAGGCTCATGAAGGCTGGGTGGGTGGCCTGAATGGATTACTGAAGTTCAACTACCCATTTGGCGAAGAGCAGCCCTAATAGGCCAATGACTGACTCGAACGTGAATGGCCCAAGGTCATTGTATTCCTGAGGCACCAAAACGGCACAGTAGCCAATGATCGATGCCGGCTCCCAGCCACCGACAACTGGAGCTCAGCTTGCCTTAGTTTCAGCTCAATGTATTTATTTTATATTGCTTGCGCAGTGCACGGACGGATGCTGGTTTTTTCATCCTTTCTCTTGTGTTTTGCATCGACTCCAGACGCATATCCCCACGCCATTGCATCGGAATCCTGACGTTGGATCGTTGTTTACTTGTTGATATATCTCGCCTATCTTATTATTGTACATTTTGACTTCATATACCAAGTACTACCACAGAGTACTACTAGTACAGACACTGCCAGTTCCCAGTTCACCGTACAAAATTGTACAACGCCTGCCACGCAGGAATAATTCATACATACATATCCACAGTGGAGAATAAGTTTGCATTTCACGCAGCTGCAAGGCTTGTTGTGTTTGTCAATTCATACAATCAACCTACCTCAGGGGGCAGCCAGCCAACCTTCTTAGCCACCGATAACTACCAAACCACCACCCTCTGCAAACAATCAAATCACACCACACGAAACCAAACCTCAACAACAGAACAAGATGGTCTGGTTCGACAACCGCTCTAACGTCTCCTCCAACTCCAACTCCCGCTCCCACCGTCGCCGCTCTCCCTCGCACCGTTCCCACTCCCGCTCCAACTCCAACTCCAACTATAACTACAAACAACCAGCCCACAGCATGCCCTCAAACTATAACAACTATAACTATGGCTCGGACTCCAATGTGAATGGCTCCAGCGCCGCCCCCGGCCGCAAAAGCCCCTCCACCTCTGTCTACTCCGGCACCACAGCCACGTCCTCTTCTACCCGCCGCCGCGCGAAGCCGCGAAAGGGCTTTGTCAAGCGTGTTGTTCGCACGGTTCGGCAGGTCCTTCAGGACATCCATGATTATGCGCGGGAGTTCCCCTACCGGACATTCTTTATGGTCATTGTGCCGTTGATTGCGACAGGGGTGTTGCAGAAGTTGTTGGGATTTATTGGGGTTAAGTTGCCCAAGAGGATCTTTGGGAGGTTGGCGAAGCCGCCTTCATTTGATGGGCTGAAGGCGCATGTTATTGCGTTGATTCGGGTTGCCAAGTGGGCTGTTAAGTCTTGATTGTGGCCTGTAGCGCTGAGTCTGGATTTGGGTTTATATTTCGGGTTGGCTTCATTGATGGGAAGGTAATCTGATTATGATGATTACGATATATGTTTTTTTTTCTTGTTTGATGGTTTTGATTATTTTCGATTCTTGTTTACTGCCGTGATTTTATGTATGTATTCTGATAGGGAGGATCGCAATGATTTTGGTTTTGTTATTTCGTTAAACAATAGTATGGGTGTACATTTTATATACTGAGCAGGTGAACTGCCATTCTCATCTGATCAATCGTAGCACTCTAGTCGTTACGACCTTTGTGACCGTTTCTTCCCCCTTCGTCGAGATGATCCGCCGTTCGAGGCCGATGCAGAGGTAGTCTCTGGGACAGCCCATGCGGCCGCCTCTGGCATCTCCTCTTCACTGGCATCATCATCAATGACCTCCTCGGAGTTTCCAAGGATCCGTCTGACTGCCTTCCCATAGAACCATCCGGGGAAACGGAAGATCATGGTATCACGGAAAGTAGGCCGATGAATTTCATCAATATCGAGCAGGAACTCCTGGCGTTCGCCTTCCTCGCTCTCCTCCTCTAGATAGACATTACCAACCGAGTCGACGATAAGCACTTTGCCATTTTCAGCAACGACACGCTTGCGCTCGCCGGTGGGCTCGGTGGTCGATGGGGCGGCTGGCGTAACGGAAGTGTTACGCGAAGATGCGCGCGTCGGACCCTTCTTCTCTTTCTTGTTCTCCCGGTCCATCATGCGCTTCTGTCTGCGGTTTATGGGCATAGCAGCTGCCTCACTGTCTCCCTCGGGGGTAGATGCAGGGGCAATGGAGTCAATTCCAGGAATTCCACGCACGCCTATCTCATCACCCCAAGCAGCCCGTCTCGCATGACGAATATACCGATCCACAAACTCCCGCTGGCGCTTCCAGCTAAGCACCAGAGCAGCGTAGTGTGCGGCACCGCCAAACACCAAAAACAGACCGATCAGGACAGAGCCCAAGCCAGGACGGTATCTCGAGTAGTAGTATCCCGTACCCTTCCACTTGGGAAAACCGTTTTTGAGGAAATGATCATAGCGTTCGCGGGAGGGGCCTCGGAGGATGTTGGCAACGGTGTTCAGACGGGAGGAGCGCTCGGTGGCTTCCTTGACGACTTTCTCGATCTCGCGCCTCGAGGGGCCTTTGTTCACATTGGTGCCTCCCTTTTGTTTCCGGGACTTGGATTTGTCCTTGGAGGCATTGGCGACAAAGGAACGCTCGACCTTGTCGGGGTGTAGAAGACGGGATTTCTTGCGGTAGGCTTTGTTGATTTCTTCCTGGCTGGCGCTAGGGTGGGATCCTAGAAAGTCTGAAAGGCTTTAGCAAGGCCAATTGGCATGAAGCGAGAGAATATACCGTAAAAAGTGATATTGTGTCCTTCCGTGGTAGTGACTTCGTCGTTCAAACGGAAGATTTCATAGTCCCCCTTGGTCCAGGCCGCTGCCACAACAAGCAGCACGGCGAACAGGGCCAAGCGGAGAGTGAAGAGTTTCATCTTGGGCTGTTCCGCCCAATGATGGGAGTTGAAAGAAATGAGAGGGAGAGGGGGAATAATCAAGAAAAAGGTGGTGAAGAAAAGAAAATCTGGAAATTGGGAGGTAACTGATAAATGAAGCGATTATCTGGCCATTCCTTTTTGGGCGGTGTGATGGTACATACAGAACCTATGACCTGTCGTTACAAGATTCTTTAAGCGTTTTTTGCTGCCAATTGAGATTTTCTATGGGAATTAAATGGAGTACTGTATCCTGTACCCCATACATATGCCAGGATGTGTGGCATAGCCTGGGTTATGCTCTATAGCAGGTTGAATCAGCCCTGTATAACCCGAGACAGTCTCACACAGGTTCTACTTGAGTGAAGTCTCATATTAACAAGAATTGTTTTATTATATGAGATCTCGGTATATCCATACTCTATGTCTCTCCCCATAGCCATTTCATGCTTAATAGTCGACCAATGTACTTGTACAAACATGGACCAACAGACAGATATAGTCCTCGTCCTCGAAGACTGACAGTCGTATGGAATCCGCTCTTCCATTTGCCTTCTTCTTCTCTGTTCTCCTCTCTTCCCCTCTGTCTCCCCTTCTGCCCAAATGCTCTTTGTGCATGCAGGATGCAGCAATTTCAGGCTTCACTGTTTACTAATGACTGTTCTGGAGGGTCTTCTCAACGTGGACCAATCTTGGATACAGAAAAAACTGCAGGGCTGAGGGGTCAAAGAGAGAAGGGGACATAAATATCGTTTCTTTTGCTCGACCTTTGTAGTTTGAATGATGAGGGTTGACTCGATAGTACTATTTACGGAAGAAGGAACTATAGAGATCAACAAGCACTTTTCAGCGACTCTAGAACAACTGCCAGGCTGAGTATAGAGTATTATTCTAAATATACTTATTCTCTTGTTATTATTGACAGTTTCTTTTCTTTCATTTTTATTTCTATCTGTCATATATTCAATCAGGCGTGGCAGTGCGGTTGCCCCTTATTAGTCCGTGCCTGACGCCGCCGCATGTTTTGTTCCGTCTTTTTTCCATTTCAATTCCCCGTGGCCTTTTCTTGAATTCCTGAACTTCATCCCTCCTTGATACCTTCTCTTCAAACTACCTCTCTACGTATACTACAGCTACGTACTCACCATGCAGCTCCCTATCAGCGCCATCACCTCGCAATTCAGCGATCGCTTTAACAGCGTCCGCGCCCAGTCCATCAGTTCGCGCTTCGCCAACCTCCGCCCTGTCTCCGAATTCCTCGACGTGAAGCGTTTCTCCAAGCCTGCTCACTTCGGTGAGGTCCAGAGCCGTGTTAACTACAACCTGTCCTACTTCTCCAGCAACTATGCTGTCGTCTTCGTCATGCTCAGCATCTACAGCTTGCTGACCAACTTCCTGCTCCTCTTCGTCATCATCTTCGTCACCGGTGGTCTCTACGGTATTGGGAAACTGGAAGGTCGTGATCTGGAATTGGGTGTCGCTCGTCTGAACACCTCTCAGCTCTACACTGGTCTGCTCGTCGTTGCGGTTCCCCTGGGTATCTGGGCCTCTCCCATCTCCACGGTCCTCTGGTTGATTGGTGCCACTGGTGCGACGGTGTTCGGCCACGCCGCCCTCATGGACAAGCCCATCGAGAATGCTTTTTCCGAGGAGGCGGTCTAAGTGGTCGGCCGCGAGCTCCTTACGATACTATGCCCCGATGGGGAAGGCCACCGGGAGCACGACCGGGGGGAGTAATCAGGGGACGGACGACGGCGGCAGCGACAGCACAGCGGATGTGGGACGAATTGCGAGTTGCGGAAATCGACGATGCGGAGGAGGATATCCACAATGGAGTGCGGCGGAGTAGAAGGGGGCGTCAAAGGGTATATAACGACGATCCGGACGAAACGGGGTCGGTGGATGGAGTGGAATATGATCTTTACGACGATACGGATAGCACCGTAGCTTACGCAGTTCAACTGGCGATGCAGGAACGGGAGGACTGGCTGGTGGAAAAGGCATTGGAACGGATTCGGCGGGCACATGTGTCTGGACAGAATAACATATGGTTGTCGTCAGAGGAGCGGGAGGCATTGGATCGCAGACGAGCGCGCCAGACAAATGGGAACGGTTCTATGACAAGACAACGGGGTACAATGAGCAGCCCAAACAAAGGAACGAATAACAGGACTCGAACACGGCGTGGCTCTACTCACAACCGCCAGAGTTCTCAACAAACTCATTCATCTCCTGTGATTTCCCTCGACTCCGACTCCGACGGTGACAAGAAGAACAATGATAATGGAGATGAGGTTCAGATCATCGATGTGGTGCAGCGCCGAGTGCCGGTCAGCCCTACGACGCGGTCGAAGACGAGTGGACGTTCTCGTGGTCGTCGCTAGTTTCTTTTCTCTTTTATTTCCCCCTTTTGATTTGTTTATTGGCTTTATGTTCATTAGTACTTATTTCTATTCCCCCCGAGTTGTGCCTCTTGCTTTCTCATTGTTTGTGTTTTGTTTCTTTAGGGAATCGTGGCTTACGGTATTCCAAAAGCATGCGGAGTTCTGAGTATAGACTAGGATACGCTAATGGTTTTTTTTTTTTTTTTTTTTTTTTTTTTCTGAAATATAAATCCTACCCTCGTATTATTCTTCCGCTTACGGTGGCTGGGGATAGATGACGTCGTATTGTCTGCAGAGCATGAAGTCATTGACAGCCGACTTTTCTCTTTAATCTTTGGCCCTGCATTTTATTTGACCGACAACCGCATAGACGCTGGGACGGGTTTCTTTATATATCTTTCGGCGATTCCTGCGTTGACATCTGCCTTGTGCACTGCCTGTGATCGACTTTGCCTAGCGGTTGTCGTACCCCCGTATAACCAGTCCTCCAGCCACTGGGACATGCCGGAATCTTATTCTCTTCTTTTCTCCCCTCTATAATAGACATAGCAAGATCCGACAAGAAAAGCAACGACAGTCATCTTTCACCCATATATTGACTTAATTACAAGTCACTTACTCAGAATATTATATAAGACCGAGTACGTACAGCCGTCTAAGCCACGCCCGCAATTTCCGACGATTACCCATACTCTGGAAAACAAGGAAACAAGAGACTTACTGACCATTTTATAATTTTCAGTCGCTCACTTTAGTCGCTCTCTTATCCTTTTCTGGAATATTTTATTCTATATACATTCTTTTTCACATTTCTTTACTACTATCGACCCATCCGATCCGATCCGGTCCTTCTTTGTCGCTGCTCGATAATTCGACTTCCCCTGTCGCTGTCACAGATTCGCGTCCTTGTAGCATTCAATCGCAAAGATGTGGATCGTTTCATTCTGGGTTTTCCCTCTTATATCGGCATGCATGTGGTTAGGTGAGAATAGGAAAGAGTGCACGTGTCTATATACAAAAATAGTGGCTGACGGTTCATTATTTAGCGATGTTGATCGCGATGCTGGTCGTTTGGGCGCATGCAGATGGGGCGCCGGTTTACCCCAGTATGGAAGAGGGGCAGACCATTGCGTACGTCTTTATCAACTCCTCGATGCGAGTAGGCTAAAATTTGACAATAATGTAGATACATCTCCGACGTTGGCGCCCAACATCTCAAACCCCTGTTTGTCGCCGGCAGCGTGGTGACAGTCGTTTTTCTCGATCTTGCGTTCCTGGCTGAGAGATGGTTGCGACATGCCGGACAATTGGTACCGAATAAGGGTCGTTTCGATAAGGCGTGTGCTATTGGGTCCATCTTCTTCTCGATCGCGGGTGCGCTGGGATTGATTCTGCTGTCGTGCTTTGACACCTTGCGGCATCCGAATAAGCATGACGGATTCCTCGCCATGTTCCTTGCTGGATACATTATTAGCGCCATCCTGATTTGCGCAGAGTACCTGCGTCTGGGTATCTTCTACCGCTCGCAGCACCGGGTTCTGTTCGCTAGTTTTGTCATGAAGTTGACGTTCATTGTTGTCGAGATTGCTCTTGCTATTGCGTTTGGTGTTACTGGAAGGCACAAGAACCAGAGGAACGTGTCTTCTGTTCTTGAGTGGGGTATGTCTATGCCCTCCCCTTTCTTTGTTTTTGTTCATTCAGTTGCTAACGTTGGCAGTCATTGCATTCATTTTCACCGGTTACGTCCTCTCCTTCGTCGTTGACTTGCTCCCCTCCGTCCGCACCCGTCGCCACGTCCCTCAGGGTCACAAGCAGATCGCAATGACACAAATGGGATCCAACGTCACGAGCACCACGGCAAACGAGAATGCTGTCATTGAGGAGCCCTTGACGATGGACTCGACAGGACCTGCTGCCGGATACTACCGTGGCCAGCGGATCTAATCTCGGCTAATTTGTCTTTTTCTCTTCTTTTTCTTGGATGTACTTTGTACAACTGTAATATTGCGTTCGTTTGTGATATCCATTGGTTCGATAGGTTGGTGCTTGGCTTTTGGGTTTTTGTTGGGGTTCTCCTTTACCTACCCCGGTACACTGGCTTAGGTTACCAGTATTTGTTGATATCTATTTGTTGATAATCCCATAGAACAATGCTACTTATAAAGAAACTACGCAAGTAACCTCTCCTTGATCTTGTTTTGTGTCTCCTTGCCAACTCCCACGATCTCCAAATACCCTTCAACACCTCCATACCTCTCTCCCAGATACCCGCGAATCGCACCCGTAAATCCAGCAGGACACTTGATATACTCCTCAGGAATCCCCATCGCCCGAATCTCCTTCAACCGCTCCTCAGCCTCAACCACCAACTCCGACTCAGAACGCACGTAATCATCTGAAATAGCATCCTCGGGAACATGTGTCAAAAGCAGTAGAAGAAGAATGATTATGCCCGTACGGTCTTTCCCTTGAGTGCAGTGCAGGAGAAGAGGGAGTACCTCCCCACCATCCTTTTCGTTTTCATCGTTGTCAGTGTCATCAGTGGCAGGAGTATGTTCCCCAGCCAATAAATCAAACATCTCCCTTATCTCAGAAGTACTGTAATCCAACGTATCCTGTCCAAGCCCAATAAGACCTCGCGGAGCCATAACCTCCTGCACGACGATTTTCACAGCTTCGGTTCGATAGCCTGAAGCCGAGAGACCCAGCACCTTACTTTCCATTATTAGTCCCATTGTCCCTATTCAAATGCGGGTAAAACGGGGACGTACAAAAAATTCACCCAATCCAATCTCCATATCAGCGACCGCTCCCATGCCTTTCCGGTTAGCGAGATGAGCACGCGGTTGATGCCCAGGAGGGTGTCAAGGTGGGTGTAGTCATCTTCCATTAGGTTTGATTGTTCGTCTGGTCCTGTTTCTGATGCTGAATGTTCTTGGGTTGGTTGGGGGAAGGGATGTTGTTCGCGTCGCCTTTGGGCAGCCATGCGGTGTTCCGTCCTGTTTTCTTGATCAGTCCTTGTAGCCTGATTCAAGGGGCTTAAGGGAAAGTACACAGAGCGCAAGTCGATGACCGTCGAAATGTGCAGCTCATTGCTTAACCGGCGCTTGTCTCGTTCGGAGGCGTCGTCGAGCTTTTTTTTTTTTTTTGTCAGCGCTTTGACCAACCAATTGATATGCTTCATATATAGATGTACACACTCTCGCACTGCGGAACAGAACACCCTCTTTCAATATTCTGCCGCATTATTAGCATGTACTCCGCGTAATATCTGGATGGGATGGATGGGTTACCTCCTCCCGGTAAGCCCGTTAATCGACTTCCCCACGTCACGGAAGTTGATGATGTTGTCAAAGGGACGGTCTGCGGCGGATAGATCCGACATTATACTGTATATCTTATAATATGGGTGATGACTTGAAGAGAGGATATGGGTGAGGTGAAATGAAGTCGAGATAAGGCGATAAGGCAGACAGCGGTTATTTAGCCCAAGCTAAGACAGCCTTATCCGCAGATCCCAAGTATGGAGTAGCGGTGGACAACATACAACGTTCGACCATTACAAAAAGGTATGTTAGTTATCCAGAATTTATTACTATATGATCTAAACCAATGATATCCGCGACATCCGCCCCTGATAAGAAGTATTAGCCCCCACGCCCCTCATCATATACGACTCCCTTGCAACATCCTTTCGCTTCATGTTAACAATCTTCAACCCGCGATTGAAATTTACCATACATATAATTGCACACACAAGTGTCAGCGTTGTAAATACCAGCGTTATAAATGCAAAAAGAAGCATCATATCTTTCCCGGCTGTGTTGGCGCGTAAACCGTCTCCGCAAAGCACGATGATCCGACTGAGCAGGTAGGTGATTAGGCCTAGGTAGCATGTAACGATAGGAATCATGCAGAGGGTGCGCTCGTGCTGCACAAAGTAGATTCCGAGAACCATGACGACAAATGCGGCTGGGATGATGAGCATGGTTAGAGTGTATTCGGGTTCGTTGAAGTGCACGTCGACCAGGTCGTATTGGATGATGAAGCCGACTAGGAAGTAGAAGTCGAGTTTGATTAAAACGAGGTAGATCTGTATCCATTAACTCCATTTATTCTTCCATTCATAGGGAGGGAACGAACTTCATAAGCCAGATATCGCATCCGAATCTCCGAACTTCCATGAACACACTTATAAATTGCCCACGAATACTCCCTATGCAGATAATACGCACACGGCCACAGCACAAACGTCCCCAGGCCCGTGATAACAGGGACAAGGATCTCTGCCAGTTGAATCCTCGGCCACACGCTCCAAGAGGAACTCACCAACGCAGGAGTCGACTCCGCACTCTGCGCGGACAGCCTAGTGGTGGTGTCTCGCATCGAGATGCACCGCATCACAGCAAAGATGTTACTGCACACGTTGGACACGCAGATTGCAAACAGCAGGATGTTGTTCTTGTTGTGTATGGCGTCAAGCGCGAGGATTACTTCGTAGACACAGGCGAATACCAGGATCCCCATGCCTATTGGGACGAGGTAGGAGATGGGGACTTGTGTGATGTTGGGGGTTACCCATAACTCCCATTCCACGAAAATATACCTGTCCTTGTTAGATGGTTTGAGCTCGCTTGCTTGATGGCATGACTTACGCTTCAAGCGCGGTAATTATAAGAGCTTGGACAGTGAGAGTCCCACAAAACCACCATTCATTCTTAGCCGTTGGTCTATACATGATGCCTCATCTGGTTCATCCATTGTCGAAGAAAAGGAAGAGAACAAGAAAGTGACAACTTTTCAATACACAGTGGGTCTAACAGCTGTACACTATCGAGCTTAGAGTCGGTCATGCCGGCACTAGTTGATCCTTGTATCCTCCGCCGAGTACGACAATTCATGCTGATAGCCCTCATGTCTCACTTGTGCTTAGTCATCAGAAGATTTTTCTCCACCGTCAATGCATGTTTTCTCCTATTTTTCTTTCTACCTGGAGATTGATAAATAGATGGAGTCAGTCTGCTCTCTGTTATATTATTGTTATGGCACCGGTGTGGCTTACGGCGAAGAATCCCACGACTTCCCTTTTGGGTAAACTAGAATCATATCCTTTTTGTATATTAGGCATATGTACGAACATCTGAACGCCTCCACAAATATTGCAGTAATATCATCCCAAGTAAAGACCGATCCCGAACCAAAACTACAACTGACGCCGTACATCTTCATAGAGACGTGAAGGACAGAAAGGTATTAAACAAAATAGACAAGAACAAAAGAACAGAAGAAAAAGAGAAAGAAAGAAAAAAAAAAATAAAGACTAATTACAGATCTTCTGAAAATCGTGACTCCCGAGCAGTGCTATTACTCGCCTCCTTGCCAATGGCAGGTGGTGCAGGCAAGCCCTGCTCAGCGGCACTTTCGCGAAGTTCGCCTCGGTCTGCAGTTGAAGCTTGTCGAGCGTTGGAAGATTCAGCTACCTCGGAGTTCTTTGAGCCCTTCCTTGATGTTGTCCCTGCGGCTGCGACGCCGTTGCCGTTCGTCCTGGACTCGCTATTCCGTGAGAAGGACTTCATCAGGCCGTTCCGGAACCAGGAAGATCGTCGGTTTCCATTCCCATTCTCTTTTGTAGCTGGCCGCCGCGGAGCTTCGTCATTGACGCTGAGCACGGAAGACCGTCGACGCTGCATCTCGTTTAATTCATCACCAGTAATCGGGTGCGAACTGAGTGCTGCACTTCGAGAACGCTCCCTACCACCTGTAACCTCCACTTCTTCAGCGCTTTCATTTCCTTCGGCTGCTTCAGCAGTACCGGCGCCGGTGCCAGTAGCGGGTACTGTACTTGTTTCTTTCTGGGGTTGTTCCTTGGCTGCTTCGGTTGCCCGTCCACCCCGGGATCCACGGCCTGTGCGACGTCGGCTACGGAACCAACTCTTCAATTTTGATTCAGATCTGCGCGGCTGTGCTTCTTCCGCTGCAGCGATAGGCACCACGAGTCCGTTTTCTCCTTCAGCAGTCTGGGATCGAAACATTTCAGGTAAATTTTCTCCTGACGTCGCGCTGTCGGCGGGCGCTTCTGGTTCAGCACTAGCACCAGCGCCAACTCCAGCTCCGGCTCCTATAGCTCCGGTGGCTTCTGCCTTTTCAGCAGGCGGTTCTTGGGCACGACCTCGCTTCGACTTTTTGCTTTTCGGTTCTTTCTTCAGGGATTCTGGTAGAGTTAGATCGATTCTATCATCTCATAAGAAAGATAAATTACCTCTCATCCGCCTCTCCTCAGCTTTCAATTCAGCCTCCCTCTGCCGCTCGGTAGCTTCACGTCTTTGTCTCTGCTCCGTGTCTAGACGTTCTTCCATCTCCTTGGCTCTCTGTTTCTCTGCGTGGTCATGAATTTCGTTCAGAGTAGGCTGAACCCGAGACCGGGCAACGGCCTCAACATCTGCCATGTCCATGTACCGTTGCGCACCGATGTTGACTCGATCGGGATATTCCGCTTGAGCTTGCTGTTGTTGCTCTTCCTTCAGACGCTCCTCGGCCGTTTCTTCGTATTTCTCCCACACAGATGGTGGCGCTCGACCAGTCGAGGTATAGACCCACTGATCCATGTCTTGGATTGCGGCGTCCACATTCCTCCTGGCAGCTTCCATGAGCTGAGAACGGTCACTCTCTCGCTTTTCATCCACTGCATCAAGCTTGGTCCGCAACGATGACATCTGGTACCGGATCTCTTTGGATCGCTCCATGTCCGTGTCATTGGACGCTCTTCTTCGAAGAACGCTCAAGGTAGGACGTGGGGGCTGAGGAGTCGTGCCGTAATATTCCTGGAAGGCAGCATTTTCGTCGTGCATCATGGCCAATTTCTCCTGGGCTCGTTTGTGTGCGACACCTTGTATATTGAGTGCCTGTTGCACTGCCTGGTTTAAGGTGCCATCTTGCTGAAGCGACTTCTGCGAGCGTGCGCGACCTTGTGTTATCTGAGCCGCATATGCAGCCGTACCCGGTTTTTCTTCATTTGACTCGATAATATTGTACATGTCGCGTGACATAGAAACCACCGCAGCTCGCTGCACATTTCTTCTTCTCAATTCCTCCGGGTCGTCAGGAAAGCGTGGACGCGAGCCGTATAGTTGGGCGTCGGTGTTGGTCAAGTGCGTAAGCCTACTCGCTTCATTGGTAGCGTCCAAGTCCTCCAATGGGTTAATTGTACTAGGATCCTGGACCGTTCCATGTGATGCACCAGCTGCCAAGGCTGCAAGAGGTTGGCTTTCTGGGACGAGGGGTTTAGTTGGGGTTGTGCTGGCTCGTCTCCTGCTCATATTGTATGCTCCCGTCGCAGCTAGACGTGCCTTTTCCTGTTCGCTCGCTCGTCGTTGGAGGCCAGCTGTCCGCTCAGCCTCGGGAAGATCCAGATTCACACCGGTAGGTGTTGCAGGGATGCTCGTAATCGATCGACGGTCTCTGACGGCTGATGTCGCGGCCTTGTGTCCTTCTGGGGTCGCTTTGGCCACATATATGGCTTCAGGAGCACGGTAGTCGCGGGCATGGTAGGCAGCCTTTTCCGCAACGGGTTGCGCAGTTGGTCTCCAGACTTCGAACGGTTTACTTCTCGTGTGGGCGAGGATGGCAGCTGAAGCAGACGCACTGCTGAGATCGAGATGTCCGGTTGAATCACCTAGCGACACAAACGGTCAATACTCGCATTGGGCATGCAATTGTAGGATAATGGTAATGCTCACGGAACAGCTGGGTATTGGCGGCAGCAGGTTCGCGAACAGATAATCGACGATCTGGGTGGGTCACGTATAGTGCAGCAGAGGCGGCTGATCGCGCGACGAACCGTGCGTTAGTTCTGGATTCTCAATTATGATCTTTACACCGCCGTAGAGGCAACAATGAAACCACGACTACGACAAAGAGCAGATACTCACCCTGGTCTGCCAGACGAGTTGACCGGGAACGCGGTATCGAAGCGTGCTGAGAAGCCACGGCAGCTCCGGCGGACTCACTTGCCATGGCGATAAATGGGAACTGCGACACGATCAGGCAGGATAGTAAGGTATATATTGACAACGGGCATTCCTGAACCGGGAAATCAAGCGAACAGGAGAAGGAAGAAAGGAGAGAGAAAAGAGGAAAAGAAAAGAAGGAGGGGTAAGACCAAGGAAAGAAGATGATGAAGGGCTGCTGGGATGGAAGTCCGGAAGTTTACTGTCTTAGTGCCCGGGCCATGATGTCACTCGGTCTGCGAATGCGATTTCTCATGATGTCACGAGAATAGTAACAACATGGTAGAATTGGGTGGGAAGATGCGAAGAAGTGAAAAATGCATTACACTCAGGACGCTCAGTTGCATCCATGCTGCATTTCCGTTTTCGGAAACTTATGCACTGCCCTGGCAGGTTTCGGTAGTAATCGGTCGGTTGTACATTCATAATTACATAGTCGAGGATAATGTTCCGTATAGTAGACTATATATAAGGATATATGAGACCGTCATATGTAGTGCTACGCCGGACTACATTATCCAAGCGATCGGTAATCTAGAGATCTCCTTGGACCGACTCGCTCGGTGCCATAACCCCAATAGGTAGCACCTCCTCTGTCACCCATACTATGTACTGTACATCCAACGGATGATCTACCGCATGTCAAACAGAACATCAGAACGACACTGGATGCCATTTATCTTCTTCTCGCTTGCATCTCTAGGTTATGAACAAGGCATAAGCCACCATAAGGACACCCCTAATGCGCCGAGCCACGCCCGGACGATCTGCGACGGCGAGGTTAAAGTCTGCAGCCATATGGATAAGCACGTACAGCAATAAAATGACTCGTATAGTACCGAGTACTGTACGTCTTGGCAGTTCCCCTCACGATAGAGACTTTTCACTATTTTCTCTTAAACCCTCTGTTGCGATCACGGAAAAACACACTGGATACGCTTTACGGGAACTGTTGGAGATCGTTATTGAGACAATGCTCGTTTTGGAGTGCAATCCTTGTCGGTAGCATAACATACTTTAAGAACGAGGGTACCTTCAGAGTATTCCGGAGTACATTGTGCGGTAGAGTTGGAGTCGAGCCGGTACATAGACTGCCCACAGCCGATAGGCTCAAAGGGTTGGTCCAGAAGCACAGACAAAGTTCCCTGTGTTGAGAAAACCTATGGTAAGAGTGTTACTTGAAAGAGAAAAGATCAGTACAATGCCCCGAGTCATGGATGTTCAGGGGTGGTTCTTTGGTGCAGACTATGAGAGACCGTCTCCGTCGCCGAGTTTATTGAAATGAGAATATCTTCATCTTTTACCCGATTCGGTAGCGCTTATCGCCCATCGTGGGGCTCTGAGCCAGTCCCGTGGTTTCGAGTCCAATATGTTTATTTGAGTTAATGGGGCAATTGTGTTGGGGTTTCTTCTCCTCATAGGGGATGGATGTATGTCAAATCGCGCTCACTACTGCTGTCACCTATATAATTCACGGCGTCCACTCGTCAATCATTCTCTTCTTCACACACGCTCTCTTAGTTCCCCCCTGCTAGATCGCCCTGCCATTCCTTCATCCAGTCCATCCGGTCACTCTTTCTTACCACAACCATCACAATGAAGTTCGCCTACGTCTCTCTCTTCCTCGCAGCCACTGCTGCTGCTGCCGAGATCAGCTTGAAGGACATTCCTACTTGCGCCGTATGCCATCCATGCAATTCCATGTCCATGTTCCCATCGTGAACATTACTAATATGTACATCAGGCGAAATGCGGCCTCGGTACCCCCCCCGACCACTGCGGCAAGCTTGACGCCAAGTGCGCCTGCGAAGACCCTGTCTATGTCGCCGACACCGCCTGCTGTATCTCAAAGGAGTGCGGTGAGGACGACGCCAAGAAAGCCGTGGAGTTCACCGAGAAGCTCTGCAGCGGTGTTGGCGTCAAAGACTTGCCCAAGACCGCTACCTGCGCTGCCAGCGCTAGCTCCACCGGCTCTTCGTCTTCGTCCACTGCCTCGTCTGACTCTTCTGCCTCGTCCAGCAGCAGCTCGAGCAGCTCGGCCTCTGCCACTGAGACTGGTGGTGCTGCACTTGTTTACAACAAGGATGCTTCAATCATTGCGGCTGTTGGGGCTGCTGCTTTTGCTTTCCTGGCATAAATTTTATCCTTGCGTTTTGGGTTTGATTCGGAACTGAACGGACGGACGATGAAGGATGGATGGATTTTTTTTTCGACGATATCATGAACTTAGGGGTCGATCTAGCGTAATTTTAATACCCATAATTCAGTCATTACTCAAGTCAGATTCAGAGGTTGGGATCGTAGGAATGTATAAAAATCGATTAATTCTATGCCCTCTATTGATTAGTATAACGGTACCCATCTATTCATCATGCCCCACAAATCGAGAAACCAATTCCTGTCGTTCTTCTCGGAGAGTGAGGTAAATCTAAAAGGTCAGCATTACCCTTCCCAAGAAAAACAAGAAAACATACCCAAAGCCAAAACATCATCTCCATAAACCCATACGTAAAAACCACCCGATTCTTCAATTGATCCAACCCAGACCCAGTCTCAACTCCCCAAGCCACCGGGTTACTCTGATAAACGAAAAATGACACCGCAAAGAACAAACAGAACCGCGAAGCAGACAGCAATGTCCAAATCTCACTGTACAATGTGGCCAGACGCGTGACGAACGGGTTTGCGCGCATCACGCCTGGGGTTGTCACGGAGGATTGGTAGCGAGATGCTTCTGCGGTGGCGATTATTTCGTTGATTGTCGGGATTTTGGTGATGAGGACGAGGTCGACGAGGGCGTCGGCTACGAGAAGAATGCCGCAGAGGGCGAAGGGGGATTGGGGGCGGGAGAAGCTGGGTGCTGCATCCTGTTATCATTTTGTTAGAATTCTCTTGTAATGTTTAGAGGTGGATTGGATTGTAGGAAAACGTACTATGTGCAGGAGCTCTCCCAGCATAAACACGAGATCAGACTCGATGATGATATTTGGGGATTTGGTGAGGTACACGGCGAGGAGGAAAAGGAACAGGGCGTGTCCTTGAATGAGAGTCTTAGATGATAAAAGAGCCATTTTAGGCTCTTGCTAAGACGATATATTGAGATAAGTTGAGAAATTGGAGGAGGTAGTCTGGAAGAAGAGATGTACTTGGCTAGAAGAAACTCCGTGTTTTCATGTGGGGTTAGTGCTTAACTCCGATGGTCAGTTATCGCAACTCATTCCCATTCAGCCCCTCAAGACAACGGCACGCTTTGTTATTATATATTGCGATTGATCTTATAAGGCTGTGTGGAATATTTGTGAACTGACATTTACCCAATAGACAAAATGTCGGCCGTGTTCAACAAAGACCGTCACATCAAATACTACCGCCGATGCCTCAAGACCTTCCTTCCAAACCTCTACACCGGCAATGACTCCAATCGTATGCTCCTCGCCTTCTTCACGATCGCAGGCCTAGACATCCTCGGCGTCCTCCACGACGAAACCACTTCCGAAGAGCGACAAGGCTACATCGAGTGGATCTACCACTGCCAAGTGCCAACCGGGGGTTTTCGAGGATTCACCGGGACTGACTTTGGGATCGAGAGACGGACACTTGAGAATGCGTCCTGGGATCCCGCGAGTATCCCCTCGACCTTTTTTGCGCTAGTGCTCTTGATTATTTTAGGGGATGATTTGTCGCGGGTTAAGCGGGTTGAGTGTCTACAATGGCTGCCGCGATTGCAGCGCGAAGATGGGAGTTTTGGAGATATTGTTGGGCCGGATGGGGAGATTGAGGGTGGGAGGGACTTGCGGTTTTGTTGTTTCGCTGCAGGAACGCGATATATCCTTCAAGGGAAACGGGGGCAAGATTTTGAGGGTGTGGAAGATATTGATGTGCCCCGGTTGGTGGCTTTTATTGAAGCCTGTCAGACGTATGATGGTGGCATGTCAGAGTCACCTTTTTGCGAATCTCACGGTATGCTTCTCCTTCCTTCGGAGTACATTTACTTACGATCCCAGCGGGCCTGACCTATTGCGCTATTGGGGCTTTAATGTTTCTAAAAACCGATAAGCCTGCTCCGGTTCTCACTCCTGGTTCAGAGGAGTTTGAATCGCTGCTCCGGTGGCTGGTCTCGAGACAGACGTCTGACCTTGGTGAAGACGACGAAGAGCAACCAGCTCGTTCCAATAAGACACAAGGAAATCTCTCTCAAGCGGTCGAAGCGCTCCGTCTCAATGGCAAGGTGGACGCATTACCTCCGATAGAACCACCGACGGAAGAGGTTTTGCAATGGGCTGGATTTAACGGACGGAGTAACAAGGCTGCGGATACATGTTATTCGTTTTGGAACACGGCTACTCTGGCAGTAAGTCCCTTCAGCAATTAGGTTGAGTGATTGAGGCTAATGCGATGAAGATGCTGGGCCGGTTAGCTCTGGTTGATGCTGCTCGTAATCGGCGATATCTTCTCGAGAAGACCCAGCACCTTATTGGAGGGTTTGGGAAAGGAGTTGGGGAACCACCAGGTAAGCTAGCGCCTCACCATCTCTAGATGAGTTGTGATTGACTGGACAGATCTTCTACACTCGTACTTCGGGCTGGTATCGCTAGCATTTGAAGGAGAGCCCGGGTTAAATTCGGTTGATCCGGCTACGTGTACGACTCACCGGGGAATCCAGCATCTTCATTCCTTGCCTTGGTGGCAGGCGTAGGTTAATTGTATGGGATACGTCGAACCCGCGGTATCCTTTAATCTTTTAATTGACAATTCGGTATTAAATTGTGAGCTCTAATCTAATGCTATCCCTAAACTGGTTTCCGAGTTGACCGTATCTCAGACCGTGACGTGCGCAGAAGACGCTAGAGATGCTAGACTGAAGATGAAGATGGGCCAGCTCAGCGATCTAAATTTATACTCAGGGGCACGAGACTCTGCAAGTCCTTTTTTGTATACAGTATAGAGCGCATTTGAGAAACAATTACAGTATTTGATTAGGATTAGAGGCGAATTAGATACAATGCCAATATCAGCATTGACATCTCTGAAGAAAAAGACTCCGCGCCATGCGAGGTATGAACCGTTGGAATCCCGGGATCAACGGCCCACGTTCGGGGAGCTCAGAATGTCAAAAGAAGCGAATTAGAAGCAAATAAATGAAGATAGATTGAAATGATCTCATTGCATGGGTAAAATTACTTATTATCGGCACGTAGTTTGTTCTCTTTTGTGGTGTCCTGTCATTTCCTTGACACTTTTGTTGTCCTGGACTGAGGCAGTCATTCCTCGCCTCCTCCTGAACTTCTTGCCTCCAGAAAGTACTGCATCTTCAACCTCTTACTTTTCCCCCCAACCTCGCTACCTTTTCTTGTTTCCACTCTACTTTCTTTTCACACTCTCTAACATTCTGTCTAACTCTTTAGCGACAACAATATAGATTTTTGTATCTCCTCTTGAGATCTCACCGTTCCAAGGTTACTCTCCCATCCTGCCCGAACGAACACCCGTTGCGGCGAAACTCAGATTTTACAAAATAAAAATAAAAATAAAAAAGACAAGAACAACTCCTGAATTGAAGTGTCTCTGCCGTTGCCTCCGTCGATTTCAAAATATATTACAAAGACCATCGCGTCCCGACTCGATCGATTCCCTTGTTTCGTTCTCCGTGTCGCCTCCGTCGCCATACTCCATATACCGAATAAGTATCCGGTTCATTTCGCTGGGGTTGGATGGCACCCGCAATTAATCGAATATTATTCTGTCCCTCCTTATCATTCCTACGATTTCACGCACTTACAATCGTCCGTTGTTCATCGTTAATCGGACGGAAATAATCACCTAACACATGCCGCCTGCCAGGACAAGAGCGGAGGTTCAAGCCCAGAAGCAAAAGGAAAAGGTCCGTACTTGTTCAAGTTCCCCGGGGTAACTGAAATGGCTATTTTCACTTTTTAATACCACGCCCCTCTGCATATTATCTTCCACTGCGTTGGTCTGGTATCCGGGAAAGGCAACCCGGGTCGAGTCAATGCTTTGGTTACTTGCTTTCCTTATCCGCAATCTTGCATGAACGCTTGGCTGACGTTGGGCTGTTGTGCGGTTGTTCACAGCTTGCCCACTCCTACAATGAGCTCCTACAGTAAGTCATATTTCGCGGTTGTTCAGTGATAGTCAAAGTGCTGAGTTCGTCCTCAGAGAGTTCTCGTCAAAGGACCTCAGGTCTGTAGGAAATTATACTGTGGGGAAGTTGATCGGAAAGGGCTCCTTTGGCAAGGTCTACCTCGCGTCTCACAAACTCACCAATGGATCCAAGGTACGTACTCTGCACATATATGCTGTGTTAGGTTAAGGTTCTGACTGGGGGTTTCTACTATAGGTTGTGCTCAAGTCGTCGCCTCGCGAAGATACCAACCTAGTTCGTGAAATCCATCACCATCGCCAATTCCTCCACCCTCACATCGCTCGCCTTTATGAAGTTGTCGTGACAGAGAAGCTGGTCTGGTTGGTGTTGGAATATTGTCCGGGTGACGAACTCTACAATTACCTTCTGCGCCATGGCCCGTTGCCCGTTGATAAGGTCAAGAGAATATTCACGCAGCTTGTCGGCGCAGTCGCATATGTTCACAGCAAGTCATGCGTCCACCGAGATCTCAAACTAGAGAACATCTTACTCGACAAGCACGAGAACGTCAAGCTTTGTGATTTTGGGTTCACGCGGGAATATGAGGGCAAGGCAAGCTATCTGCAGACTTTCTGTGGTACTATTTGCTACAGCGCCCCCGAGATGCTCAAGGGCGAAAAGTATGCCGGCGAGAAGGTGGATGTTTGGAGCTTGGGAATTATACTATATGCGCTTCTTGCGGGAGAATTACCGTTCGACGAGGATGATGACCAAGTCACCAAGGCCAAGATTCTTTCCGAGGAGCCGACATTCAATGAAAAGTTCCCCGATGACGCCAAAGCCCTCATCAACCTGCTTCTGTCCAAACGCCCGCTTATTCGACCGAGCTTGAGCGAAATCTTAGCACATCCTTTCCTTTCCGAACACGCTCCCGAACAACTTGCGATTCTGAAGATTCCTCGACCTTCCGCATTCACAACCCCGTTAGAGAAGACCACTCTACAGCGGATGAAAAGCGCTGGTGTCAACATCGATGAAGTTATTGAAAGTGTGCTTGCGCAAAAATGCGACCCGCTCGCTGGATGGTGGGCGTTATTGATCGAAAAGGAGCAACGGAAAGAGCAGAAGCGAGAGCGGAAGCGACGAGAACGCGAAGCAGAGGCCAAAAATATACGCCGGTTGAGTGCTGCTAGTAGTCGGTTGGAAAGACTATCTGCTGCGCTTGTTGAAGTCGACGAAGAAGGTCAACCACAGCCAGCTTCAGGCACTGCCCTTCAGGACCGCGGGAGAAGGGATAGAAGGAGTCTTCCATCCCAACTTGCTGTGCCTGAACTACCTAGTCTGCCCGAGCCCACCCCTGCACTACCGGCCGATCTTGGTACTCCCCCTCCTCCTTCCGCCGATAAGGTCTCCATTCGCTCCGTCAGTTCGACTAGGCATCGCCCAATGCCACCTCCCAAAGACAAGCAAGGCCAACGACAGAGCAGGTTACACGTCAGTGCTTCCCAACCCGAGCTGATGCAGCACAATGGGGGGCTTTTCCGGCGTCGCACAGGCCGTCGTCACAACTACCCCATTATCAGTCAATTGGCCTCATTGAAGCACTGGTTCGTGGAGTCTGCAAAGAGAGCCAAATCACCTCATGCAAAAGCCGCTGGTCAAGCGGGCGGACATCATCGCAAGCTCTTTTCGGACAAGTTGAGCCCTGCCAAGAGCCAGGACACCAACAAGAAACCTGCCTCCGCAACATCGCCTACAGCTGTTCCACCTGAGGAAGTGACGACTCCCACTCAAATCAAGCGTGCATCGAACGCCAGCAGTCTGGCTCCAAGCAGCGCATCGTATCAGAACCATCGTCATTCATTCCCCCGGCAACCTCGACCTCTTAGCACCAGTCACCGCAGTCACCGCAATTCGTTGTCACCGTCCCCGATTACGCCTAGAGGCTCTTACCGGCGCTCCTCAACGGGCTTGCGAGGTCGCAAATCTACTTCATCCTCGATATCTTCCATCCGCAGCATTCACCATGCTCATACGCACTCAAAGGCATCATCTGTTTCGTCAAACAGCGTTGCATCTGCCTCGACACCTACAGCTCGCCCGACCAAATCTCCCCACTCGTCTATCAAGGTGCTCCCGACGACTCCAGGTGCGTCGTCTCGATTCCCTAGCAATATTCGCCTTGTAAGAGGAAATAATAATAATTACCTTAATGATAATGGATTTCGGGACTCGAACGACACGCCAAGAATGCACTCGATGTTCAACGAAGCGGCACCGGCGCCGCTGCTTGCTTCCCCTTCATCAAGTCTTGTGTTTGCCCGGCGGAAACGGTCTACATTTAAGGGTCCGATGGTCCACACAGCCAACCTCATGGTGTCTGGTGGGATGGCTGGCACCGAGTTCCCGAGTGGTGCTATCGTTCCAGAATCTGCTGCTGCCGCTGCTGCCGCACGGCCTACCGCGCGGAAGAGCCAAATCATTGAGGAAGAAGAGGATGCTGAGGACGAGGAAATCGAGGAAGTGGATGCTTTCAGTGGACCTGAGGAGGAGCCGAGTTCGCCAACTCTTCGGAAGGCATCTCTCGCTCCTGCTCCAGACATTCGTTCCAGTCCATCACGTCCTCCTCGCTCTTCGTCTTTGCGAGCGGCAAGACCACCAGTGGTAGCGGAGTCTACTGATGAAGAGGACCCGAAGGACAGCGCTTCCTTGACGCCTGTTGCTTCTGCTAAGTGAGCCTTTTATTCTAATCAACTCAAAACTCGACATCGACAGCATCTGTTCATTGTTCATTTGTCTTTTTGCACGCTTTTATACCCCTTCATGCGGCTCGACGGCGCTTTTTTGTTTGGATATACTCAAGCATTTTGGATTGGTTATAATCGTTTCTCTACCCATGTCACCTGACGCCTTCGTTTTCCTTTCCTTTTTGTTTATTATATATGCGCGTGGTCGGAAAGGCCGGCCTGCTCAAATCCTTCATTCATATACACTCCCTTTTTGTGATTCCTGTGGTTCAAAACACCATTCTTTCTATCCTATATTTCTTTTCTCGTTTTTTTATAGCCCAATTGTATGCATGCATCTCTGGAGTGGTTTTGATTTAACTGCGTTCTCTTTATGATGATACCTTCGGAATTGCCTGGTATATGCTTGCTTTTCTCCCCGTTCCTATTACATAGAAGTTGCCTTGCAGGGCTGGTTCCTGGAACAGGCACAGTGTCCTTTCCGACCCTCTCCTACTATACAGCCATTCATTGCCTGTTTTCTGCTATATCTTGCTTCGTGTTATATATACATATATGTGCCTTGTACATGTATTCATGTATGTGTGTATTTTTAGATTTGATTAACCTGATTTCTTTACTTCATTGAGACTCTTGATTGTAAGAATACTAATATAACTATTACTGCAATTGGCGTACGAGGCATTGAACGTTACACAAATAGATACAGTGTAATATTGGCATTCTGATTCAATATTTAGATATTTGTTTGTAGTAGTTACTATTTAGGCAGGAGGTAGGATTAGATCATCTCCGCCGCCACTGCTGTTACTTTGTCCATCAACTTCATCTTCATCCTCCGCAGTCACCACATGAACTGAACATACACTCTTCACTCTGTTTTGATACCTTGCATACCCTCTTAATGCCTAAAGCATTCTAATAATACTTGATCCTTTCCCTCACCTCCACAATGGCAAACACGCCCTCCCGAGCACTCACAAAACGCCATGCCGAACAACAACTCATGCCACCACCTCCTCCCCCGAAACGAATCAAACGACCCTCCACCATCCTCGACGAAGAAATTTACACAAACGCATTATCGGAGATTATTTCGCGCGATTTCTTTCCCGGCTTACTCGAAACACAGCTGAAGCAGGAGTATCTGGAAGCGCTGGAGTCGAAAGATAAAGCGTGGATCGCGAGCTCGAAGAGAAAACTTGCGGATTATGTGGCTAAAAATGGTGCCGGTGAGGGGAAGAAGGCGACCATGAGGTTCAGAGAGGGGAGTGTTGCAGGAGGTGATAGTGGTGATGCGACACTGCGGTTTACGGGGGACGGGGGAGAAACGCCTAGGGGTTGGGGGGGTGATACGCCCATGTCGGTGGCGTCGATGGCCACCACAACATCGACAGCTACAACTACAAAAGAACCGCATAGAGAAATCCCCAATGTATCGAATATGAGTCTCCTCGCGTTCCAGGCGAAATACACCAGCGAAGATAACGAGTCGTTCAACAAGCTTATGGACCGGCAGAATACGAAAAAGCGCGATAAATATGCTTGGATTTGGAACGAGAATAAGGTCCCGTCTGCGCGGCAGATTGCGCATCGCACGATGGAGAATAAGCGGATTGCTGCGCAGGGTGGGAATCCAACTTTGGCGATAACGGCGGGTGGTGAGGATGCGGATAAAGAAATCAAAACTAATCTTGATGCTCGACCGGCGAAACCGGATGCGTGGGATGCTAAACCAGAGAACTCTCTGATGTTTCTTCCGTCGTCGGTTGAGGATATACATGAGACGGGTCAGCAGAAGGCGGAGGCTGCGTCGCGGGCAGGTCCTAAGCGTGTGGTGTATCAAAATACAAGATTGCCTACTACATCTTCTGCAGAAGAGAGGAGTCAACCGCCTCCTTCTCCGGCAATTTCGGCCATTCAAGATGCTATTGCTGGGCGGCCACGATTTACAGAGACGGAAGCTGGAGCGGGGAGTTATGTTGGTGGAGAGACGCCGCGAGTGAACGGTTATGCATTTGTAGACGAGGATGAACCTAAGTATCCGACATCAAAATCTGAAAATAACGACAACTCAGATGACCTCACTCTACTAGGACTAGGAGACGCAACGCCAAATCCATTCAACATCCGCCAAAACCGCAAACGAGAAGATCTGCACCACCGCATGGTCGACCGCATTACTCGGACCAAACGCACAGAAAAAACCAACACAATGAAGACCCCTGTGAACCCGCGGTTTACTAGTAGTCCACGACTGGATTATGGTCTACGTACCCCTGCATCGGGTAGTGCTGAGAATGGTGGGAAAATGTTGACTCCGGCTGCTCAAATGTTGTTACGAAGGGTAGGAAGTACGCCACGGGCGTCTTCTTCATCTTCTTCATCGAATTTAAAGAATATGTGGACTCCTACGCCGAAGAGAAAGTGATTACCATGCTCTTATGATTGATGACGTCGCCCTGCGTGTGTGTTTGCATAGCGTCTATGGTTTTGCCTGCAAGACATCCCGTTATTATTTGTCGACACGGGAATATGATATTATTGTTATAGCCCAATGTCTCTTTTGCTTTTTCTCGATACGAAAGCAGATCAGTGTCGCTTATGCTGACAGTAGAACGAGGCTTGCTTACAGAGTCCCTCTTTCTATGCCATGCCCCTCAACAGATTGTTAACTTTTTATTCCCCTCGTCCCCCTTATCCTTCTATGCCTCACTTTCTTCCTTCCCTCCCGGGTTTCATACTTCCAGAGCCTAAAGGTCTAGCTTAACCGCAGTTACAATATGAAAGAACACCAACAAGACTCCACTATCCTTCTTATCACCACTCTTGCCCTTCTCATATCAATCTCACAGGCACAGTGTTACACCCCTGACGGCTATCCTGGAAATAATGAATATGAACCATGTAACGACTACGTGGGATCAAACAACGTCCGCATGTGCTGTGCCACAAACCGCTCAAATCCCCCATATGGCCCTCTCGATAACGGTACTACCGCGGATTTATGCCTTCCAAATGGGCTTTGCTTAAATGTCTCACTGGTCAATAATACAGATGGGAGTGTTGAAAATAGGACTGCTTATTGGCGTGGACTGTGCACGGCAGCGAAATGGAAGGAAGGATGTCTGCCTGTTTGTACAGATCCTTCGGTACAGTGCTCTACGCAAGGATATATAAATATGCACACCTTACTTGCTAACAAGGCTGGTTGGAAATAAAAGGAGAATGGCGATGAAAGCAAATCCGTCCGAATGACCGCCTGCAACAGTCTCCCAAATACGACAACCTGGTGCTGCGGCACAGACAACTCAGAGTGTTGCAATTCAGACAAAGCATTTACCATTCCCGCTAATTTCGGCGATCCATTTCCATCACCAACGGCTAGCCCTGGCCTCTCAGACGGAGCAAAGGCGGGAATCGGCGTAGGTGTCGCCATGGGCGTTATCGCCATTATAGCGGCCGGGGTTGCGTTTTGGCATATACAGCGAAGACGGTGGAGGAATGCTGCTGCTGATGCTGCTAACGATAATGCTAATACTAATACCGATATGGCGGCAGTAGAAATACCAGCGCCACCATACCAGGCGCAAGCTACGGTGCAGTCGCCCCAGGAGTTGGAAGGGAATGGTGTTGGAAATAGGGTTGGGAAGCCGGCCGGGACGGGGGATGTGAGGCATGAGTTATCTGGGGAGTCTGCGGGTGGTGGACACGGTGTACACTGATGATTTTATGGATGATGACGGTTAAGATTTTCAATGGGTTGGATATAATCTCTATATGATAATAAAAGTTGACATTAACTGTATATAATTGTCGGTCGTTATACAAGTGCTGTGTACTCGGCAACTTACTAGGGCTAGATTAAGTAACAGCCATGAGGCCGCGAGATGTCCACTAGAAAGCTTTGATACCATTGCTTGCTCAAGAAACTCCACTAGATATCATTATATGATTCTCAAGTGCAGATAATAATATAAGCATAACAGCATATGTGGACTCTACGCCAAGAAAAGCGATGATACAGTACATGAGCTATGGCACGTTGTACCTTTGTTGGACCCTATTTTTCAGTATAAGGTTAGGCTTGCATTTATATCCATTTAATATGTACTACGGATAGACTAACAGTTGCCACGAGTATACAATGTGTTTTTGACCCGACGTTTCTGCTTTTTCCGAATACGAGAACAGTGGCTGACGGTGCGTATTTACGCGTTCCCCCCAACAGACTTCTCCTATCAATTCCATTTTGTGTTTTGTCTCCACCTCTTGTGATTAGCCTTAAGTCGAAACTGCATTCTACAGCATGCGAAATCCACTCACTCTTCTCGTCCTCACCCTCATCTTCACCATTAGCGCTGCCACCGACTGCTACTTCCCAAACAGCACCAAGTGAAATGACCTTGAATTCAGAGCATGCCCCTTTAAGAAAAACGGTGTTAAAATGTGCTGCGGCTTCAATCGCACGACTCCATTCGGCGGCAACCATGACGACGGGCACACGGCAGACCAATGTCTCCCAAATGGGCTCTGTATGAACCAGGGACTGATATCTCGTGATAACGGAGATTCTACTTTAAAATTAACGTATTGGCGCAACACATGCACGACGCCGGGGCGGAATGGGTGTTTGGATGTTTGTACTTCGGTATGGTCCCTTGCGCTTATGATTTCTGACGGCTGGCTAATATGAGAATAGGGATACGATAGCACGACCAATATGGCGTCTTACGACGGCACGCTCACCTCGGAAACATGGTGCTACGGTGTAGATAATACAACCTGCTGTAATTCAGACAGCGCAATCAATATCCCCGCCCAATTCGGCAAGCAGGCAGCCTCAGCTACTACCGGTATTCCAACGGCAACCAATACCATTTTCCCTCATCCCCATCCTCTAATATCCTCTCAGGTGGCTCCAAAGCGAGTATTGGTGTTGGTGTCGCCGTGGGTGCCATTTCGCCATATTTGTATTTTGGATTCTACGATAGCGCCGGCAGCTGAGCAAGATTGGTGAATTCAATATAGCGGGGGCGATAGTAGGGTCTGGGTACCAGGGATACGCCACGGTTCAGAGTCCAGGCCCGAGCCCGGGGGAGATGAATGGGCAAGGTATGGCGCATGAGAAAGCAGCTGGGGCGGAGGATACAAGGCATGAGTTACATGCAGAGCCGCGTCTACTTCGGTGATGTTGAGCACATAAGTACATGGAGTGATGATAGACACTTTAATGAGGTGAGCAACTAGGGTTGTTGATTAGAGTCCGAATTCTTCACTTGGAATTGTTGCCATCTTATCAATTGCTGTTGATTATGAATGCCTGTTTTAAGCGTTATCAAAGTTGGATTTGCGGCCATATCCGCTCAAATATTAACTGTGGACACTATTTTATTCGTTGGCACAGGTATTTAAGGTTATTTTGAACTAGCCCGGCGTTTTGCTTATTTGGGATACGAGAATATGCATTTCGTGTGGGACAAGGCGCATTCCCCGGCATTTCGGATTTTTATCTTTTCTGCTCTTCTGTTGTCTGTCGTTTCGTTGAACTTTTGCTCATACTTTTCATACTGCCAGATCCAGGAGTATCATCCATTTCAATCTTAATTGCAACATGAGAAAATGCCAGCAATATGGCTTCCTCCTGCTTACCCTACTCACCCTCTTCTCCCTAGCAAGCGCTCTCTGCTACTACCCCGACAACCGCAGCCAAACCAGCAATGAATACAAAGAATGCTCCTAACGTGATCGGACACCGAGCGGGACACGAATTCATGCCTACTACACGTTCCATTAATTAAACCCCCCAAAAGCCACCCATAATGGCAGATTCATCTGTTCAAAAAGAAGGCAGAATACTGCTTGCAATGAAGGCTTTTAAACTAGGCCGTCTTAAAAGCATACGAGCAGCAGCAGCATATAATGTGTCTTTAACCACGTTATCTTCCCGACTAAATGGACGCGCCGCCCGTGTTGATTCGGCTCCAAACGGCCGAAAACTCACCAATACTGAATAATCTACACTTCTTGAATGAATATCAGCTGCAAATAGTCGTGGCGTACTTCCGAGGATTTATATCATACAGGATATGGCTGCCCTGCTTTTATCAAGCCGCCTCAAGTTAGCTCCACCAATTGGTGAGAAATGGGTGCAGCGGTTCATTGACCATCATGAAGAAAGTAAGTCAAATACAGCCGCAGATATGATTATCAACGTGCTCTTTGTGAAGATCCAAAGATAATAAAGGATTTGTTTCAGCTAGTTCAGAATACTATTGCCAAATATGGTATTAATGAGCAGGATATCTATAACTTTGATGAGATTTGTTTCTCCATGGGAATGACATCTACTGCAAAAGTATGCTCCCCATTAATCAATATATCAGTCATTGAATATATATTAATCAAATCCAGATTATGGCTAGTCGTCCTGGTGGGAGAAGATTGCCCTGCTAGTCCGAGGCTTCGATTGTCTTCAACGGATTCTCTAATGGCTAGATGGCGCACATAACGTCGTTGGGGGACATCTGAGATGTCTTCCAGCTTCGTCAAACTGGAGACAGAGATATCTGCCTGACGGATATGGAGCATAGTCCGGACACCGGAGAGGGGCATATATGAAGCATTATATAGACATCTTGATAGTTGTAGACATGCGGGAGTAGAGGACTCCAGGTGCTATTTATGCCTTGAGTACTTGGGAAATCGACCAGGCGACCATGAGAGGCCATGTAACATTTCAAGCTAGGACATACAAGACAACAAAAACATGCAAAGAAGACATGGGTCCAGCGTGATCTGGCAAGTATCGTGCATTGCTGACTGCATAATACAAGGC